CCTACGTCTAAGCCTTTTACTTAAGCGATAGGGCTCTATAAAATAACCTATAGGGACCCCTTAGGTCTCTTAAGTAACTCCTATAGTTTTAAGGGCAAAACGACTTAGTAGGGGAGGATGTTCTTAAAGTCTCCACTTAAGAACTGAGCATATATGCCTAAGGCTTAAGTAGCCACGTGACTTAGGCAGGACTATATAGCCGAGGAATTTTCCCTTAAGTAAATTCAATCAGAGTTCATCCATTTTAGAACAATCGAGCGGGGCGGCAGGACGTCATGGCTCGGACCTTCGGCTCTTTTTTGACGAGACGCGTTTTCCTCTTCCCATCACCACATCCTCCCTCCACAACACGAAAACACATGCTGCATATTGCATCTTGGATGTATGTGAATGCAAGGGTGCCCGCGTTTGAAAGACAAAGGAGATGGTGAGTTTACATGAGCCTCACGGGTGCTTCAACCCAGACAAAAGAAATCGAAGCTCAGAACGCCGGATTGGTTGCATTCTTGTCTCTTTGTTATCTCGCATGAGCAACCAGAACCCGTCTCGCAAGCTACTGGCATTGTCCTAGAATGTGAAATTCTCCGTCTCGCTCAGCAATCTTGCAAAAGCACGATCTCATGTACACCGACCTAGTCAAATTCCTGCATCTCGAACCTGTACGAGGACCATCGTCATGAACCGCGCGGCCGTCAATGTCCTCCCTCCGAGTCAGTTCAATACGTGGCCTGCCTGGCTGCGGAGAGTTCTGCGGAGAGATTCAAGTGGTATTGAGCCGCAGTGGGAGGGTGTGAGTCCCGGCCGTTTCTCAATTCCAAAGTACTGTGCTGACGAAACATGTAGAGCTGGCTCCTTGCCTCCGGGGGAGGTGGCACAGCATCACTTTGGGTCACGTATGATGAGGCAAATAAAGTCAGTGGGGTAAGTTGTCACTGTGAGTTGGAAAGGAAGAAATCCTGCTGATCTGGTCTGCAGAGGATGGTGGTAAAGTCGATGGTCATGTCGCACCGTGATTGGTGGTATGGATCACTGCGGAGAATGTATCGTCATGTAGATGCTAATAGTGCGTGCAAAGGGATCCTACTCTCTGGTCTGATGGGCTAAATGCTGTTGGATATCGCGACTTTGCTGCTCCTATCAACCACAATCATCCACAAGAGGCCATTATAACTCAGCGGCTCACACAGAACGTTGGCCCTCCAATTGCTCCTCAGACGAAAAATCCTATATGGTGAGTACGGGCATGCTCGATGGCCCACGATAATGCATGATAAGTAGACCTGTCGACGTGAGACTCTCATCTTAGGCCTCATATTATGATGTTATCATAAGAATCTCACAGGTCTGCTGATAATTCCATCCGGATTGTCGTAGTTCAGTGCAGTGGCTGCGCAAGGCTGATGCTAACGAAGCTACCAGTCAATATCTTGGATACAGCGCTATCGATCAACAAAATCGCCGCTGGAAGCTATACCTTGAATTCTGTCCCTTTGGAACTCTCGATGGGCTTCACCTAGAGCTCTTCCAAACCGGGAGGCAGACCTTTCCAGAACCTTTCGTGTGGTATGGTAAGGAATGATCGCCATATGCCTGACTTGGGGTTCTGCTAGACCATCGTCGAGCAATCAATGGATTATTGGCTAATTGGCACAGTGGCCGAGCAAGCTCTACTCGCAGCCAAGATCTTCGAGCAAGGTGACACTGCCGCAGGAGTTCCTGGTTGGAGACCGCTGGTAAGTCGCGACATCAAGACTGAGCCGAAAGATTAAACGATTTACAGTCAATAGGTCCACAGAGACATCAAGCCGGCCAATGTACTTTTGGGAGAAAGAGATACGACCCAATTCCGACACTACCCTCGCCTGAAGTTCTGCGACTTTGGCCTAGTGTGCGAAACTGACGAGAACGATATCGTCAGCAACCCAATTGAGTTTAACGAAGTGGGCACGGTTGGTTATCGTCCTCCAGAGCAGAAGTTATGGTCAGGTTGGACGATAGAACTCTAGTCAAAGCACAGCTAACGGGGATTCAGGTACAAGAAAAACGGCAAGATGGACTTCAATCGCAGGCTGTCTCAAAAGACCAACGTCTGGGGTGAGCGGCATGATGTTCCTGCTTGCAACCTGGCTAACCTATAGTAGCGATTGGTCGCTTGTGTTGGGCTCTTAAGAGCGGTATCCGCGGCTTCAATGCTGAGGAACCCGATTACAATATCATGTAGGTTGAACTACAAATGCTCGAGGGCCTTGTCTGACTTTGTTCACAGCAACGACCGCGTCCCACTGACTCTTGGGTAAGTCACATATCTTTTCCGCCCTGTCCTGCTCGATAATATGGGATGCCCTCAATATAGAATGCAACGCTAATTTTGTCGCAGAGGAGGAGAGCCAGAGCTTCGCGACTTCATACTCGCCTGTTTAGCTTTCGATCCGGCCCAAAGACCCACGATTGATGAGGCACTTGCTCTAGTTCGATCGCCTGTAACTGGACGTGACAACTTTTTAGGCATGCGGACTGCGCCAGTCGCGATACATCTGTCTCGAGATCCCAATCCCGATAAACTAGATCCTTATCCAAGGGATGAACATGACCCCTATCGACTTAAACTCGCAAGAGGGAGTCTTCCTCCGCGCCGATGAGAGGCGATGGTCGACTGAAGAGATTGGTGCTCAAAGAATTACATGGTCGGACCATACGCTCGAATGTCAGTTATTCTCGTGTTACGAGTGTTCTATACGAGGTTTCTAGAGAATGGTAAAATCACACCCCCTACAAAAATCGCAACGCTGTGAACACCTTTCCCTCATCAAAAAAAGCCCACGGCAGGTGCCCTCGGAGAGCCGCCGGAGGCAAAAGTCTTGCATTTCGCAAGTCTGATTCTAATTCCCACGAACTTCGCATGATCATTTAGGTGCTATGCATTCTTTCGTATCAGGCTGTTGCGCTGTCAATATTCGCCCAATGATCCGCTTTCGTATGTGACCATTCCACTTTCCTTGCATGCTCAGTGCTCTTCGTGCTCTCGAATAATGGGCATCGAGCTCATGCGCAAAACGGGAATTACATGCCGCTACCTGCTGGAGCCCAGAGTAAGCGCAATTTTCGCTGAGCTCACTGCATTTCTCTGATCTGCTTCTTGGTCATCTTGCCCTTGATTGACATGCTGGCACCCCCCATGACCTTGTCGACGGCATGTTCRACTGACGCTCCGTTCTGCCCCATCTTCCAAGCTCTACTGTCTTCATTCTTGCCCGCGTTGTAGTTCTTGATGACCATGTCGACATCGGATACCTCATAACGCGGCATGGATAACAACGGGCTACTCTTGTTCTTGACCATGCGGCTTTCGACTGCTGCGTCGRGCTTGTCGATAGCTGCGCTGCGATTTTCCATGCCGCTCATGCGGGCCCAACTCAAGAGGCCAGACAATAAACCAATATCCAGAGAAATATCAGGCAAACAGTCARGCTTGGCGTATTCCGAATTCGTGTAAGCCTGATCCTCGTTGCAAATCCGAGGCCAATACTTCTTATTTAGCACGTTGGCAAGCTCAGCTCCCCAGAAGGCCTCGAGCTCGTGGATCACCTCCCTCGAGTTTGCCCGGACTGGACCCTCTGTCTTCGCTCGACGCATGGGTGCAGTAGCGACAGAAGTTTCTTTTTTTCTCTGATCAGAAATGACCAGTTTGTTGTTGACCTTCTGCCAGCCAGCCGTGAGCTGCTCCTTGGTCAGATCTTTGTGTTGTGCCTCTGGGCCCGCGGTGAGACGAGAGTTGTTACTTCTGCTGGGCATCGCAACTTCTTCCTTGTATCCATCCATTCTGAGTGATTCCATGGCCGGGTGGCCGCTAAGTTTGCGCACAACAGACTCTCCGTTTGCTTCCACGGTGCTAGAAGCGGCGCGCTTGCGCGAGGCTGGAATTTTGTGGTCGCTGACTTCTGGGGCATGAGCTCTCATATGATGACGTTGACCTCCTCCTTTGCCTTGAGCGACGCCACTGCTAGGAGCTCCACTTGGCGGCTGCGAGAGGGAGCCCTTGCGCGCAGTGCGACTTGGGGGCTCTTGCGGATCATCTCCGGGCTGATCAGTGGGTTTATATGGCTGCGCCGCACCGAGATCCCTGACGGCTGGACTGCTTGAGACCTTCTCTTTGCGCGAGCTGGAAGTGCGAGATGGGCCTGTGCGACCGACCGGCGGGTCAGGACCTGGGTCCTCGAGCATTGCGCGGCTTGAAGAATCATCGACATGCTCTTTGGGGTGTTCCGTGCGCTTTGCGCGCTTAGGCCGCGCGAGGACTTCTGTAGAGCCTGATGTGCCAGGGCGCTCTCCTTTGTCGTCGCGGCCGCCATCCTCCGGCTCGGCTTTCCGCTTGTTGTTCACCTTACCCTTCGAGTTCTTTAGCCAACATATAGGGGAGAGAGATAAGACCTGGACACGTACCGCCATTCTGGCGATGCTGATATTGGTGCACGGACTGCCAATGACAAAGAACAGTCCGTTGTGCAGGTCAAGCAAGGTATGCGAGATGACAAGAAATGGGATCGACTGCGGGTGGTGGTGGGGGAACAAATTTAAGCCTCGAAGTTGAGGAAATGTCTGTGGAGGTGTTGGTGCTTCGAGGTGGGGGACCCTCCAAGTCCCAAATCCGCGGGAAGACTAACTGGAGATTCACCTACCTAGTACCAATGACCTCGTTGCCAGGACGACGGTCTTTTGACCTCTCCGCACTCCAAAACTCGACTTAGCGTTCAAGATATGGTCACTGAAGCTATGAGGGTGGCAGGTCTCGCATTCTAGCCAGGCCCGCATGCTGATAGTGCGTCTGGTCTGGCAATGTATCAATGGATACAACCAAGGACATGTTGGGGAGGTCTCAATGAAAAGACGCTGCTAGCAGGGTAAGAATCTAGTAGTTGTATCAGGAGGCGCATGCTTTTGCATAACTGCACATCTGTGATATGTCCACCAAAGTAGTAATATCTTTGGTTCCCGGCAAGGCTGGGGCAAAGACTTTTGTTTCATTGTACATGTGCCCTAGTTGGACTCATCTCTTCAAGTGGAACTCCGTATGTAGAGACCGTTGCCAATAGTATTCTTGCGATTGATTCTTGCCGCATTGATATCTCTTGCAATCGAGCGCAGTGTTGTAAATATGGCCAGTCTTCGAGACAGCTCTTCGGCTAGAGGACCAGATGCCTGGAGAAGCAGATGCAAGAGAGTTCTGCAGTAGATCCTCTGGGCATAATTGGCGTAAGTTGATGACAGAACATGAGGATAGTCGGAGTGAAAGATGAGGTGAAGTTGAAGATTGAGTTGGAGATTTGGGCCGTGCGGCGCCAGCTCCGGAGGAAGGTGCACTACACACACTACCTCACATAGGTGAGCTCCAGTCGGCAAGACATCATTGTTGACTTATTCTCCAACTCGGACAATGCCATGGCGACCAGTCCAGGCGGCGGCTTCATTGCCGGCATGTACGAGGATGTCCAACTCCCCATCTTCGACGTGCAAAGAGTGCAGATGCGCTTCGACATCTCGGCCGACTTTGTGGCAGCGCAGGTAGCGAACAATGTTCTAGTTCTGGCCCTGTCCACGGGCAGGATCCTACGATTTGATCTGGACAATCCCGAGGATATCGACGACATCGACCTTCCCAAGCGACCGGCAGAGATTGGCGTCATCAGGAAGCTCTTCCTCGATCCATCGGCTTCACACCTGCTGATTACGACGACGCTCGGCGAGAACTACTACCTACACACTCAATCACGACAGCCCAAAGCATTGGGCAAGACTCCCAAAGGAGCTCAAATCGAGAGCGTGGCATGGAATCCCTCCCAACCTACAGCTTCAACGCGCGAGATCTTGCTGGGGACGGTGGACGGCAGTGTCTATGAAACCTTTATCGAGCCCAGCGCCGAATTCTACAGGAGTCAAGAGAAATACTTCCGTTTGGTATACAGTCCGCAGGAAGGCCCAATTGTAGGCCTACATGCGGATGTGTTGTCCACTCGCCCGGAGACAAGGAGGGTGTTGGTCGCGACACAGCACAAGCTGTTCCACTTTGTTGGCAGAACGGGTGGTCGTGGATACGAATCCAATGGATCCATCTACGCGAAGCTGTTCGAGAGTGAATCTCCTACGGTGCATGAGGTGGATCGTGGCTCCGTCACATCGCCTTCCTGTCTGGCGACATCGCCTGATTCCCCGAATGTGCCTGCCGCTGGGGTAGACGGGGTGAGTCCAGAGCGAGCATACGCCTGGCTCAGCACTCCAGGGATCTTTCATGGAGATCTCAAAACCTCTGCACCAGATCTCATCTCGCTCGGCAAGCAGGTCTTCCGGGAATCAAAGACATTTCCCCAATCGAAGCTACCACCTATACAGACAGCAGGCGGCCGGAGTCGGGTTACTCAGCCCCCGATATCCTCCATGATACTGAGTCAATTCCACATATTGGCTTTGGTAGAGGGACGGCTGACGGGCATCAATCGATTGGACGAGACTGTCGTCTACAATCAGCAGATCCTTGAAACTGGACAGGCAAACCTAGGGCTCTTCGCAGACCACCAGAAAAACACAYTCTGGATGTTCACCGCCCAGGAAATCTTCGAAATCGTGGTCACAGATGAAGCGAGAGATGTGTGGAAGATCATGCWCAACCAAGGCCAGTACGAGACCGCTCAACAGTATGCCAAGACGCCGGAACAGAAAGACGCCGTTGCGTCAAGGACTGGAGATCATCTCATGTCACAAGGCAAGTTCGCAGAGGCGGCTGTGATTCTAGGGAAAAGCAGCAAAGCCTTCGAAGATGTTGCGCTTGCGTTCATCGACAAAGGTGAGCAGGATGCTCTTCGGAAGTACCTGCTTGTAAAGCTGTCGGGCATGAAGAAGGCCAGCATCATGCAGCGAATGATGCTCGCAAGTTGGCTGCTGGAGCTATACATGGCGAAGCTCAATCAGCTTGATGATACCATCTCGACTAGAGCTGAACTTACTGCAAGTGGATCAGGAGCTACCTCCAGCGACACGGAACAACAGCTTTCCAACATTCGCAAGGAGTACCAAGACTTTGTCTCGAAATACAAGCCCGACCTCGATCGCAAGACTGCGTACGAGATCATCAGCGCGCACGGCAGAGAAGAAGAGCTATTGTACTACGCAAATGTCGTCGAGGATTACAACTACGTTTTGTCATACTGGGTGAATCGCGAGCGATGGAACGAGGCCATGACTGTACTGAAGAAGCAAACCGATCCGCAGATGTTCTATCGCTACAGCAGTGTTCTCATGGCGCATGTCGCCGTCGAGCTCGTGGAGGTTCTCACACGACAGACCAACTTGGACACAAAAAAGATAATACCGGCTCTTTTAAACTACAACAAGATCGCTGGCACCACAGTTCCGCTGAAAGAGAACCAAGCGATCAAATACCTCCGGTTCTGCATTGATCGCGAACTTTCCAGCGAACCGGCCGTCCATAACACGTTGATTTCAATGTACGCAGCGCACTCGACACGCGACGAAAGCGCTCTGTTGTCTTACCTGAAGACTCAAGCAGATAGAGGATATTACGATGCCGACTTTGCACTGCGTTTGTGCATCGCCCATAAGAGGGTGCAGTCTGCGGTGCACGTCTATGAAATGATGCATCAGTACGCTTCTGCCGTCGAACTCGCACTCAAATACGATGAAGTCGAGCTCGCTGCTAGCGTCGCAGATCAGCCCGGTATTGATGATGCGCTGCGCAAGAAGCTGTGGTTAAAGGTCGCCAAGAAAGTAATTGGTCAGAACAAAGGGATCAAATCTGCTATTGAGTTTCTCAAGCGATGTGAACTACTGCGAATCGAGGATCTCATTCCATTCTTCCCTGACTTTGTGGTCATTGATGACTTCAAGGAAGAAATCTGCGCTGCTCTAGAGGATTACAGCAGGCAGATTGACGAGCTGAAGAGAGAAATGGACGAGAGTGCTAGCACGGCGCAGCACATCAAGCAGGATATCAAAGCTTTGGATCAGAGGTATGCGATTGTGGAGCCGGGCGAGCGATGCTGGAAGTGCAGGCTTCCACTCCTAATGAGGCAATTCTTCGTGTTTCCTTGTCAACATGCTTTCCATGCAGACTGTCTTGGGGAGATGGTCATGCAAATCGCCGGCATGGGCAAGGGAAAGAGAATCAGGGAATTACAGAAGGAAATAGGACGCGGTGTTGCGCTTGGGACAAGAAGGGAGGGTATGGTGCGCGAATTGGACGGCCTCGTTGCTGGAAATTGGTAGGTTGTGACGTTCTCCTTGTTGCGACGAGGGTGTGGCTAACGTGGAGCAGTGTCCTTTGTAGCGAGATGGCGGTCAAGCAGATTGATGAGCCATTCATCACTGCCGCTGATGACGAGAATGAGTGGGCACTATGAACAGAGCTGTCGCTATGATGAATTTTTCCGATACTGACGGAACCTGTCGAGACGGCGTCCTCAAAGCCATCCGAAGGCGCGCTCTCACTGGAACAACCAGTTCTGGAGCTTCTAGCATCCTGTCCAGAAGCACAGTCACGCATCCTTAATAAGGAGCTGGGATCTCTGGTCTTGTTGGACATCTCCCATATTAACACCCCTGGCTATCAGACCAATACACAATGACAATATCCTAGCCTCAAGGCTCCTCCTTGAGTTGATCCAGTATGGCGCAATGAACTCTCATGATTGTCTCAATAATGTAAGAAGGCAACTCTCAAATGCCAACTCGCCAATCCGCAACTGACGCATCAAGATCTCATAGTCGGTCGCCGAAATCTCCCGTCCTCGTACACAAATGCCATGTCTCAAGCCTTCAATCCAAGGCGAGCCCGCTCCATTCCAACCCTCTCATCCAGCAGCTCAGTCAGTTCCGAATACGCCTTGATAGCACCTCTGCGCGGTCTCGTAGCCAAAGACTCCACAACTCTCGCATGCGAAGCCCAGATCACCGTCACCTCCCTGGCGTCGGCCTCGTTGTCTGGAATGATGATCCTGGTAGGCTGGATGTTGAAATGCTTGAGAGTGTGATACCACATTACACTCGACTCGAGGTCGAAAGCGATGCTGTTGATGAGAGAGTGTGTGACTGGGTTGACCGGGAGCCATTTGTGGAGAGAGTTCGCGGTGGTCATGGTGAAGATGTTGTTCTTCTCTTGGGTCAGCAGATGGTCTGGGAGATTGAGTGTTCATGCGGCCTACTTCAAGCCAGATAGGGACGACTTCTTCGCGCATTTGGTGGCTGGTTTGCGCGAATGCTGGAGTAGCGCAGTCGGGGCCGCTGGATGTGGAAGGTCAGTCGAGGTTGTTTTTGGTGATGCGCGGAGGAGCACTTACCGGACGATGATCTTGTGTGCTCGAGCGACAACGAGGCTGTAAATAATGTTTCTGATTTCGGGCGGCATGCGGAAGAGCGGTGACCTCTGCGCGGTCGCCATGTTTGGTGATGGTCGATTCGGTCGGGCGCGTCGTTGATGCGAGGTGAAGTTATCGGTTGGTGATGTGAAGGTTTACGATGATTTTTGCACGGCTCATGATTGGAACCACCAGGTGATGATGATATTTCGGAGCTTCCCACAGGTTGGCCAAGTGAATGGAACATCCATATAACCCTGACCTCCCGAGCTGTCTCGAATACTTGGACCTGGATTTGCAGCCCAGAGAACCATCTACGTGTATTTCGGCGGTCTTTACCTTACTTCATTGTGGACACTGTAAGCCACCAGACATTAACTACATAGACCTGCACACGACATCCACAATCTTGCCACACTCCTCGTCTTTCTGGCCTACAGCCTAGCAAATGTTCAGCTTTTCGAGACGGCGGCAACATTCAACGAAATGCATCCGTCGAATCTGAGTCGGTCCCACTCGGATGCGTGAAACCTGAACCTTGTGTTGTCAAATACGTCTCTTTGATCATGGGGGCTTTGGAATTATCTTTAGCATTACGACCTATGTTGGAACCCGTCAATGAACGGATATTGATTCAGGACCGCATCTATTCCTACATGTTCGATCAGCCTATCGTCAACAAGACGAATCGATTGCTGCGGTTGTTCAGCCGCAATCCCAAAGAAGATGTCGCTTAGGCACACCCATGCCGTCGATCATTGGTAGTGTATTGGGATACCACCGGTGAGGCTGAAGGAATGCAGCTCTCTCGTAATGAAGTCGAATGTTTGCTATTTTTTCACTGTTCTTTAGCCGAGTGCCGCCTACACTAAGATGGTAGCGCGATGGTAGCCTACGTCAAGGCAATATAAGAAGAACCAGACATCCAGCACTTGGGACATTGAGAAGCACCCTTCACAGATTCTCATCATCGACGACACCATGCAATTCACCCTCATCTCTGCCATTGCGGCTCTTACCGCTATAGCTTCTTGCTCGCCCGTGGCTATGCCTGATGCGTTCTCGACTACCTTGGAGACCAACACTCTCAATGCTCGCCAGAGTAACTGTACCGAGTACTGCTCGAACAGCGCTGGCTGTGTAAGTGTTTGCTGCCGTTCTAGAAGAGACCAGTTGCTAACTTTCTACAGGTCTGTACGGTCCGACCATCGGATTGCTCTGAGTTCTACACCGTTCAGCCTGGAGACACCTGCCTTACCATCGCCAAGTCACTCAGTAAATTTACTGTAACTCAATTCTACCGCTGGAACCCCAGCATTGGCCGGAGCTGCTTCGGATTGCAAGCTTACGTGCCAGTTTGCATTGCGACTCCTTGGTTAGTATTTCTTTCTTTACGAGAAGCTTCGACCTTCCTCACCATRAAATGGATATGCTAACGCCCTTGGTCGGCTACAGGTACAACTATGTCCCTCCCGTTCAGCCAGAGTTTGGAACAAAGTACACACCAGATCAGACTCCTGTTCCATTGATGCCAAACATCATCGAAAGCTGCCAGTTGTTTGAGTATATCAAGCCAGGGAAACGGGTCGATGAGCTGGCAGCCGAGAATGGCTTTGAGATTGATGATTTTGCCGCGTGGAACGGTAACAGCACCAGTGCGTGGGCGTCTAACTGGGCTTGCGTCAAGGCTTGAGAGGTCGCATCTGATTGAGCACCGTCAATTGCTGGGTTAAGACTCGTATCGAACGATGGGATGCATTGTCCTTTGTTTGCATCACCAGACGTCAAAAATATCTTGTTTAAGCGATCGAGCCGCTGCAGAAATTACGATACGCGACTATCAAAATTTTCCCTTGATCATCATGCATTATGGTGGGAGTAGATCTATGTTCAGGCTCTACAGCACACCCCACGCTCATCCCACCCAAGGCTCCACGCTCTAAAAGTAAGACCTGCAGCTTTACCCACCACCCTCGTGCCACCCCGAAACTGTCGCACGAGCGGTTATAGGCTCGGAATGCCTTGGACAGCGTGAATCGCCACTTCAATTTGCTGTTTAGTGGAAAGTGCATCGTGAATGGCTGCCTGAAATGAAACCTGCTCAAAGACTGCGGTGTGGGGAATTCGCTGTTCAGTTGGATACGCGTGGCTGACCGCAGGAGTGATGCGCGGTTAAAGTGACGCTGTTGTGGATCATGCATGAATGTGTGCATGCAGGTATCCAGATAGAGATTGAAATATGGGGAAGAGTGGAGAGTTGCGACTTATAAGTATCAGATGAGCTCGCGATCATTTTTTTTGGTCTGGCATAATTGACATTGGGACGATAACGATTATTCACTACTGCACTCTGGATATTGTGGTACGCCAGAATCTTAAAGGACGCCGCCGGAGTTCGAGAACGAAACAACAGCAGGTTTGACTCCAAATCGTGTCACAAATATGCCGTGCTACGAACTCACGGTCCACTCTCTCCTTGAACGGCTTGCACAAGAGGATCTGGATGCGGCGGAAGAGCTGCAAAAATTTGAGGAGAGAAGCGGGAGTAGTCGAGCATCATCATTCTCCTCGATTGCTTCCACGGAAACAGAAAAATGCCGGGGTGAATCCCAAAACGAGATCGACTTCACCAACTTTGGTCGCAAGAGCGCTGTGGGACACAATGTACCATAGTGTGAAGTGGAATATGCATCGAGCTTTGAGCTGGCGGCTCAAAAGTGACCGAGCCGAGACGTTGGATGCCTGATCTTGGGTTGGGCAAAGCCGCGCTGGGTGGTGCCGCTCAGGTGGAAGCAAGGAAACGAAGAGAAGTGCCATTGATGTGGCGCCGATTCCACGCACGTTGAGCATGGGCAAGGCTTCGTGAATCTCGCAATTCTCAGAAATGCTCTTCAAGCCTGAGGGCGAAGCGCCTTGCCGCTCGGTGAAAGCACGGGCGATGACCCATGTTTGCAACAAAGGTGGCAGGAAAACTGAAAGACTGGCTTCAACACGTCTTTTCCACGCATAGCGAAGAGATATTGAAGGCCATAGGGTGGCGCGTCCGGGGATAGAGGCTAAGTTCGCAGAAGCTCTCCCTTACAGGAAGGTCCAGTGAGGTTTAATAGAAAGGTCAAATAGTTGGCCTGTATCCATCTATCGCAAAGTTGGCCAAGATGTCCGTCGTATGGAAGCTCCAATCGTCAAAGGTTCACGCAGCAATGTCATCCAAATCTCAGAGTGCTTGATTCTCCATGACGGCTCCCGTATACGACAGCAGATTCTTTTCGAGATTCCAGCGACCCATGTCCTTTTTGATGCGACTGAGAGCTAGGAATTGCAAAAGGTGTCGCGAGTAGGCTTGTTCAAGTCAGGTATTCAAGCGGTGAGCGCTCTCGGGTGAATGCTGCCTTGGAATTATGTCTTGAACGACTTTCCTCTCAGGAGCGGGGTCTCCCTATCATGGACCGGCGCACCATCAGCACCTCCACACGACATATTCCAGCGAGAGAGATAGTCGTGCAGTCTTCGATCCGAGCTGGCTGGCCTGAGCTAAGGCCGGCTCCAGCTATTTAATACGTCCATTTCGAAATTCCAGCCTGGATAGGAGATCTCCCGTTGGACCTGAGGTTCCTATCGTATGCGAGGAATTGCCGTAGAGTGCGGGGACTTTTGGGATCGAAGGTGGCTCATCACGTACAGGAGCGTCCGGCGAATCCTCTAGCTGATGGTATCGTCAAGCTACCGCGGGCGATTTCTTTTGTATACACTCATGGTCTCGAGGATAGCGGCCGTTGTCAAGAAAGTAGCATGAAGTGCTTTCGGTCCCGATCTTGCTAGGAGTCGCCTGTCTTTATTTGGAGATGGTCAAGACAGTTCACGGCCAGAAGCATTATTACCTGACTCAACACACTTTGGCAGAATCCATTAGCGCCAGCGGGCCCTGCCGCCGCTACTATATCGWCCCGGCGCGACATCATGTGCAAATCTAGAGAATATCTCACACACAGCAAACGAGCACCGTGTAGACGCACGGAATTGCTCAGGATGGTCCAATAGCGACCTTCTCACAGAGACCTGTGTCTCAACAATTTACACATGGCACCCGCCTCCAGGAGCCACTCCCCGGCTATCATGGACGACGACGATGAGGTTGAGCGGCGGAACAGCACGGCACGATACCGCCGACCGTCGACCATGAGCGGGGTCAGCTTTCTAGGCGACGTCGAAATGGCCCAAGACGAGATATTCTCAGGGCCAATGTCCGAGAGCGTCCCGACCGCGTCAAGCTCCTTTCACCACCGCCGATCGCGAGCAGACTCCAATGTCAGCTTCACCTACTACGAGGAAGACCGCGATTTCGATTCGGAGGAATTCGCCGAAGAGGCGATATACGACGAGGAGGATAGGCTAGAGAGTCAGAGCTTGAATGGCGAAAACACGTTCTTGGAGCCAGAAATTGAATTCGACGACAGCACCGAGGATGCTTCCCTGGAGTCGCGGCGACCGAGCAGAGGGAGCAGGAAAAGCTCCACATACTCCCGCAGCTCACGTACTACAAATGGCTCACGACCGTCTACTGAACAGCCGCTCTTGCGGCGGCATCACTCTGGCGACTCCGATGTCAGTGGCTTCAAAATGGGCGGTCGCGTCAATCAGAAAATATTCATTCTCAATGAAGACATGACCATAGTCGTAGCGGGCTTCACGACCTCCTTGATCGGGTTCGCCGTCTACGTGTGCATCTGTGTGTTGACCGGCGGAATTGGATATCTCCTGTTCCGCTGGCTTCCCAAATGGCACGTCCGGCTCACGGGGAAATCTACACCACTTGCCAAATGTGACTGGGTAGTCATCGAAAATCAGTGGGGGGAGATGGCGGTCCAAGATCTCAGTAAACAGGAGTTCGATGGATCGTTATCCTCCGTCTTCGGACACAGCAGGGCCAAGATGCAGGAGTATGACGAGTATGATGACCCGGTCATGGATGAGCTGCGTATTCTTGACTACCGCTACATCCGATTCTGCTTTCATCCTGTGAAGGACAAGTTTGTTCTTGGGAATACCTGGAAAGATCCCACCTGGACAGACGTCACCGCAGTGAGAGCTGGTATTGATGGCGAGGAGCAGGAGATTCGTGAGCGCATCTTTGGAAARAACGCCATTGACATCGAGCAGAAGACCACGGGCCAATTGCTTCTCGATGAAGCGTTTCACCCGTTCTACGTCTTCCAGATTGCCAGTCTCATACTATGGTCTATGGATGAGTACTACTACTATGCCGGATGTATCTTTGTCATATCCCTTGTCAGTATCGTTACTACACTCATTGAGACTAAGGCGACTATGAAGCGCCTGCGAGATATTGCGAGGTTCGAATGCGATATTCGTGTACTTCGCGCTGGATTCTGGCGATATGTGGATTCCAGCGAGCTTGTACCAGGTGACGTTTACGAAGTCACGGATCCAAACCTTGGGCAGTTCCCCTGCGATAGCATTCTGCTCTCCGGCGACTGCATTGTCAACGAAAGCATGCTTACTGGCGAGTCGGTGCCCGTTTCAAAGACTCCGGCCACGGACGAGACCCTCGACATGCTCAACTTGGGATCATCAACCATCCACGCAGATGTTGCGAGGCACATGCTGTTCAGTGGTACCAAGATTATTCGTGCCCGACGCCCACAAGAGGACAAGAGCGACGAGGCCGCTGCTCTTGCACTCGTTGTCAGAACCGGTTTCAACACAACTAAGGGTGCTCTCGTTCGCTCCATGCTCTTCCCGAAACCGTCCGGCTTCAAGTTTTACAGAGACTCTTTCCGATACATTTCCGTCATGGGTGGCATAGCCGCCATCGGCTTCATAGCGTCCCTCGTCAACTTCATCCGTCTGGGACTTGAGCCGCATCTCATCATTGTCCGCGCTCTCGATCTCATCACAATCGTCGTTCCACCGGCCTTGCCTGCAACGCTGACCATTGGTACCAACTTTGCTTTGGCTCGTCTCAAGGGCAAGCAGATCTTCTGCATTAGTCCGCAGCGAGTGAACGTCGGTGGAAAGCTCGACGTCATGTGTTTCGATAAAACTGGTACGCTCACGGAAGATGGCCTGGATGTCTTGGGTGTGCGTGTGGTATCTCGTCCGGCCAACAGGTTCGGTGAGATCCTCACAGAGACCTCCACCCTTCTTCCCGGTGCTACATACGAACGAGATCCAACCATGGACTACAACGCCAACAAGGCTATATTGTATACCATRGCTACTTGCCACTCTCTGCGCATTGTCGATGATGAATTCATCGGAGATCCTCTCGATCTCAAGATGTTTGAGTTTACCGGCTGGCAATACGAGGAGGGCGCAGAGCATGCTGGGAATGGCGACGACGATGAAGAGCTCTCCCTGTCTCCTTCAGTAGCTCGACCGCCACCGGGAATGGAGTTCGACATCGACGAGGACCAAGCATCACCAAACAGCAGGCGAGCCATCGAGCTGGGGGTACTCAAGACTTTCGAGTTCGTTTCGCAGCTTCGCCGTGCCAGTGTCGTTGTTCGTCAATTTGGCGAAAAGAGCGGTGACGTTTATGTGAAGGGAGCGCCCGAAGCCATGAAAGGAATATGCCGGCCAGAGAGCTTCCCTGCGGATTACGATGATTTGCTGGCGTACTATACCCACCGCGGATACCGTGTCATCGCATGCGCAACAAAGCACATATTCAAGCTCAACTGGTTGAAGGTCCAGAAGATGAAGCGGGAGGATGCCGAATCTAACCTCGACTTTGTTGGATTCATTGTCTTCGAGAACAAACTGAAGGACACAACAACCGGAGTCATTGAGGAGTTAATGGAGGCCAACATCCGGACTGTGATGTGCACAGGAGACAACATCCTCACCGCCGTCAGCGTTGCTAGAGAGTGTGGAATAATCGACCGCTCTGCTCATTGCTTCGTCCCTCGCTTTATCGATGGAGACGCCCACACAGCCCTCTCCAAGCTCACTTGGGAGAGTGTTGACAACCCGGTGTATCAACTCGACGAAAATACCTTGAAGCCACTTCCTCCTCCAGTGGATCACGATTCATCGCTGCCTTATGATGTGGCAAACCTACGCAACTACTCAGTCGCCGTCAGCGGGGACGTGTTCCGTTGGATTATCGACTTTGCCTCGCCTAAGGTGCTTCGCGAAATGCTCGTCATCGGTCAAGTCTTCGCTCGAATGTCACCTGATGAGAAGCACGAACTGGTCGAAAAGCTCCAAAGCATAGAATACTGTGCCGGCTTTTGTGGTGACGGTGCCAATGACTGTGGAGCGTTGAAAGCCGCAGACGTTGGCATTTCTCTTTCCGAAGCGGAGGCCTCGGTTGCTGCGCCCTTTACCAGTCGCGTGTTTGACATCTCCTGCGTACCAKAGGTCATCCGCGAAGGGCGCGCCGCTCTCGTCACGAGCTTCAGCTGCTTCAAGTACATGAGTTTGTACTCGGCGATTCAGTTCACCTCTGTGAGCTTCCTCTATGCCTCCGCCTCCAACTTGGGCGATTTCCAATTCCTCTACATTGACTTGCTCCTGATCCTCCCGATTGCCATTTTCATGGGCTGGTCAGGACCATACCCAGAACTTTCCCGCAAGCGACCCACGGCAAGCCTGGTTTCGCGAAAGGTTTTGACGCCGCTCATTGGTCAAATCGTCATTTGCGTCTTGACACAATTCATCGGATGGTGGTTTGTCAGGCGTCAATCCTGGTATCAGCCACCCATTCTGGATAAGGACCACTCCAACTCAAAGAATTCTCAAAACACCACCCTTTTCTTGGTGTCTTGTTTCCAGTACATTCYCTCGGCCATTGTCCTCTCAGTCGGCAAACCTTTCCGGCAGTCGATGCGCCATAATCTCCCATYCGTCATCACAATGCTGGTGGCATTGGCCATTTCAGCGTACATGCTTTTCGACCCAGCGCCTTGGCTGGAGGATGTCATGGAACTCACATTCCTATCACAATCTTTCAAGATCTTCATCCTCATACTGGGGCTAGGCTCTTTCGCGGTGTCGTACCTGTCCGAAAGGCAGATACTCCCCCGTATTGCGAGATTGATTGGGAAGGCCATCCATCGCTTTGGACAGCCGAAAAAGAGGAAGGAGTACAAGATCATATTGGAAGATATGCGAATATAGTGGATGTTTTGTAAATAAAGAGACGGTGGGCAATCGCTGCCCAGAAGCTGAAATAAACCACAGTCGTTTGAGGAAGAGCGCAATGGAGCATCGCAAGCACCTCAAGTCGCAACGTCGCATCATCCCGTCGCTTTCATGATTCCCCGATCCTGCTTTCCCGTAGAGGGCAGTCAGAACCAAAACCACAGGGTAGTCCATATGAGCACGTTGTTCGGTACCAAGATCACTCTCCAGCGACGATGGATCTCGGAGTCACGGTGTGGAGAGGATGTTGCCTCTACACGTACGAATAGCACTCACAAAATCGAGATCGCCAAGCGGGCACACGAGCTTTGTATATCCATGACATCGTCTATTGATTTCTCAATCAGAGGATTATCGCACGAACGGAACGACCATACTCGGAGCTGATTGCTCGCAAGGTCTGACGTATCATTCAACCCCATTGTCTGCGCCTTCAACCAAGACTTCAAGCTATTCGGCTCTCGCAGCCTCCGCATTTCCAGGCATCGGGACATTTCGTGGGCGCGGAGACGGCTTTGCAACTTCCTACTGGTCCTACACGGTGGAGCGAGCGGAGCTGCATCTATCGCTATTGCTCGAGGTGTGGAATACGTGGATGTGCCGGAACGCGTTTTGAACATCCGCCCCGCTAGCGAAGAGAACCACGCGAGGCCTTGYGGGGTGGCGGGATCTTCATCCAATGGGCCTACAGGTTGTGTCTCACCTCACCCGTGCCAGGGTTCGATTAAAGTGCTCTGTCGCGTGAATCGCGGTGAGGTACTAACGTTATCTCGAACGGGATGCCAAACCCGATGCGGGGCCGTCAAAGCCAAGCAGCAATGCGATGTAAAGCCCTTAGGACTACTTGCCTCAGCGATGTCTCGATCTGGCGTCAGTATCCATGGTTTCCCGATGGAGTTCATCAAAAACCCTGCACGATCGCATCAGGGGAACAGAATGGTCAGCTGCACTTTACATACACACATTCTTATCATGTGCAGTCAACCAAGTCGGAATTATGCTCCGACAATGCGATGATCAGATGCTAGAGCTCGCAATACCACGGCGCACCCACGCCATACACCTCGATTATTCGCGGGGTTATTTCAAGCACAATCGTCAAGCTAAGATCAATTAACCTTTTCCCTATCGTGGTTGTTCTCTATCATCGCTCACACGTGGCAATATCCATGCTCTTCGGAATACTCGCTGGTGTTCGCGCGTAGGATCTTCCATGCAGGAATCACAATTTGACCATGGAAGATGAAATTTGACGAGATCCCTAGACCAGGACTTACAAGACCGGTTAAAGCACTGCATGTGCTACTCTCTTCTCCCGTCCCGATAAAAAGCGCTTTGGTCACAATCAGGATCGTGATTTAGCTTCACGAACGTCTCACTTGGTCATCTCATCACATTCCCCCATTCCACTACGAAGAACACCTGATTCCTCGTCCCGTTTTCTTCGATCTCCACTCTCGCCTCGCGTATAGGATGGAGGAAGCACTGAGGAGTATCCGAGACATTCATTAGTTGGCTAGTGTGAGTTACGTTCGCGTTGTGGATCGATCGCCACGTTATCAGTGAACCAAACGTGGTTGCAATGCTCCTTTGATGTCTCAGTATGTTGCAATGGTAGACTGGTGTGTTCGAAATGATGATCAAGGATGCTTGACCGATGTACTGATATACTGCTCGCGGTGGTTCATTTATTTCTTCATATCTTTTCGTTCGTGTTGGAGGATTCACACCACACAATGTTATTCCTGCAACCTAACACTTGTTCTCGTCCCATGCAGGACCAAAAGGCATTATTATCTTCCAGCTGCTCTATCCGTTCCAGTATCTCTCTCGAGACCAATTCCACCCTGAAGGAGAAGATTGGCGCGATCAAAAAACTTCAAGAATCCCACAGCTCTCTCCGACTCAGCGAAGGGCTACACAAGCGAGCACGACGATACCTTTCCCGTAGGCTACCTGGACAAAAACCTCCCAAAGCAATTCCAGTAAGTCTTACAAGCAGCCTCAATAATCATTCAATACATCTCCTAACAACATCAAAGCCCACACCAAACGACATCTCCTTCACATACACCATCGTACCCTTAAATACCCCCCCAAACCCCACGCAACCACTATCAAAACCCAACAATGGAGAAAAAGAAGCAGCAGCAGAAACAGCCCTAATAATCACCTTACAAAAATCCGCAAGCAACAACAACATCCAACAAACAATCGAATCCGCCCTACGAAATTTCCCTGCAGACCACATTTTCGTCATCGGGAACGATGGCAGTGAATCTCCAATCAACAACAACAATATTACCAGTAGGATATGTGCCTGGTTCGGGGTACGATATATTTGGCTCCCTACAACATCTAAACTCGTCGCTCAATACGTTGGGTTACTTGCCGCGAATCGTTTTCGGTATTGTTTGTTTATAGCTGAGGACGTGGTTCTACCGAGGGATTTTCCTGTTCTGAGTGATTTAATCGAAGACAGTTGGTTTGGAGATGGAATGGCGCCTTTAGGAGGCATTGGATACGCTTTGCAGACCACGGGGGAAGAAGAACCTCGGATTCACGAATACTCCTCGTCAAGTCTGCCGGAGAATTTCTTTAATAGATCCTGGGACGGCGGTTGTTCGGCGTTTCCTCATGGAAGGATTTCTTTGTGGGAGCGTGGTGTTTTGAAAGCGTGTTTTGAAAGGCATCCTGGTTTTGGGAAATCGGCGAATTGGTTTTTGGGGATTAATTTGGGGATTGTGCTGAGGAGGAAGGAGGRGGGGTTGGGGGATTTTGGGGAGATGGTGTAGTGTGAGTTTGGGGAGTTCTTGTGTGGACTGGACTGTAGATGTCTTGATTGATCCCTTGGGAACAAATGAAATTTCCAATTATGGTGGTCTTGAAAGCTGCCAGTTTTGTTTGAGTCCTCGGTTTGGGCTTTGTGGTTGAACAGGGGAGTAAGTGCGGCAGGCATACTTTACAAATTCGCATGTATAGTCTACGGTCAAGAATAGGGTAGCGTTCATGCTTCGAAAACATGTAGCCAGCCATTCGATGCCTACTTCGTACATACACGTTGGTCCGCTTCCATGTTCAATTCTCAATATCGATTGTGCACCTCGCGGGGCGGGGCGGATCTCCTGGGTTTTGCTTTGAAGAACAAATGGCCAGTGTCCCGTTGGGCATGGATGAACCATTTAACGTCAACCCTGGCTCCCATAGGCAAGGAGAGCTTAATCGACAATTCCAAAAGCATGGCATCAGATTTGCTGAAAGATTCCAGCCTTATGAATTGCACACGGGCGTGTGTCCGAAATCTCGACCGGCACGACACGGCTAGTAGAACGACCGACCTCCTGGTGGACCGCCACCACGACCTCCTCTATATCCATCGCCCCGATACGCACCGCCTCGATCGCCTCCTGGACCTCCGCGACCATTGTGCCATCCACCGCCGCCTCTGCCGCCACGACCACGCCCATCGCTGTATGCGCCGCGGCCACTGTATCCACCTCTATCACCGTATCCACCTCGATCACTGTATCCGCCACGATCACCGTATCCGCCTCGATCGTTGAAGCCGCCTCGATCATTGAAGCCGCCTCGATTAGATGCCAAAGCACGTGCACGCTCAATAGCAGTATTGACATCGCCCACTCCTCCGCCCTCAATAAAAGGCACACCGGCATATCCAATGGCCTTCTCCATGAACCTCTCCCTGTTAGCCTCGGCCTTTTGAAGCGCATCATACGTGTATCCATAGTAGTTTCTTGTAGGTCGCTCTGGGTCCTTCCAGACCTTGTTACCCATCGGGTCGATGTCCAGCACAGCTTCGGGATCCGTGTAGTCGTCAAAAGCATGCAGCATTTCCGTGTATAGCCAAGTCACATCCTTCTGCAAGTCCTTATCTGCCTCAAGACCTCCGCCACGAAGTTTGAAGCCGCCTCTGGGTAAGCCACCCGCGCGCAAAGGAAAGCCTCGCGTGTTCTTGAGGTGCAATCCATTCGCTGCTGGCAATTCATGCCAAGGCGCGCCAGGATCGTCTTTCACGCCGTGGCGATCGGGGAGTACCCAGCGATGTGCTTCCTGTTCTGCACGTTTCCGGTCTGCTACTTCTTGTTCTTCCACTAGCTTGACACCTTTGAGAATTTCAGCAAATGGACGGGTGTTAACCGCATTGGCCATGGCAGTCATCCCGTCAATCTCCTCGGACGGGAAGAGGCCAATCGTCCGCCATTGTGCAATGAGCTTGAGAAGCGCTTGTAGCTGAGGCTGGTCGTCTCTGTGCAGTCCGGAGCATGCAGCAAGTTCGAACAACTTTCGTAATACTTTTCGACCATCCGAGAGAATGGTGGAAACTTCAGCAGCTTCGAGGTGAAGTGGAATTCTCTCTTGCGACGACCAATGATGGAGCGTGGCAAGAATGTCGTGCAAGAGGTAGACGATGTGCAGCCTTTTCGCTGCCGATAGCGGTGGCTGCTGCATGATGCCACCGTCTTTGACATATCCCAGACCTTCATCTTCATTCAATGAGCTCGGAGCGGAAAGTTTCCAGTCTGTTGGCCGCGGTGTGAACAATTTGCTCATGGAAATCAAGTACTCGAATAGCGCTGCTGTCCGGGTTGGAGAGCCAACAATGTATTTCAAGATGTAGCGTTTGCAGAGCTATAATGTGGTCCTCGAATGAGCAAGCCAAATCAGGTACAGTTCGATATGGGACAGACCTGGACGTTGTGATGGGTGCAAAAGTTGAATGTTTTGTTCAAAAGTCTGGCCAGAGCTTGTGCTTCGTTCTCTCTCACGGCAGGCCGCAGGCCACGAACAAACTGTTCGCACGCCTGCTTGATGTTAGTGACTTCCATACCGTCCTGCATGTTGGTTGTTGATGATGATCTGGCGGAGTGATGTAGGTAGTTCTACTGCAAGCAGGAACACGGAGCAGGGATGTGGAGAAGCGCTCGGCGCCGATCCCGTCCTGTCTCATCTCCACTGTCCCGTCGGGATTAAGGTGGACCCTGACGTGGACCCTGAGATTTAGCGATGACATCGCCCAACCTTGAATGTTTTGTCTTCAGGCACGAGGTACATGTACTTTGCGAAGCTGCCGGTGTTTGTGAGGCGCGAGAGAACGGTGACGGCAAACACCCACGTGCACTTACAGATGTGTACTCGCGACATATGAGATGTGACTTTCCACTCCAACACCCACCTGCCCGCCGTGACATTTGACCACGGGCATCAGCATCAGCATCCATCCACCACCACCCGACGATATGGGCGCCTCGGAGTCGAAATTAGCGTTCAAACAGTCCATCTTCCAGCTCTCAAAGGACGAGGAGATCCATCCCGAAGATACTTTATGGTCACAGTTCTACACGCTGCCGGAATCCGCCGACGACGTCTTCTCGCTCTGGTCACCAAACGATTTACACAATCTTACCCGCAAGAACAGTCGCGATGCGCAAGTTGAGCCCAGAAAGAACTTGGAAACACTCGTATACAGTTTGGTGGCACGATTGGTGAAGCTACAGACCGAATTTGATCTCCATGACGGCAACCCAGAGCAGAGGAACGTGGAGGTGGTGAATTGCATGCGGATCATCACCCGTCTGTTTCCCTTCATCTACGAAGCGCATCATTTGCGAGAATGGACGGCCCGTTTCTTTTGGCAGCCGCGTCGGCCAACATACTTTTGGGACCACAAGCATGACCGGCCTGGTCGTTTGTTCGATGGGCTAGAACCAAGCAAGGGGTATGCGATTGACCAGTTGGAAGCCACGATTGGGCCGCCTTTGGGCGAGGTGCTTGTGAAATGTGTGGTCAACTACTGCTTCTTTCCTGGATTTACCATTCCAGCGCGAATTGGAGAAGACGGACAGGCGGAAAAGGCAGTCAACGTGAGGGTGTGGCAGACGGGGATCGGCAGCAGCAAGAGCTTGGGTTGTTCGAGAGAGAATGAAAAGCATCAGCAGGAGACTGTGAGACTGTTACTCACCATATCAAGTCTGGCGATGTATATCCCACCGAGTGAGTGCGAGTACAAGGCTGTGGACTGATGATTGCTAACGATCTTGCACTGCAGGCGATGTCGCTGCTTCAGACATTCAGCCTCTCACGTACATGACAACTCGACTGGAGAAACGGGTGGTGAATGGACTGCTATGCTCTCTGCTGAATACTGTTCTCAAGTACAATCCAAACTTGTGGTCAGCCCTTTCCAATGTCAATGGAGCCTTGGACCTTGCCACTGGTGCCAACGAAGCGAAGAAGATTTTGGTCACAAACTCCCTTCATTTAATCCTCGTATTGGCGATTTATGATCCACCCACAGCGACGAAGAACCAGTTTCGTCAATCTTTGAGCAGCCTGCATCGACCAGATGATCTCCAGTTCATTCAGACCGGGCTGAGCACTGTTCTTTCACAGCCAGTATCTACGACGGGAAACTTCACGTACACGATTGGGAAGGATAGAGCCTTGCCTTGGGCTCCGGAAATGATATCTCTTCTTTGGGAGCTCCTGCAAAGTAACAAGCGCTTCCGACGTTATCTTATCGAAACGGGATGCGCGCTTGATTATGTTGTGCTTGTGCTGTACTACGCACTCGACGCAAAGGACGACGCTGCGAAGCATGGAGTGTTGAGAATGTGTGTGTTTGTGCTGCAGACACTCAGTGCAGAGGCGGTCTTCGCAGCCAAGCTGAACCAACCCTTCAAGCATATGGAAACGCTGCCTGTCTTGATGAGAGTTCCACACTTCCATGGCTCTTATGCAGACTTTTTGGTCTGTTCGATCCACACCATCTCTCAGACCGTCCAGCGGCGTCCGGAGCTCGAGAGTGTGTACCCTGCGCTAGTGGCCATCATCAGGAATGTTGTACCGTCGCAAAAGAATCTGGCAAGGGCCACAAGCTCCAAGATGATGAGTCTCTTCGAGATGCTCTCAAGTCCGGGTTTTCTACTTGCGAATGATAGCAATAATACCTTGCTGATTGGGTTTTTGGAGGCGTGCAATGAGATTCTAGCCAACCATTCAAAAGGCATGCCACAATCTGATTACCCTCACTTTCCGGTCTGACGTGTCAACAGATAATCCTCGCTTTATTGAAGTACTCGTCGCAAATCGTTCTCGCTTCAAAGCGCTACGAGCTCTCACCGTCGAAGGTGCGACGGCCGAAATGGAGCGCCAAGCACAGGAAAGAAAGGATCAGGGTACCACAGACTCGCAAAGTGTCTCGCGAGCAGCGTCGTTGGATGGTAATCTGAGTCCTGTATCCACAAGGTCTCCGTTATTGGGTATTGTTCCTGAGGATGAACGCTTCGCAATTGGCGACGATGATGACGAGGATGATATTGGCGACATGGCACGCCCAACCTCACTCAGCGAAAAAGCCAAAGGAAAGCAACCCGAGTCAAACTCGAGAGGTTCGAGCGTCTCCAAGGCCACGTCCACAAGCAGCTTGCAACCTTTGATCATACCAAAACGGGATGGTCTAGGTGCTGGCTTCCAGCCCAGTCAAGCCTGGCTCGAAAGCTGGTATTCACGGCTACCGTTGGGCCCCATTTTTGAGATAATAATAGACAAGGCCGAAGCCAAGGCACCGCAGAAGAATTGTTCTAGCAGGTCGACAGAATCCAGCCGAACGAGCACAGATGAAGCGAGAATCACCAAGCGAGATGTCATGGAAGATAACGGTGGCGTCGCTGGTAAGTTCCATTCCTTTTCCATCCCACAAAAGCCAACAGACTGATTCATGTATCCCGCACGCAGAAGACCCAATTTTGAAATCCCCTCTAGCGACGAATTTCCAATGGACATCCGTAGCCATCGGCTGGTATACCGCTCTATTATGGAGTAGAATCTACCTCCAAGAAGCAGAAGCTTTCCAGGGTTCCGGAGGACTGTACAGTAGTACGAATGTCGTCCTCTTTCGCCGTTCGGCTGGCAGTTATCAGGAGATTAGTCTGAGAAGTCCAAAGGGGGCTATTGATGCTGTGGGGCAGTCTCTTGCGCAGAGGATTAGTAGTTTTTCACTCTCGGGGGCGGAGGGGGATGGGAAGGTTTCTACTTCTTCTCCTGCTGCTTGAGGTGGGATGTGGGATGGGGGGTGGTGATACCTATGTCTTGATCTTATTTGTTGAGAGAGGTTTTTGTTGTGGGGTGTAGATGGMGGKGTGAAGGGGGTGGAAAGAAAGTGCTTGTAATAATAAAAGTATAGACCTTCCTGTTCGTTTCGTTTTATTCTTTTCGCCCTTGCACTTAGGGTGTGGTGTCCGTCTCGCTTCTACAAGGTAGTGAGTTACGCGTAAGTTAACCAGTTCTGCTACCTACTTTGCAATTGGATTTCTCTTCAGAGCTAGGTAGTAATGCCCCTATTAGTATCCTGAACTTGTCATATAGTAATAGTAAGGGAAGTCTTCATTCGAGAATGAGAAGATGGAGTACGGTAGAGCATAATCGCGTAGTGCGTGATGAATTATTCTTACTAGGTATAATGGGATATAGAAGGTATCGCCCTGCTTTTAGATCGRGATAATTTTGCTAGGACTAAACTCTTTAGATGGATGATTAAAGCCTTCTTATGGCGATTTAGAGAGCTCGTGGCTAATAATAGGAGTTGCCTCGTTAGGGATTATAAGTTAGAGACTACCTTAGTAGAGTAGGATTTGTAAACTCGGGTATAATTAGGATGCAAGGTTATGTTGTGTACCTTTCTAGGGAGATTAATGATGATGATGATAATAGCTGGTTAGTTGGTTTGAGGGTTTGAGGGTTTGATTTTCAGTCGGTTAGAGATGTCGGCTAAGGGTTACCCTTTCTGAAAAAAGATGAGATAAGAGAGGGTCGGAGGGGAAGTGTAGGATGGAGTAAATTAAATCATTTCATGTTGCGTTTGTTAGGTGGAATGGGTATGCTGGGAAGGTTCTCTTTGATGCCGGGGTTCTTGGTACTTAAGTATTGTACATGAGTATTTGGAGGAGGTTTCTCTCTGAGGACATACTTTCTCTGTCATCAGGCTTGGAATTTAGACCACTCCCTCCATCACCCCCCAACCACGCGCATTTCACACACGATACCCGTCGTCGTCGTCGAAAATGCTCCACCTTCCACCACCCCTCTAAAAACCCCCCAACTCCATCCCTCCTACTTCCTCCTCTCCTTGCCCTCCCCAATAACAAACCCACCCCTAACAACAGCATCCCTCCCACAAGCACAAATAACCCGAAACCTCTCCGGCCCCAACAACACCCCCCCAAACCACCTCGAAACAACAACCACAACCCCCCAAACCCCCATAACCTCCAACAATCCCAACAATTTGCTGCCCGCTCCGGACTCCCCATCATCATCACAATCCTGAAATACTACACCCCCTGCCCCTAGAATCCTCCAGGCGGAAATGTTATGGGTTGCTTTGCTGGCTTTTTTGTCCGTGGTTAGGAGGTGCGTTATGTAGGATTGGGCTTGTTGGACGGATGTTACGGGGGCTGCGCGCGCGAGGAAGGTGGRTTTTTTGGAGGTTATGCTTGAGGAGAGGGTCCAGGGTGGTTGTTGTTGTTGTTGTTGTTGTTGTGAGAGGGGGGGATTTTGTTGGGTGGGAGTATTGGATGGGATATGTGCTGCTTCTGGATTTGAAGAAGAATGTTGATCGTTTAAACTCCGTGGATGGGAAGGAGAAAGAGGAATTTGTGATGATGTTTCTCCCTCGCTCGTCGTCGTCGCCGTCGTCGTCGTGAACAAGGCATTTGTGTCGCCGAGATGGGCGAGTTTCAGACTGCTTTCTTCTATGAGGTCGAAGATGACCGGGGCGCCGGGAATGAAGATTTCCGCGAGGAGGGCGTGCATGATTTCCACGATTTGAATCCCGATGCCTTTGGGGAGGTCGTTGCCGATGGATTGCGTGCCGAGGATGGAGGGAGGTGTTGTGGGGTAGTCGGGAGGGAATTCTAGACGGAGAGAGACGGATGGGAGGGAGGGGAGGGTTAGGGAGTGGATGTTAGGGGAGGAATTGATGGGAGAGAGGGTATTGTCGCCGTAGATGGAGTTGATGGATGCGATTTCGTCGAGGAGATCGCTGGACATGTTTCCCTTTTTCTTTTTTTTTTCTTTTTTTTTTCTTTCTTTCTGGGTGTGGTGTGAAGGGGAGTGGGCAATGAAGTGGGAGATATGGTTTTTGGAAGCTTGATCTGAACGCCAGCAAATGTGGAATGTGGATTTCTTTGACTGGACTTGTGGTTTCGATGAGTTGTCAGGGACCAAGTGAATGAAGTGGAGGTGGAGGTTGATCAGTTTTCACATTCCTTGGATTTCCATTGCAGGTTGAAAGTGAAGTGAAGTGAAGTGAAGCCAAGCCGTCTCCGTCCATTCGATTCCATGCCCGCCAAGCAAGACTTTGATCGGAAAAGCGGGGCACGATCCGATCCGATCCGAACTCCGGTGCAAGTCTCCATCCTCTCTACCTTCGGCTGGCAACACAACATCGGATTGCCCTCTTCAATTGACTTCACGAGATAATATTCTCAACAATCCTCGAGCCCACCATGGCCGTGACCAATGCGCGCCCGGTGAACATCTCCTCATCCCTCCCCGCGCCGAAATACACGGGCGAAGAGGAATCCCTCCCCGTACACGCGCAATCCACCGGCCCACGAGTCGTCGCGGCTCGAGACTTGGAATCGGCACAACTCGTCGTCCAACGATCAGGACCTCCCCCTCCCACATATGGCCAACGATCGGGTTGGAGACCACGAAACGCCGAGGATTTCGGAGATGGAGGCGCTTTCCCCGAAATTCCCGTCGCGCAATATCCTCTGGACATGGGCAGGAAAAATGCGCCCTCATCCTCCAACGCTTTGGCCATTCAGGTCGACGGCGAGGGGAAAGTGAAATACGATGCGATTGCGAGACGGGGACACAATGAGAAGCGGATTGTACATGCTTCCTTCAAGGACCTCATTCCCTTGAGACAGCGGGCCGATGTGGGCGATATTTCCCTGGAGAGACCGTCGGAGGAGGAGATTGCCGCGAGTACGGAGAGGACGCAAAAGGCGCTGCAGGGCTTGGTGGCCGGGACTTTGGCCGCTCAGAAGCCGAAAATGGTCAAGGGAACAACTACACGCCCCGAGCCTACATTCGTGAGATATACCCCCGCCAATCAGATGATGGGAGACAACTCGGCCAAACAAGACCGCATCATGAAGATTGTGCAACGCCAGCAAGATCCCATGGAACCGCCCAAACATAAGATCAAAAAGGTGCCCCGAGGCCCCGCTTCTCCTCCTCCCCCCGTCATGCACTCCCCACCAAGAAAATTGACGGCCGAGGATCAAGAGGCCTGGAAGATACCCCCTCCCGTCAGCAATTGGAAGAATCCCAAGGGTTACACCGTCCCGCTGGATAAACGTCTGGCGGCGGATGGTAGAGGCCTGCAAGATGTCACCATCAATGACAAATTCGCCCACTTCGCCGAAGGATTGAATGTTGCCGACCGACATGCGCGGGAGGAGGTGCAACAGCGACAGAGGATGCAGCAACGTCTGGCGGAGAAGGAAAAGGAGCAAAAGGAGGAACATCTCCGTCAATTGGCTATCAAGGCCCGTGCGGACAAGGACGCCGCCATGGCTGCCAGATCGGGAGGTCGTCCCCGCTCCCGTTCGGCATCAACATCCCGATCCTCTCGCTCTCATTCATCATCATCATCCTCCTCCCGCTCGAGAAGTCGCTCCCGAGATACTGAAGCCCAACGTCGTGCGCGCGAAGAAGCCCGCGCCCTCCGTCGCAAGGAAGCCCAACGCGAACAACGTCAGAAGAACATGGGCCACGAACGTCGCGTCCAGATGATGGCCCGCGAACAGAACCGCGACGTGTCGGAAAAAGTCGCCCTCGGTCTCGCCAAACCCACACAATCCAAGGAAGCCATGTACGACTCCCGCCTCTTCAACCAATCTTCCGGTTTCGCCGCCGGCTTCAACGAAGATCAACCTTATGATAAGAAACTCTTCGCCGAGCGGGATGCCTTGAATAGCATCTATCGGCCTTCGGTTGGGGGGGAGGATGACGACGGAGAGGACGAAGGGGAAATGGTGGAGAAGATTCAAGGGGTCAAGAGGTTTGAATCCCTGGGGAAAGCACCCAAGGATGGCTTTAAAGGCACCGAGACGAGTGAGAAGAGGAGTGGGCCTGTCATGTTTGAGAGGGAGAGGAAGGAGGATCCGTTTGGTGTCGAGGCGATGATTAGTGAGGTCGAGAGGGGGGTTCGGGGGAAGAGAGGGGTAGATGATGATGGGGAGGGTGGTGGTGGGGGAGGAAAGAGGGCGAGGGTGGATGATGATGATGAATGAATGAGTAAGTAGGGGTGGGTTTGTATCTTTTTATTAGGGTATGGTATGGTATGGTGTGGAGGGCAAGATGGCGGATGAAATTTGGAATGGAATGGAATGGAACGTGAGTTGTCGATTCTGATTCTTCTCCTTCTTCTTCCGTCTTGATTTTACTCCCTCCCTCCCTCTCCCGTGTATGATGGAAATAGAAATATCTATCTGTGTTGTGAAGTTTCCTCGCAGTTGTTTGAACATTTTCCAGCAGAAAGAAATATGAACGTCTGTCTACTTTGTGATGAAGGTAGTAGGTTGTTGGTAGATATCTTGAATAGGTCATCACGTCTATCTATCCCCCTCTCAACTAACTTATTTATATCTTACTCTATAGTTTTCACTCTGTGGCTGTTCAATACACCCATCTCTATTCCCCGCTACTGGACGATCTCCCGCTATTGCTCGATTTCCCCGTGTCTAGGAGGATGGGTTCGGAGTTTTGCTGATTTTCATCTCATCTCATCACCATAGATAGAAACGAGATGATCGGGGAAGTTCTTTTTTTTTTTTTCGTTCTTGGAGGGGAGAGAGAGGGGGAGAGAGAGAGGGGGAGAGAGAGAGAGGGAGGAAAATATGAGGAAGACGGTGATATTTTTCCAAGAGAAGAGAAGAGAAGAAAAGAGTGGAAAGGAAGAACAGAAAAGGAAGAGGGTTATAGCGTCGCTGGGAATGCGCGAAATACCTAGTCTTTACTTTTTCCATGTTCTACTCGTCTTCTACATCCTCTAGTAGCCGTCGTAACTACTACATCCGCTTCCACATCCGCATCCGCTTCCACCATCGCGTCCAGCACCGCCGCCGCCACCGCCACTGTCGTTTCCACCTCGAGCACGGAGTTTGCTGGCATTTGACGGAGTTGAGAAGAATTTTCTACGGTTCCTACTACGGACGAGTAGGTGGAGGAGGAGGAGGAGGAGGAGGAGGAAGACGAGGAATCTATTACAGATTTCCGTCGGAAACGCGACAAGGACAACTGATTCGTCTTAATCTACAACGACAATAACAACAGCAACGACGAGGACAACAACACCAACAACGACAGCAATATCAACAACAAACAACAGCAGCATCAGAAACAGTGACTTTTTCTTTAGACGTCACCCCGCGCGCCTGCGAACTTTTCCCCCGATTAGGGACAGCAACATCAGAATTCCTCCCTCTTACTTCAAAATTTGTCGGGAAGTCGAGGAGGTCGTTCATGAATCTCCCGCGGCCCTCATTCTTCTCCACAATCAGCACTAAAAGGCATCCCACTGGAACAACTACTTTCGCGCAAGTAGAAAGCCTAGTCGAGGAAATTTGCAAGGATGATGATGATGATGATGATGACGATGATACCATCGGCTACACCAACAGCAGCTGCAGTAGATAGAGGAAGAATGCGAAGTCTAGAAATCCCGGATCTTCCGATCTGGCTCGTGTGGGTTTTGGCCCTGTTTATCCTAGGAGGATTCATGATTGGGGGGATTATTGGTTTCGTGACTTTTCCTCCTCCTCGTGCTGGGTTTTCGTTGAGGTGGGTGGGAAAGATGGGAATGTGGATGAGGGGGATTGTGAGGAGGTTGATGGGTTGGATGAGGAGACGGACTGGAGGGTCTAGAGGAGGGTATGTTGTTGTTGTTGATGGTGGTGATCACTTCTACGGCACTGGTCACGGACACCAACAACAAAAATGGCAACAAGGAAGGATTTACCTTCCTCCGACGACGACGACGACAACTTCCGCGGAACCTTCCCCGCTGCTCCCCATACCAGAATATGCGGTGAGGCAACGCAAGAATTCCTCCACGCAACACRCACAATCGTCTCATTTTGAAGGAGGGAGCAATTTGGGTCTAGGAATCGAAATCGGCATGATGGGGAAATCTTTGGAGAGGGAAGATGTCGAAGAAGATGTGATGGAAGAAGAAGCTCGAGGTGAGAGAGGTAGTAGGGAAAGGGAAAGGGGGGTGTTGAAGAGTGTGGAGATGGGCATTGAGAAGTTCGCGGGGTGGTTCGCGGGGATTTGGGATGAGGAGGTCGTTTTTGGGGAGGCGGAGGAGGGATTAGTATTTCGGGTTAGAGATGAGGAGAGGGAGGGATGGGAGGGATAGCAGGAGTGGGGACTACCTGTGGTTTATAAGGTTGGAGATGGAACTTATCGTACCGTCTCCTACCTCCGAACATAGTCACAAAATCACCCTTAGAGACTTGATAGAAGGAATGATTTCTTCTTCCGCGGTGCTCTCTCTTCTTCCTTTCTACTGGTATCCTGGATTTTTCCATATATTAAGTTCTATAGACTTTTTAGGTTTTCTACAATTCTCTGGTCTAACTTACTATAATACTCCTTTCTTGTATTTCATAAGGTATGAAGTAAAGTAATCGACGAATTAGTAAGATTGGAGATGTAGCTAGCCTTATCGCCTTCGTATGTTGTACCTAGAGCTCGTCCTTATTCTTACGATACTTAACGCAATACTTCATATCCTTAGTCTACTATGGCTTCTCTTGTACATATTAGGTACTAGATCCTAAAGAGTTTACAATAGTCGTGTTCAAAGGTATAGCGAAGGGCAAGATACACAGGCAGAAGAGCTGTTAGTTAGATTGATGTAAAGAGAAAGAGATAAATCCTCCATGGTTTTCAATGCCAGGGTGAGGTCGAGGCATTGTTGACTTGCCTTTACCACAACTTCTAATAGGACTACTCGAACGGATTGTAATGGTGAGCTATCTTGTCGTAGTCGAGCGTATAATGAAGACATAAGTGTCAAGGAGCCATCCGGAGATAGATCTTGACGTTCGTCCCCATGGTAGGAATGTTGTCGTTAGGAAGACTTAGAGGGAGTCGTTACTTGGCTGAATGATACCACCGTTGGGGAACATCTCGTTCAAAACCTATCTTGCACCGACGAGGTTACTTACAGATCACTCCCTCCAAGACAAAGCCGTAAGCCGTCAGCATCCAACACAACACCCCTTAGGACACTCTCCATCCTTGACAGCACCTCCCATATCTCACTCTCCTTTCTCAGCAAGATCCTCCCTCCTCGACTTACTCTGCGGATCCAAATACGGCGGCTCCCCAATCCCCACAGCCCGATGTCCATACCTCTCCCCCAAACCCTCATAATCATACGTACCCGAATGGAAAGTACACCGATTATCCCAAATCGCAATATCATTCTCATTCCTCCATTTAAACCTCACGCACAGATCATGATTCTCCACAATCATCCTCTTGAAACTCTTCAACATAGCCTCCGACTCCCCACTCGTCAACTCATTGATTCTGGTAGGAAAAGGTCCAATCGCCATTACACTCTTCCATCCCGTGGCAGAATTCGTGCGTACCACGGGGTGTATAGACGTAAACTCCACATTTTGAGGATTTCCTCTCGGATCTTTGTAAACAGCCGATCCCATGGAATTATATCCACTCCCATCAAAAGTCGCCGTCAACCCTTCGAGAAACTTTCGATAGGCTGGGGAACAACGATCATAAATCTCATACCCCGAAGCCCAAACCGTATCCCCTCCCGTTGTGGGAAGTTTGGTCAATCGCAAAGACGTGTAATCAGGCGGGACCCGTTCAAATTGTACATCGGAATGCCAGTCCGCTTCATTATATTTCTGTTTATTCTGTTCGTAATCCGCTCGCAATTTAAGGAATTCTGCGCGTTGCGTGGAACTGATATGGGAGATTTCTGCATCGCCGACTCCGAGGGAGGAGGTATGGTTCATTACAGGATGAATGTGGAGAGTTGATTCGGCGGGTTTGCCGGCTGCGAGACCTAGGAGATGTACGAGGGATTTCTGGTGGTCGATGGTGAGGTTGGATTGTTTGCGGAAAAAGACGACGCCGCGGGAGGAGATTGTGTGGGCTAGATCGCGAATTCTGGCGGTGGAATTCGGGGCTTGGAGGATGTCGTTTACGATGTTCATGGAGAGGTATTCCCGGCCGATAATGGGAGTTGAGTCTTCGTATTCGAAGGCATCGAGGGATCCGGAGGGTTTGATCGGGGTGGGATATTCTTTTTTCCGGTCGGTGGACATTGTAGGGAGTGCGGTATCGACCGCTCCTGGGGCCATAGTGGGAGGGATCTTGATATCACAAAGTCTGGCTGAGATGTAGGTCCGGAGGAACAGGAAGGGTCGCAATTGGGACTTGCTGGGAAGGCCCGGCATATATATCTCGACGAACCTCTTAGCTCTCACTTTTACTAGCGATAAGATTGTTGTACCTGATAATTGCCGCAGTGTTACCGCATCGCAATCGGCGCTTTACAATACTGGTTAGTATCCCCGACCCGTGGGGGCATACCGGTAACCCTTCGGCCTCGAAATTGTCGGTTTCGCTTTTATGCYCACATCTGGTTCTCGCTTCCGACTTGGACGTCCCGAAGTAGTAGTATTCCCTAAAAGAGTGTTGGGTGTATCCAATCGGGATTGTTCATCATTTGAGCATCACCATCACCACCCAACCATATCAACCACGTCGGGGAATGAATCAGGTAAATCTTTATATCCGTTCAAATGTTGGATTCCATTTCTCCTTTTTTCGAAAGAAAGAATACTATCAAAATTATCGTACCGATCTTCATAAACCTCGTATATCAATGCCATTCGCAAACTCTTCTTCATCGGACTTCAATAGCTATATGCTTGAAAATTAAAAAGTCCTTTTGGTAGGAGAATCGTCCGCTTGGAATGGATCGTGGCCAGATTGATCCTCTCTAAGCTGTGTCATAGTCATTCAGTCCCATGGAAGAGATACATGTGCACATACCGCAAGACCAATATTGCATCTAACGAATCCCGCAAAGCCTCGACCGCACTGGCTCTGACTTTAAAGTCCGGCTTGGGGTAAGTCATGTATAAATGAATGTACCAGCTTAGCATACGCTTGAATCACTCTTGGGACACCAGAAAATCTTCCCATTCTTATATATTTACATAATTCGAGAGGTCCAATCGATTCGGATGTGCATGCCACACAAACTGACTGTCACTCAATCCAAGAACAGAGGTAGGTCATCCTAAACTTGCAAGACATCGGTCTCCCTGCCGTAATCCTCCAGCTTGTTCGACTCTGCAGCTCACAACCACCATCATGGCTCAGACCTGGCAATAATTATACAAGGGATGTGTATATAGCGACCTAAGGAGTAACGTGATAACAACTAGGGACGACATGTCGACGCCAAAAACAGGTCCAGGAGAAATCTTGGCGAATTTGCATGTCCCGTACGCCGAAGCGCAATAGACAACATGCTTGGCTGAAAGTGTCTTCCAGAATACACTCTCGAGTCTACCATTCAGACATGGCAGTCATGATGAACGGGTATGAAAGTGGTTTTCGAATCTCGCTCTAGGATGACTGAGTTGCGTAACTTCAGTCAAGTTGGGCTGCTTTTTCTTCTCCGACCCAGCAAGGTCACATTTCAGAGCTCGGTCCCAAGATGAAGGAAAAAGTGTATGATGCCAAGTGTTTGACGTAGATTTAGGAACGGCTTGTGAAAAGGAGGCAATAAGCAGCGTCCTCTATTTTCAACGTCTACTCCCTGACATAGTGATCACCTATCTATTGGAGCTTTCATCCTCGACGGATCTATTGTCTTAACATGCATGCGTGTTCCATTTCTGCCAAAGGTGGATTATCAGGCGCCACATCTCACATCAGCAATGCCATGATCTTTGATCGGATTTCCTCCTGATGGGAAAGTGAGCGTCACACCCATCTATCGTCATGTTTCTTGAAGATATTAACGGCAACATGTAACACGGCAAGCAATTCATTAACCTCAAACAGGGAACCTTCAAGCGAATCGCTCCCTCATTTGATTTCACAACTCTCATGCCCCGCATCWCATTCATGACCTCGGGTAGGCTAAAAGGGAATACGCCTCTTCGCTACTAATACCAGAAGATTCGCTGACTGTTGGGAGATGGATGATATAAACCTACCCCGGTATTTCCCCAGGTTTTGGAACGAAGCCAGAATCTACTGCTTACACAGCTGATATGCCTCAAGACATGGAAGAATACGTTAGTCCCCAATAAATCTTCTCGTTCTATTGAACCTGCTCTGATAATCGAGACTAGGACTACATCGTAGCTGGTGGAGGTACGGCTGGTTGCGTTGTAGCTGCGCGACTGGCAGAAGACCCCAACGTTCGCGTTTTGCTGATTGAAGCCGGAGAGCATAATCGGGATCTCGAAACTGTGTAAGATGGCAACAACAATCTCGACACTGTACACACGCTGATGTTGGGAATATCAAAGGCACTCGGCCGGCCAGTATGCCAAAAACYTTGAAGGGCCAAATAGCTGGAACATCAAAAGCGTCCCAATGCCGTCATGTAACAATCGCAAAGTTCCTCTTCATCGAGGCCGCTTTCTTGGTGGTTCTAGCGGAGCCAGTAAGTGCTTGTCCATCATTGCCTCTCTATCAATCACTGACGAACGTGCAAGACACTTGCTTCGCCATCCGAGGAACCAAACAAGACTACGACGACTGGAATCTTCCAGGGTGGTCCGGCGAGGAATTCTTCGCTGCCATGCGAAAGTGTGAGACCTTCCACTCCAAAGATTGGTTCCAGCATGACCCCAAAGCCCATGGCACCGAAGGCCCAGTGAATATCGAGCCACACGATATCGCACCGATAACAGATCTGATGCTCGAGTCATACCAGTCGTACGGTCTTCCCTTACATCCTGACATGTTCAGCACGGGTGAACATGTCAATGGATGCGGTCACGCTCTACGTACCATCTACAAAGGCCAGAGAAGTACAGGGGCAGACTATGTCACCAATGATCGTCAGAAGAGTAACATTGAAACATTGACCAATACGCTCGTCGACAAGGTCACACTGGAACGAACCGAAGATGGAGGCCTGCGAGCTGTTGGTGTAGAGCTGCGAGATGAAGTTGATACTCGCTTGACTGTCCGGGCTCGCAGAGAGGTGGTCGTATCAGGAGGCGCATACTGTTCCCCAACGATTCTGATGCGGTCCGGGATCGGACCTCGCGAAGAGCTCCAAAAGCATGGCATCGAGTGTACCGTGGACCGACCAGGAGTCGGCCAGAATCTAGAAGACCACGTTATTGCATTCATCCCCTATGAAGTCTCAAAGCCTCGCTTAACGACCGATCATCTCTCCTGGCATGGAAATGCAGCCGCTGAGAATCTTGCAAACTACACCAAAGATAAAAACACCTTCCTAGGAACAATGCCCTTTGGAGCTTTCGCATATGCTCGTCTAGATGAACGTCTCAAAGACTCATCCCTCTGGCAAGAAGCCCGTTCTAGCGCTCCACCAGGCCGTGATCCCATGGGCTTATCGCCCCAACAGCCCAACATCGAGATTTTCCACACGGAATGTGCTCCAGCAGGTTTCGAACCCGAGGGCGGCGAAGCCAGTATCTTTTGCACTGTCGTCGAGCTCTTCGGACCACGCTCTGCCCGGATGTCATAGTCATTTCGTCAAGTGCGCTTTTTCATCAACTACGCCATATACGTACAACAACCTTCGTTAAACAGTCCTTGCTTTATCAATCATGCTGCCCTTGCTTAATATAGCCTTGTATCGCAATATTAAGGGGTTGTTAATGAAGAATGAGGCCAATTTAGTCAAGGTAAGGGCGTTGTTATCTCAACTAATCCTCATTCCTTAAGCTTTAGAAATACATCCTTTCTTCACATTTTCACTATACTACACATAACGCATATATAGCTATATGCTGCACGTAGAATTAGGCTAAGTACCTATCTAAAGGATCTCTTGAATTTACAGCTCTATATTACCGTTATTAACTAATCCACTAGCTCCTTAATCTACTATGCTTTCTTAAGCCGACTTAGCTAATTTAGCCCTTAACCGCTCTACCCTATTACGACTAGTCGCTTTATCCTTACGTCTAGCCTACGCTATATATACGCCTATACCGAATACTAATCTAAAGCACGTAGTAAAGCCGTTTACGGATACGGATCGCTTTCGCTTTAATAAGTATCTAAGGGATACTAAGGATATAGCAAAGATAAGAGTTATATAGGTTCGCTACCTAGAGATTATAATATAGGTTACCTCGAGTAAGACGAGCATTAAGGGCTACCTTAGACGTAAGATAAATTAAGACGATTACAACCTTCGTAATTAGGCCTAGAAGAAGTTCAAATAGTATAAGGAAATAACGAGGATATACGTAGTAAAGAACAATAAACAATTTAAGGTAATATAGGCTTATAAGATGTTTAATGCCCTTATAACCGAGCACTATAAGATAGCGTATACTCGACGTAGGCTATTAAAGGCTCTAATAAAGAAGTAGTTCTACGGTATAACAAAGGGGGACATTAAGGAGGTCCTTAAGTACGTATATAGGTATAAAACGGCCTATTCGCTCTCTTACTAATCCCTTATAGGTATTACTATATATGTAATCTTCTAAAGATCGCTCTATCTAAGAAGCTAGTCCTAATCGAACACATCTTTACTTAGAACATACTAGACCGTATTTAAGGGGATCTTGTTAATTATAGCTCTAATCCGGACGGCCCTTACCTCTATCTCTTTTATTTAAAGGATTACCGTACGAAGTTCTATAAGGTATATTTAATTATATTAAAAGAGGCGAATAAGGTCGCTCTCTATATATTTAACTTTATTAACTACTACGGCTATATAAGGCTATAGTAGTTTAATAACGGAGGCGAATTTAGAGGAGTAACTAAGCACCTTCTTAAGAGCTATAAGACTAATATCGTCTATAGTACGCTCTACTACCCTTAGTTATAAGGCCTTATTAAATAGGCTAACGGTATAATTTAGAAGCGGATTACGGCCTATAAGATTAAGCGTAGTAAGAAGAGCTAGGTATTACCTACTCTAAACGTATACCGCATCTATAACTATATACATTATTCGGCTATTAAGATAACGCCCTTTAAAGCGTTCTTTAACCGCGACCCCCCCTCCGTAATATCCGTCGAAGATATAGCTACTACGGCCGTAGTTACGAGAGCTAGTAATTATATAGAGGTTCTTAATGCGTTAGAGCCGCTTAAGGGACTAGTAGTAGCTCCGGCTCTTAATAAAGTAGATAATAACATAGCTAGTATAGTAACTACTACTACTACTACGATTACGGACGCTTATAACGACGTATTCGATAAGGATTATAGGCCTATAATTACCGGAGCCGGAGCTAAAGAGGAGGGAATAGAGGTAATAGAGCCGTAATATAGATACTTTAATAAGCTAGTATATACTAAGGAAGCCGTAAGGCGGACAATCTATACCTCTACCGCTAGTACGGTACTCGAAATTAATAACGAGCAGCGTGTATTATAGGACGTTATTCGAGTTAATTAAGCCTCCGCGAACGCTAACTACGATAGAGCCTATAACTAACGTATATAGCCGCGGACCTTCGATATTAGCGACATCGTTAGTGTCTCTATCCCTAAGGAGTACCTCGTTAAGTTCGGCCCTCGTATCGTAAACGGTTAGATAATTAAATGTTAAGATATAAATATCTCGATAATCTTACTAGGCTAAGCTAGGAAGCTAAGCTAGGCGGGATCGGGTTAGAGCTTATAGGAAGTCTATAAAGTAAAGTAAAGTAGGATGTTCTATTCTAATAAGTAAGATAAAATAGTAAGTTATACGCGATGTGCTCTATAGGGGATTATATCGCTTCTATATATACTAACTATAAAGGTAAGCTATCTAAGCAATCCGAGCGCGAGCGCTCTAAGCGCTTAGATAGGGCGTCTAGTTAGTCTAAGTAGCACTAGGAGGAGCGCTCGGCTTAGCACCTAGATTACCTAACCTAGTTACGCTCCTAGCGATCCTATCCTACCCGCTCTATCCTAACGTCGCGTATCTATATAAGATTACTAGTCCTACGGTCTTCCCTATCTTATTTATCCCTAGCGGCCTTTCCTATACGGGATTATCGCTATAGGGAGGCCCTACGGGATTATTCCGTAATATTAAAGCGGTTAAGGATAGGCTAAGTATATATCGTATTATAATACTATAGGGCGAACTACGTAGTTACTAGTACGTACGCTACTTACTACGTATTAAGGGCTCGTTATTCGAGTTATTCGTAGTATACGCTAGCTATAAGAATATAGTAATTATAATAGTCGAGGCCTTACGTAGATAGTTACGAATACCTACTAGCTTCGTGTACGAGTATCGCTATAAGGGCGGTTATAAAACAAACTACTACGGCTATAAGCGACGTAGTAAGCCTTATACGGATAACTACTACGGCTCTAGTAACTACTATACTAATATAGACGACTATAGCCTACCTATAGATTACGTATACTAAGATAAAGGCTAACGAGAGCCTTTACCGCTAGCTCTAGCTCCGCTAGCTATAGCTCTACTAACTCTACTAACTCTACTAGCTCCGCTAGCATCCGAAGGGCCTCTAGTAGAGCCTCTAGCTTTAACTCTAGCGAAGCCGATACTAATACCGGCTATAMGAGCTAGTAAGCGATAAAAGCAGCTAATAGCGAAGGTAATTAAGAGCGTGCTAGTAGGTGTTTAAAAGAGAAGAGCGGCTAGACAGCTAGCTAATAGCAATAATAAGGGCAATAGTAGAGGTAAGGGCAAGGGCAAAGCAGTGTAATATAGCTTAATTAAAGACACCAACACCAGCTTAATCAAAACACCAGCTTTTTCATTAACAACGCTATATACATGAACATGTTCAAACAGTGGCTAATTAGCCAATCAGAGCCTATACAGTTGATCAAGTAAGCGCACTTTGACGAAAACCTCCACTTGACGAACGGACACCAACAGGGACGGTGAAACTCGCTTCTGCTAATCCCCATGATAATCCTCTTGTCGATCACAATTATTTCGCGGACGAGCTTGATTTGGAAGTTTTGGCTGAGGCTGCTCACTTTACTAATGAGATTGTCATGAAAGAAGCTGGGACAGCGTCTGTGATGAAGGGAGCGTTTCCTGCAGATGGACAACATCATACATTTAAGAATAGAGAGGAGTGGAAACCTTGGCTGAGGGATAATTGTCAGACTTGTTATCATCCTTCTGGGACTTGTAGGATGGGCAAGGTCGATGATGAGATGGCTGTTTTGGATGATAAGTGTAGAGTTCGAGGAGTGTCTGGTTTGAGGGTGGCTGATACTTCTGTCATGCCTAAGATTCCTAATGGACATCCGCAGATGCCTGCTTATGGTGTTGGGGAGAGGTGTGCTGATTTTATGAAGGAGGGTGATACATAGTAGTTGATTGTCACATGTGGGAATATGGACCTAAGCAAAGCTTGTTTCGGAGCTCCTACAAGATCCAATTTTGCAGCAAACAGTAATTCGGCCTATAATGATGAGGGTATGTATGTAAAGCGTGCTCATGAAAAAAAAAACGCGATGTCGTTTGCGTTAGTTTGGACATGGTGTTGTCCCGTAACCCCGAAGAAGTGCAAACAGTGTTGGGCTATAGGCAACACCAACTTGACTAAATCCTCAGATTACGGACCTGTCCTCTTCCACATTCTATCCATATCCAGCGAGAAGGACAATATACTACACACAACCAAACGGCCAGTCGTGGCGCAAGCTTATAGCAAAAACGCCGTCTCAAAATTGGAGTGGTTCGTGGATTCACTCACATTTTACAGAGCTCTACACAAGGCTAGACAGTTTAGTGAGGTCTAGCCGGCCCTCTGACCTGAGAGTTTGGTTTACATACTTCGCTTCTGATATCTTCGAGGATTAAGCAYTTGGCGAGAGCTTAGAATTGCTCAAGCATGGACGAGTTGGTAAATTTGGCCGAGAATATCTCGGATGGGGTCGAATGGGCATTCTTCGTAAGCACGCCGGGCTTTGCTGAGTGACCTGCAATTGATAATTATCCGCAGCTGCTCCTTCTTGGTGCGATACTACGATGGCTGCGTCGACTCCTTTCGCGATCTTAGATATCAGGTTTGGCGACATGCAGATACCGGGCTTATTAGGAGAGAGAGGCCGCTTTGAGTACATTCGAAAGTTAAGTCTTGCACTTCTTGTCATCATCTTGCAAAATTAATCTAACAAGGTACTTTAGAGAACTACTGTGATAGCATCGAGTCGATAGAAGAACCACGCTGAATCGGAAGACTATAGACGATTCGATATAATGAGGGTTCTAATAGAGTTCCGCCACCTCCAGAATGTTGGAAAACACTAATGTTCCGTGTGCGAAAATCGTGGCCGTCGGGAAACATAGAAAGTGATGTAAGATTCCCGGAGTCCAGCCAAGATTTTCAGGGGCTACTCACGGCGTTGTGAGGTTGGTTGGTAGTGGAATTTCTCCATTGAATTTCCAAAGATACTTGGATCTTTAGGGAGATATAACACCTAGGTATTATACAACCGACGGATGCAGTATTTCGATAGGAATGTAGTTTACTTGGAATAGTGGTGAAAAATGCCCGATTGGATATTTCCCTAAGGCCGCGGTAGACTGTTTGGCGATACTCGGAATCACCATTGTAGAATCTTACTCGTGTCGAAAATCAGTTGAAAACGTGGTTCCTCCGTCTTTACAAACATGCATTTGGTGTGGAAAAGATTGATACATTTCATCGATTCGGGCAGCGAGGTGGTCTACGGCAAACCACCACATATTTGAGACGACTGACAATTTATAGCAGAACTTCGAAGCAGATGCACTGTGTGGCAGGCTTTTACACGGCGACTTTTTTCGAAAGGCTACACACGATAGCAAGATAAGTCAACAAGGTGCTTGTACCTCTCACATCCCAAGATATGCCAATTGTAAAAGACCTTGAATAAATTACACGACTCTTAGTACGGAAGACTCTTTCTCATATACGGCCCTCCTCCAGACGGCCTGCTCCCAACAAGTCATTTCCACTTTGCCACAAACTCGGAGAGCGCCGCATGAGTAGCAAAGAACGCGCCCTTGGGCCTATACTCCTCATCAAACATCAAAGGTTTAGCGCCCGGTATCCAAGTATAAGCATGCTTATCCGTGAAACCCCAAAAACTAATATCAGTAATCCCAGCATCAAGGGCCTCACCAACAACAGCACCATAAATCTCCATCTCAAGTGTAGAATTCAAAGTATGAACGTCCATTTCCGCGATAGCCACCTCCAATCCAAGCGCCTTATAAGATCGGACGATTTCGGTGATGACGCCTGGAGTTGGAGCAACTGCTGTGATGTGCATTTGTAATGCGATGCCGTCGATGGGTACACCTTTATCCACGAGTCCCGAGACGAGAGTATAGAGTTCCTGACGTTTACCAGGGAGAGACTCCACGAGATTCTCGTTAAGGAATAGTTTGGCACATGAATCTGCTGCTCGCGCAATGCGAAAGGCGTCTTCGATATATTCTGGCCCGAGCACTTTGAGGAAATCGTTATTGTTTAATCCCCCGCCCATGGTTTGGATTGCTTCCGTTACAACATCCCATCGATTCATCTTGTCTTTGTAACGATGCATGATTGCTTGGAAGTGGGTAGTCATAGCGGCGCGAAAGTCTGTTGGATTTGTAATGTTCAATAGGAAATCCGGGTTGCAGCAGCTGGATATCAGTCCGTGTCCTTTGACAGCCATTTTATTATCCTCGGCGAAATGTACGAGTTGATCGAGTGTTTCCCAATTGTAGTTCCCTTGAGTTGGTTCGAGAATTGACCACTTCATTTCATTTTCGGGGGAGAGGCTGTTGAATTGCTTTGAGAGGACGGCCGCGAATTGGGGGTCATTCAGATATGTTGGGTTGATCGCACCGGAACCGATGAGGATATCTTTCTTTGCTGCTTCTTTTCTTAACGACGTGGTTCCAGTGCTAGGGATGGTGGTCGCCGCGCTTGTAACGGCGAGAAAAGCTATGCTGAGTACTGTAGATGCCTTCATGGTTTTATATGGCAAGGCCTGCCTCGATTGTTGGGCAGTTTTTGGGGAGTGATGGTGAGGTCCGTCACGACATGTCGTTGACCTTATATAGGAATTTGGTTTGGCTTCTGGTCCGTCGACGCCGTATTCAATGCCGGATTCGATGTCGTATTCGACGTCGTATGGCTTCCATATACGACGGTATCCGACCGTATAAGAGAGTTCGTTACGCGGCACAATTCTCACATCTCCTTCATCGCCATATACGGTCCGATCAGCGGTCTAAACTCAATCTTGTGAAACTTACAATCCTACGAAGGATCTAGATGGATGCCCCATAGCTCTTCAAGGCAATCAACCAGGCCTAACGTGGACAGAGAGATCCACAAATACTTGCGTAGGGGGTAGACTGTACAACAGTACTCCGTGCCGATGATTTGCTTACGATTCAGCTTTGAATTGCTTAACTTGCTGGACTAGAGCTTGTCTTGATAATCCGGCTTACGACGCTCGTCATGACGAAAGATGTTGCTTGATTCGAGGAGCAGTTTCTGTTTCCAGAAACACTCTACGTACAAAGATCGTATTGTTCCATGGGAAATAGAGGTATCCCCTTTTGTTTTCCGCAGTGTGTTATTGAACAGCCTAGTCCCTGTCGCGTTGTTGGTGGTATCCGATCGCCAGCGACGGTCCGCCACAGTCCACAACGATGCCTTGCTCTTCGAACAGTTTCAAAGAATCGCCAGCCGATGAACATCCGTTTAGCAATCTGCCTTCGCTTGCAAAGCTGCCTGCGAGAGTGCACAGCACGATGTTCCTTTGGAGTCAATGTAGTTCATGTTTGACGCACAGTTCGCTCCGCCGTTGGTAATCTATCCAGATTGTCAGAATGAATCATGCAATGAGTTTGATATCGGATTGTGATTTTCCACGTACCTTGCAATAGCAGTTACCAGCAGACCCGCACACGGCGTCCGCTCCAGGGGCGCATTGCGACTGTAGACTGCTACAATCGGGACACTTTGGAAGATCCTAGCAGCATCATCAGCTCAATTCCAATGCTCTCTCCGCATATTAGATAGGATGGACTTACGATACAGGCACAGCTGCCATTAGCGCAAGTAGCAGTCCCTGAAGAGCAAGCAGCCTGGCTGCACCCTCCATCGCCGCGAGGATCACATTCGTTGGCACGCTTGACCATTCTTCCGGCAAAGATTCCGTTCGCTGGAAGAGCATCGTTGTAGGACATTGCGCGGTTGTGCATTTGCATCTCCGAGCAGGAACCGATGGCAGTGAGGACTGCCAGGACGATGAGTTGAAGCTTCATCATGATTGGTGATAAGAAAAGGATTTCGACGCGGAAGGAATGGAATGGAATTGGGAGATGAGAGATTGTAACGATTGACAAGAAGCGGATGTATGCTGTGCAGATGTGCCAGATGAAGGTCTGTATTTATATTTGACTGTGATGAGACGCAGAAGGGCGGTAAGATGCTAAAGATACCGTCCCAGCACCGCTAGACATGGGAGAGGCATCGCGGAGAATCAGGTCATCGCTCTGGTCTAATCTCATGACGAGATCCCTTGCAGGACTCAGGCCGCCGAATGTCGACCGCGTGGTACTGCGAAGAAGATATTTTGTCCTGATGAGTCCGGAAGCGCGGGATTCAAGGGGATACGTCCCTGCAACTCGGGTATTATTCTGTGTATTTACCGAAATTGAGCTCGGGCAAGCATTAAGCAAGTGCTTATTGTTCCGACCACCCCTTTGAGTGCCGGAGTACTCCGTAGCATTGTGGGATGACCCGGTGGTCACACGTGACACGTGCTCTTATTATTGCGAGCAGAGCTGTAGGATGTCATTCGTTTCGAAGTTGAATTCATCGGCGATTCATCATGTGGTTGGATCATGATATTCCAACTTGTATCGTGCCGCTACAATTTCGGCGTCCGCGGCTAATTGCTCTCTTGTATAGAGCAACGTGAACAGCATTTTTGAGTTCCAGGAGTAGCACGGTGGCATGACTATGTTGCGACGGTGGCAGGACACTAGAATTGGGGTCCTAGAACAAAGCACCGGTATGGCCGATTACATTAGCAGGACGCCGGTGAGGGTGAAGGAAGACGTCTCGCGAAAAGTCTTATGAGGCGGAGTTTTATGAGGGTTTGGCGTGAATGGGAATGGGGTGTAGTGAGTATGAAATTGCTTTGACGGTGAAGAAGAATTTGATGGGGATGGTTCCTTATAGGAGAGCGGAGATGTGAAGTCGTGAATGGGAATGTGAAAGCTGATGTCAGCATTAGGGTATGACCTCATCGGCGCATCAGATGAATGTCTTTGTGGCGATGATCTTCTCTTTCTTCCACATCACAACCTTCATAATACATTCCCACCATGGGACTCCGCCAGCAAGAAGAAGTAGAAGCACCACAGCCTCAATCCCCACCACCAACTGAATCACAATTCTCCTCAACGCCCTCAGCCTCCACCCTCCCCCCCGAAGCCCTCGCCTTAGCAACCAAACTCTTCAATCTCGCTCGCACCGGCTCCACACCCGAATTAGACGCCTACACCACCGCAGGCATCCCTCTAAATCTTACCAATCATGCCGGCGACACACTCATCATGCTCGCCGCCTACCATGGCCACGCCTCCACTTGCCAGATGCTCGTGAGTAAAGGCGTGGACGTCAATGTGTTGAATGATCGAGGCCAGAGTCCGATTGCTGGGGCGGTTTTCAAGGGGTATGATGATGTTGTCAAGGTGTTGGTGGATGGAGGGGCGGATTTGAGCGTGGGACAGCCGAATGCTGTGGAGGCGGCGATTATGTTCAAGAGGGAGGAGTGTTTGAGGTTGTTTGGCGTGGATGGGGAGGGGGTGTCTGTGGGGTTAGGAGTTGGACATGCTGAGTGAAGGATGCGTGGATTCAAGCGATCTGTGAAGGATGTCTCGTATGATGACATGACGATTACGACCGAATGTAAACGAGCCTCGCTTTACGGTGTATGGGATGGAAGATGGGTTTTCCGTAAGACATGAACGGCCGGTCTTTGGAGTTGAAGATTCTTCGTCACTTCGAACAAGATATGGCAAGGGTCGTACACGACGCTGGGTGAAAAGAAGATCAAGACGGTCACTCCATCAGTAGGAAGCAGAGCGCCAATTGGCCATCGTACACAATCTTGCACAGGCCTGCAAGAGCATCTGCAACGAGCATGGCAAGATGCAGCAAGTGGGAGGGGTTGCATCACAGGCACATACTCACCTCCTGGCCCGTCACATCCGACCACAGAGATACCAAGGAAAGGAACGCGTACACCAAGAAGCTAGAGCAAATGAAGCAGATGACGAACGGCACCGCGCCCAAGTAGCTGACCACGGCGAGAAAGGTGCGAGAGATGATTGAAGACGACCGAGGTTGATTATTGGCCAGAAATGGACAGAAATTGGATGGCGAAGTATCGCCACGAAAATTCATCGAAGAATTGTTACGACTCCACGTGTACGTCACGGGCTTTTAGCGTTGTGTTGTAGTCTACTGCATACTACTTCACTTCATACTTTACGTTGCCTCACTCCGCGGAGGCAAAAGTCTCCACGTTTGCCGTTTGAAACCACAAAGCTTGCCCTGGAGAGCAAACCGTGAAGAAACCTCGCCACTGCTTGGTGTTCACAAACGACGACCCCTTGGAGTCTGATATAGTTATAATTTCTGTGCAGTTCTCCATCTCTTTGTAACGCAAGGCTTTACGATCAGATCGTTAAGCAATAAGTCAGAGGCACCTGAACAGCGTCGAGTTCGGAGGAAAACGCCAAATTTAGACTCTAGTCTCCACGGAGTCCTCCGCTGTACCCTTGCCAAGAAGGAAGCGGGAAGCGTGGAGGCCGTGCAAAGGATGAAGTAGGGTCTATAGCAAGAAGCCCTACGTAGATGTTAGTATACCGCGGACCCGTCTCCGTGACTATCCAAGGATCTTAAGCTTTACAAGTCCAACGTTTGCCTCCTACACAAGCCTCTAATCGGCTGGCACGGCTTCGATACTATGGTCATCTGCGACCACCCATTGGCTGACCGGATATCGAGACCGAACTTTTTGCTTGGCGAGGATAATGGCCACTCATCTTGAACCTTGTATTGAACCTCCGCGTAGGGTCGATTGGAGTTGACACAATGCCATTGGACAGCAAAGCTATGTCTCCAACGCTACATGTCACAACCTCTGTGCCATTGGACAAATTGTTAGCATAGACGACACCGCTRCCATTTGAGATGGGCTCCTGGAGCCCAATGGAGAAGACGCCCAAGCATTGGTAGACATGACACGCCTTCAACGCAATTGGATCTCGATGGGTGTAGGAAGTCTCCCAGTCTTTGCTCACGTATATATATGCCATCATCAGAGCCCAGACTCAACAACTCATCACCAGCATTCACCTCCTCTCACTTCCTCATCAAACACCAATCCTCCCAAACAGAATCACCATCAACATGCAATTCTTCACCAACATCGCCCTCCTCGGCTTCGCAGCCATGGCACTCGCCAACGACGACCCACCGGACGGCACCTCCACCTCCATCAACGGCATCGTGGTAACCTCCCGCGAAACAACAACAGACGTCGGCGCCAGCACCACCCTAGTCCCAGTCTTCACCCCCGTGGTGGAAACCACAACCGACGTAGGCGTCTCCACCGACCGCACCACCCTCTCCGAGACCACCGACATTGGCACCACCCCCACCAACACCATTGTCCAATTCGCCACCACCACCGACGTCAACCTTCAGTCCGGATACGCATACACAACCGACGACTCTGGCATGACTATTGCTACGTTTACTGGTACTGGTACTGCTCCTTCTCTCACTTCTACCCCTGCTGCTGCTGGAGGTGACAACAACAACAACGACAATAATGGTAATGATATGAACGATCAACCTTCGAGCACGGGTGGTGTTATGCCTGCTATGACTGCTGCTCCTTTCTTTGCTGCGGCTGCGATGGCTGGTGTTCTGGCTTTTGCTGGGTAGAGAGGCATTTGATGGTGAACGTTGACGAGGAAGCAAAAAAAAGGGGGGGGGGGAAAGGGACGAAAGAAAAGTGTTGAACCAAGGATTTATAGACTTAATATAATATCATGTGTCCGATAATGAAAGGTGCTGTTCTCGATCTCATCTGCATTTTTGGTCATTGTCCGAATGACAGTATCGATATCGCCGATTCGTTTTGACTTTAGGCTGGTCACTGTCTTCCGAACTTGAGTAATTCGAAGAAGTTCCAAAAGAGTTCCATCTTGCTCTTCTGCTACGAGTTCTTACATGTCTAGGATACCTAAATTTGTTCACTATCAGTTGAAGCAGTCGTACACACAACTATTCGCGTAGGTGGAAAGATCTCTAGTATCCTACCTGTATTAACAAAGAAATTTTGTTCCCAAAGTGACAGCCCTACGTAGCTGACTTTAATTTTGGATGGGACCGTTTCGTACCAACCTTGAATGAATTGCGTAAACGCAGACGCTTCGTACCAAACCGCCAGATTATTCTCCCGCGATACGCAACACGTTTTCATGGTTTGTAGTCGCTATCCTCTTCTTCGAATCAGGACCACTACCATCCTCTTAGAAACTCCGAGTAAGATGATATTTCCACCAAGCACAAAGGGAATGTACACTTACCGCCGATAACGAAGAGAGAGTGTTAGGAGATTTTCGAGGAAACATTGACTTAGGAGCAGGATTCACTCCTTGGATTTGTAAATGTGGAAACCTTCTATTAACATCGTCTAACGTAACCTAATTTCAATAAGACATATACTCCCTCCTATTGGAAAAGTCTCGAATACCTTATAGCCGCCTGCCTCACTTAAAGAGACATTAGAAAGGAAGCTATAAAACTTCACTTTACGATATTGAACTTTCACGGTCCGGSGACTTAACATCTTTGTGGGAGACCGCTCGCCATACCATACCCACACGCATTCACACTAATGATTGAAAGTCAACGGATTGAAGGTTCAAATGAAGCGAAAGAYTAATCCATACACTCTCCGCACTTCAAATTTTTTGCAAAACCCTTCCTCCCGCCAAAAGCAGGTGAAAAAAGCGAGGGAAGAAGAAAGAGGGCTAACCTCGATCACTACAAATACAAGTCCAAGGCCCGCCATTAGTACGAATACACGACCTGGACTGCTCAGCCGAACAGGGACAGTCCTTGAAAGAGTGACTCGGACAATACGTCTCGCCCGCATAACCACCCGCCCCACAAATATCCCCAAAGCAAGTCCACAGCGGCGTGACAATAGCATTGAGCTCCCGGGCTCCACTACAACGTAGTGTCGAAGGTCGCTGGTCACGCGTACATCTCGCTCGACCTCCTTGATTTTGGCTACTGGCCCAGTAGGACCCATCGTCCTGTTTGGTGAACGTCATGAGGTTCTCGTTGCAGATCCCTGAAGGGTCGAGGGTGAAGACGTCTGGGGCGTCTTGGGAKTCGTTGGCTAGAACGTAGGGATATTGATTCGGGGAGACGTTGCTGAGATCATGCTGGATGGTTTCGCAGCTCCAGTCGAGTGCGGGTGCGATTCCAGCGCCGATTAAGTTGACGGTGTTTGAGCCCATGGGGTTGGGTCCAGTGCCACCYCAGTTCCAAACGTAGAAGATATTGGAGCCAGTTGGTGCGGGCTGAGGGGGTGGAGTGCTTGTGGTACTTTTGGGCGTTGTTGCAGACTCGCCGGTATCATACATCGCAGTGTTGGGACCAATCAGACCAGCGTACAGAATTTCACCAGCATCGCCTCCGCCGCCCATGAGAGGGATCTCTCCATTGGGACCGAAGGAGGCGGTGTACGGCATCTCAATGGGACAAGCTGTGGTCGATTCGCTCGTCGTCGTGCTACCTCTGGCCTTGCAGCCAACTTTTTCCGAGCACGTTGTGCTGTAGCATGAGGTGGAGAAAGTGCCCGAGTCGGGACCCACGTTGCAATCGACCGAGCAATCCGTGACGGTTGTGCTCTCGGAACAGGACTTCGGGTCGTCGGGGTCGCTATTGCCTCCACCGCCCCCACGGCCACCGGTATTGCACCCTGGTCCTACACAGTCGCCGCCGGAAGGACAGCCGATGCCAATACAGTCGTCATCATCACCACCTCCACCGCCACCGCCACGTCTGCCACCGCCGCAATTGTGCTCGCACTCTGTGCCACAGCCCCTTTTGCAAGCTGGGCCCGGCGGTCCTGGTTTCACAGTGACGACGGGTGGACAATTGGAGCATGATGATGGGGGTGGTGGCGGTGGTCCGACGGTTGGTGTTGATCCTGGGTTCGGACCAGGGGTGAGCACTGGCGGATATGGACCTAGGCTGTACGTCCAGTAAATCCCTGCAATTGTTGTCGTGCTTCCGCTGGTCGTGACCACTGTGGAATCCTGCGAAAGGGTGACTAGATTCTGTTAGCATGGTGGTATCCGGGACCGTGATTTTCTTGACAACTCACCAGGAGGGGGTACGATGCTACTCGTCAAGGCTATGGTGGAGACGCCAGTGTCTGTCCAATTGACATTCCAAACCGGGATTTCCGTGGTCGTGATTGGCGGGAAAGTTATTGTCGTAACTATTCGATGATTGTTAGAAGCCATTATTGAGCACTGTGATGGAGGAAGATGCAGTTTACCTTTTGTCTTGGATAAATAAACCGTTGTCGTAACCATGCCACTTAGTGTTGAAATGAAAGGCCACTCCTCTGTAATCGTCTCGGTGACTGSGGCCGGAGTGATGGTCGTAGTGTATGGTAATGTCCATGGCGGCAGGACAAATGTGCAAGGTGGCGTGCAAGTCACGGCTGGCTGGGTGTTTTGATAGACCGAAGGGTCAATTGTGACCACGCCACCCCCTTTACCGCCTCCATTGCCACCACCACCACCACCACCGTCGCCACCAGCGCCGGAGCCTCCTGTAATATTCAAGTCGATAGCCTACAAGAAGAGATACTCGTCAGTATAGGCCTAAAAGCCTGAAGCTCAAGAAGACAAACATACCCAATCGGATGTACCAGCAAGTCCGAGGCCTTGCGCCCACTGACTACGAGCATCGTAGGTAGGCCCTTTCATCCAAGCAACCCAGTTATCATTGTCATATACCAGAATATCACTGGCCTCATCCGCCTTGAATTGCTGAATGCTAACACCACTGTTTATGATTGCTAAGATCTCCGTGTTGGACAGATAGCCAGGAGTACCTAGACGGAGGATTTAGAATGATCAATTTTCGATCAACGACGAAGACCTTACCAGTGCATTTTCCGGCCTGAGCACCACTTGACGGACCTGTGAATGTACACTCTGGTCCAGTGCAACCTGCTGAAGTCATTTTGAAACTACGGCCATATAGCGGTTGACCGAGCATTATTTTGTTTGCTGGGACCTGCAATGGAGTCAGTCTGGACGATACTGAGAAGTAAGGGGAACATGTACTCCAGCTTTCGTAATCATGGACAGAGCTGATGCTGTTTCAGTCTGGTTGATTTGGGACCTAAGACAATTGCCCGTGACGCATCCAGGATTTGTAAACTTGTTGCCATAATCCCATTGCCTGAATAATATCGTTAGCGGGATGTTCTCTGAAACATCTTGGATTCACGTTAACTTCCACGTACCCATGCAGGTCCTATCAGAAACGAAGGAAGTTAGCAAAGAGTAAACCAGTTGATGTCTCTAATTCCCACTCACATATGCCATATAGATGAAGTAATCAAGTACAGGACTCATCTCCTTCGCCGGGAAAGCTTTCAAATAATAGTAAGACGCTGGAAGCGAGATTGATAGAGTCGTTCCACTGGGAAGTGCTGCCTTGAGAAGCTTGAGGAACTCCAAGTAGTTCGGTCCACTGTCAGGAGAGTCGATGGGGATATTCTCGCCCTCGTCGTCGGGAGCACCGGGATACTAGTACAAGTCAGATTAGATACGAAGATACTTCGAAGTCCTCTGGTCAAAGCATACCTCCCAGTCAATATCCACACCGTCGAGTCCTTCATTTCGAACGAAGTTTGCGATGTTATTGGCAAAGGTCTGTCTGTTTTCAGACATCACTCCCGTTCTTAAGATGTCGTAGCTACTGGGCTACCGTTCTGTCAGCATGAACCATCAAGTTATRGAAGATGGAATCTACGTACCGCCGTCGAGAATGTCCATCCTCCAAAGGATACAATCCTCTTGTATCCCTTGGCTGCTTTGAAGTCCGCCCATAAATCCTCATAAGGGCTTATGGATGGCTGGTAGCTGTCCGAGATGGAGGCGAAAGCCCAGTGTACGATGGTGTACCGGTCAGGAATGGCGTTGACTGCGAGATGGTCGCAAGGCCTGTCGACGCTGAATGCTTCGTAGTAGCCGAGTCTTTCGAACTTGGATACTGGTGAGCTGGAGATGATGTCGGTCCCGCAATTCGATATGCACCCATTGCTGCCGGGCTTCGCCGTGCCGGGATTTCCAGTATCACTGTCGTAGTCAGTACATGAACACTTCTGCGTTAGTAGATGGACTTACGCAGAATCAGCCGTACAGAACTCTGAGGTGATGCCTAACCGACGATATCAGTAAATATGAGGGACGAACAGAAAAGTTTTCCGCATACCGCATTGACCAAACACATCGCAGCAAGCGTTAAGAGGGCAAGGGTTGAGACTAGCCCATGACGAAGGATTGCGGTTGGGTTGCGTGCCGTTGACTTGTGGACCACAGACTGAATTGGGAACGTTGGCCGGGAAAGGTGGCACGCCTGTACTCAAGCAAATACTCATGCCGATGAACAGGTTCGCACAGCCTGTCCAGCCCCAAGTCTGAGAGTTGCGGTTTTCGATATCCTGCACTGTCATTTGGTGCGCTTGTGCGATGGCGGCGCAGTAGTCGTTCGCCACAATAGTGTAGGCGTAGCAACTGCCATCCGACTTGGGCTGGGGCGTGACGTCTGGCAAACTTCCTGATGAACAGCAGACATACTGTTGCAGTGTTAGTGCTGTTGCCGAGGCAAGCGAATTGGCTTCTTACCTGGTTGGGCTGGAGGGTGCTGCAGAATTTTGAGCCACCGTTGTAGGACTCAAGATCACTCTGTGATATACCGCAGCGCTGTGCGATCGCATAACAGCCATCTCCAGACTGCACTGTGGGAAATTTCTTAGTCTAGGTCGCGGACTCACATGTGGTGGAGGTCATACCTTGCGTGTACCGGCAAGTAGCTCTTGGATGTAAACTCCTCGATCTTTTGTGCGACTCTGGCTCGGACGCGGGAGTGATGGAGATATCAGTCCCGGGAACCCTATTCACCTGCACGCCACTCCATGATTTAGTGTCGTCGCCGTCAACACAGCGTGCTTCATTCCAGCTAAGTAGGGCATGTTGGACTGCGACGACATTTGAGGATCCAAAGTAGACAATACCAAAGTATTGAGGGCCGATGGTCTTGTTCGATGCACCATCGCAGGTCTGTGCAGCAAGTCCCGATTGAGAATTCCGCGCAACTTCATCGTGGAACTTGGAGATGACAGAAGAGGCACTCGATCTATCGATCTGCGACCCAATGTATGCTCCCACCACAACAGATGCAGAACGGGCGAACAGGACTGACTCATTGGAGCTGCCTACATAAGCAGCCAGCTCCCCAACAGCGGATTGAGCGGCTGTAATATCGGCATTGCCTCCATCGTTCCAGCTAGTCAACTGCAATGGAGCTGGTGATGGTGCAGTGGCGTTGAGCGATAAGGCCTGCCTCGGACGCAGTTTCAACGCAAGAACGTCCCTTCGGCCTGGTTGTATGGTGGCAGTGTCGTTCCGACTTTTCACTCCGGCCGTGCCATCTGGAAGTACAGTCCCACCAGAAGCCGTGCAGGACCGGAAGTAGAAGTTTTTCCCACTTGTGATGTTGTTGTAAATGTTCATCTGGAAAAGCACGGTGCCATCGCAGGCGTCCAGCTGGCTGAAGTCATGGTAATATGTCCAAGCAGATGAATCATTTCCGGTCGGGTCGCATTGAATTGGACAGGGCGATATTGCTGAAATGAATTGAGAAGTTGCAAGTCGAGGGGTGAGAAATAACGAGGTGGACAGTAATGTCCAGAGCCAAGATTCGCAGGTTTGGCGGTATAGTCTCATATTGGCGTCCTGCGGTGGTCCTCCAACATTTCTTTCTCATGAACTTCGCGACAGTCCCTCGCAGCAGTTATGGGTGCTGCCGTACTTTAGAGTCCGAAAGACCAAAAGTCTGATCTGCACGACGCCATTCGCGATCCTGCATGAGTTCCACAATCGAGCGTTGTTGAGGGCCGCACCAACTTGATCCTGGCGAATCTCATTCTGCCCCATGGCGCTAAACAATCCTTTCTCGTTAGGTGATGCTCATGTTCGTGCGCTACAGCACTAAATCATCACATGTGGAGCTCCGGCAACACGAATCCGTTGACCATCGGGTAAAAGTGGCATGTCTGGCGTAGAAAGTGCGGCATTTGGACGTCCAGCCAGTTGTTGATCCTTTCTTTGTAGCGTGTTAGATATCCTCCATGCAGCACAACTTTCAAGGTTTTTGAACCCCGCAGATACATGCTCCCACACATTGCTGCACCCCTGAAATCCTTCACAATCTTCAATGGCGTCGCTTTTTGCTTCTCTCGGCCGGACCAATGTGACTTTTGAGTCGCAATGAGACCAATCCTACCCACAACCCGCCGGCCTGCGGTGTTGCTGTGGCTTACAAGTCTGTCCTAGATGAGTCTGCAAACGACTTCAAGTTTCCAAGTGGGAAAGATCCGCAAACGATACAGTGCAGATCTGGGGCGCCGCATGCCACTTTGCTCGCCGTGTCGGGAAAATCCGCAAACAATACAGCGTAGATCTCGGGCGCCTCATGCCACTTTGCTCGCCGTGTCGGAAAAGGATTCATCAGGATTCGAAGTCGCATGCATGCCACCGGCACGCTGATAGGACAGGAAGCTTATTGTAGATCATTGCAGACGAATGTGTTCCGTTCACTGCCTTCCTCGTTCATCTCTGTCCAAGATATCTTTCTTTCTCGAACGTAACAGCAGTCATGGCGGTTGTGATGAAGGCTTGCATCGTCTGGTTGGTCTTGGTACTGGGCATTGCGAGTGCATGGTCGTGAGTGGACTCCATAGCCCGATGCAAAGATCAGACTGACTCCGTTCGCCAGATCCGAGACGCTGCGGTTTGACGCAGTGCCAACGTCCGCAAGCGTACTGTCGGTCAGAGACGATACGCCAAAATTCAGCCCTTCGAGGGGATGCAAGGCTGTCTGTAAGGCCTCGGGCTGTCAGGGATGTAACTCGAAACGCAGTCTGAGCTGGCCGATCGGGAACTTCCACACGGGCGATGCGGACAATGCGACTCAATCCGTCCAACTCTCCAAGCGCGTGCTCGCACCAGTATCTGCAGCAAACGCTGACCGCTATGTATCGAATCTCGCCAATGGACCAGGCGTTGAAAGCATCGTCGCCACAAATAGCGTGGGGTCCATCAGCTTTTCCGTGCAGGAAATGTTCGCAAATCATCCAGGACCGACGCCCTTGCTCGTCGGCGTAAGACAAAGTTTTCTGACGGGATGCACTATCTTGACGGTGGTGAGCAAACGGGCGGTCTATATGGTAATGCACCGCCCCGCCTTTGTTTTGGAGGTTGCCTGCTGATAGAGACCGTTACGAAGGCACATTTTTATCAAGATTTGGGGTTCGAGAATGAGGAGCCTGAGGAGGGCGATCCCCCGGTGAATTTCCAGGGAACTGTCCTTGACCTGATTGCTGGTACATTGGCTGGTACCCCAGACCAGGTGAACGCTGGCGGTCCAGGTATTGATCCCGCTCTCTTCAACGCGGATGGCGATATGCCCTATGCGAATAYCATGGTGCCCCGTCRTAACAACCGAGGGAAATCGGAATATTACCGCACTATGAATAAGCAGATTGCAGACCTGGTGCATCGCTTAATACCGAGATGCCGTATCGACAAGTACAAATATTTTTCTGAAGAGGACTATCCAGATGATAGTGCCAGGGGCGTGGCCATCTTCGAGTACGACGCCGACGCAGATGGAAACGGCCATGGAGATTGGCGTCTGTGGTACGAGACAAGCGTGCAAAGAGGTAGAGAGCTGGGGCAAGATGTGATCCCTTCGGCCGGTTCATGATTGTTGCAAGAATGAAGGGGACGGAACGCTCCCTGCTATATTGATGCGGGATGTGATCGCGGCTCGGACCGAGTATTAGCTAAGCAAAAGTCCAACTCGATGGGCGTAAACATATATAACCTGACCGAGTCCCTCGCTCTCACTTGCCGTAACCTCACCCCCTCCCCGCGAACATTTCAATCATGGGTGTGGCAAGCTTAGAATCACTGACCAATGAGTTATTCGAACAAGTCGTGCAGTACCTCGACCTCCACGACATTCGTAATGTTCGTCTTGCCAGCCGATCAACGGCATTGAAAGCAGTCCAGGATACATATCAATCCTACTTCCGGAACAAGMATGTCGAGCTTGGTCGAAAAAGCCTGCAATCGTTCGTCGACGTCACTTCGCAAAGCGGAGTAGGCTGTCTTGTGGAAAACCTGTCCTTGATTGGCATTGTGTACGACGCCAAGGATCTCGAATCATCCATCGAAACTGGCAGACCACAGCGGAAGATGGGCAGTTCGCGGAAAATCGCACCATCTCACAGCGCCGAAGAGCTTGAGGCTACCAAACAGGATCTCGACCTGCTGAGGCGAAGACGCGAGGACGACAAGGCTCWTCGAGAGGAAGGCAGCGACCTAATCTTGGTACGCAAAGCATTTTCCAACATTGCATTGAGCAAGAGATCTCCTCTTAAAAGCCTATCACTCGGCATAAAGATCCATCGCGGAGATACCGTAAAGCCTACGCCTTCCTCGCTTTGGGAGGTGAAACAGGTTTTCCAGGCCGCGACTTGCACTTACTGGCTCACGGTGGAAAGTCTGCGCTCCAGCCAGCTGAGAATCGAGGCTCTGGACATCTTTTTTAACATTCCCGAACAGCTGAAAAGCAGTCTKCCCTGCGATGATCTGGCCAGCTCAGATCTAAGCTCTACTGGAAGATTGGGCCCTTGTCTTTCCACTCTCAAGACGCTTTCAGTGTCCATTACCGATCCATTGGTTGACGAGACAGAGTACGACACCAGAGACACCGGAGATGGAGCTGATGATTTCACTTCTTCCCGCGTTGAACGACGTACGCCTGAGGTGACTCATTCATCCCGAGATCGAATCACGAATGAAGAGAACTACTCCGCCCTCTTCAAAATGCTGAGATTATGTCCCAGCCTCGAGGAGCTTAACCTCGTGGGTTATCAACTCAATCACTCAGATATGGAGCTTGCAGAACTGCAAAAGACCATGCGAAGCCGCCACATATACCATATCGCGCGCGCTCGACCTCTTACCCACCTCCGCAAACTAAATCTAGCCAATCTTCGAATGCACGATGCAGATCTCCTTACTCTACTGAGGTCCCACATCTCCACCCTCCGCGAGTTAGAATTAACCGACATTTGGATTCCAGAGCGATCATTCCCATCAATCGTGTCGTATGCCACGGGCGAGGAAACGGGATTCGAAGCGATACGGTTTGAAAATATCCGTGAAGGGGAGGATCTGATACATTTTCAGTGTGATTGGGAGGAGGAGGGAATAGATTCTTTCGATCGTGATGATGTAGTGAGGAAGTGGGGCATCGAGCGAAAAGGAGATATCGCTTTTTTTGGTAGGGAGATAGGGTTGATGGGATGTTCTACGGTATTTGAGTGGACGCTGGAAGAAAGGATTCTAGAGGAAGAGAATATGTCCGATCTTTAGKTATTGAGAGTACTGCTCTGTGATGGTGGAGCCTTCACAGTGTGCGATACATGTTGGAGAAAGGCTTTCTCCTGTCTCTGAATATAAATTCAAATCACTTGGCTGAAGTCACAATTTTCAGATGTCTGTAGCCCAGTTTCGCGGTCTTTCATTTTTCCTCATTGGTATAGAGAATGATATTTTCACTACCGATCGATGGTTCATTAGTCGGATACAGGGAGAGAACAGACCAAACGCTAAGCCAGTCGTAATCGTAATCATCATCATAAAAATCATAAACATTCAATCCCATCCCATCCCACCCTTCAACACTCAAACCAATCTCTTCCTAGCAGTAGTAGCCCCAATCACCTGCATTCCCCCAAAATTACTCCTCACCAAAACCCCATTAGAAGGTCTCTTAGTACTCCTAGCATTATACGTAAACTTCCCTCCCCCAGCACTCGTCATACTAATCGCAGCACCACCAGCAGTAGGATTAAGTAGCGATAAACTCAATCTCGCACTCCCATCCACAACATTCGAATGAGCTGTCAAACTAAGTGTTCCTCCTTGCTGTGTAGTCCAGGTATAACTATCGATGACCACGATATCTGATTTCTTCGGGTCGTTGGTTATGGTGACGTTGGCTGTTGAAGAAGTTTGCCATTGCGTGGATGTGATATTGACGAGAAAGATGTAGGATGTTAGAGTCGTGACGTTCGGTGCGATGAAAGTTGGTTTCGCAGTACCGCTGTTTTCGAGAGTGAGGATTGGGCCGGAGATTTGTTTCCATGCGTACGTCAAGTCTTTGGCGGTGAAAAGGGCTGCGTTATCGGCTGTGCCGTTCAATTTGACTCTCACTCCTGGACGCAGTGCTTGTGCGGCTCCTGCGTTGGCGAGGGGGACTGTGCTGGAAGTTGATGGAGGTGTGTCTGGTACGCATGCTGTAGGGGCTGGAGGAGCGGTGGTATCTAGGAATTATCAGCTTTGAATGTGTAGATCATATGGAGGAGATTTGTTCTTACCTGGCCAAGGGCTCAGCGGACCCCAGATATTCCCATCAGAATCAGGTCCAGAACCTGAGCGGAGCCAGGAGAAGGATGAAAAGTCATTTTTGGCGGGGATTGTGCCTGGATTCGTATTTTCGGGAAAGATCCATTCGGTGACGGGTTGTACGTACTGTCCGGCGAGAATCTGTCCCCCGTTGGTGGATTTGGTGCCTGAGGAGGCTGTCACGACATATTCGCGAGTGTAAAGCGTTGGGATAGTTGMACTTGCACGCCAGAGCCACTTGTTACGATTCCCGCCAGCGGCTGGCGTTCCAGAGCCTACTGCGACAGATTTGACATCTCCGGTGCAAGGATCAATTTCATTGCGGGAAATGGTTAAACTGATGGAGGCATCCGTGGTATAWCCGACGAACTGTACGCGGTTAGCATGACTGATTTGAGTGTATTTGGGGAGACGTACTCTGGTATCTGCAAACTCTACATCTCCTGCGTCTTGCTTATCCACTACTCCAATAATGGCGTCTTCAACCCGAATGTATGCTGGAACTCCAGTGGTGAGAATTTGCACGCTTGGGGCGACAAGGGCGTAGCAAATGAACTCTCCGCCTACGCGGATGCCAGAGAATTCGATGTAGTCTCCTGGAAGTAATGGAGCCATGGTCAGAGGATCAGGAGCGGTGCTTTGATATCAGTCAGTTTGGGACTACGAGCCACACTGTGAGAGAGATTTCCTCACAAGCTATTCCTCCCAGCAGGTCTGTTGGAAGCCGGACATTTGGGATCATTCGCAGATCTTGGGACACACATCGGAAAGCCACTAAAGGCAGTAACGCTCGGATTCTGGTCGTCCGCCGTAAAAGCTGGGTTTGACGTATAACCAGCGGAGTAGACAGCGTTGGGGTCGTTGATGCGGACGGTCTGACCTCCAACCATTTTGATGCGACCATCCACATTGAGACTTGCGATCACACCGGTGTTTATTGAAAGGGAGAACTGTGCAATCGATACCAGACCCGCGATTGCTACAYCGTCAACGTAATTGCCGACGACCTTTGTGTTGTTAGTCTTGATCACGTAACATTGCCTGACTGTGGCTTACCGAAACCTCGTTTCCAAGGAATCCACCTTCTGCGACTTCTTTGAACGGAATGAAAGCTGCGGGGAACTGGAATTGCGTGTTCTTTGGGATGGTGATGGTGATTCCATTGACGGATATCTTTCCACCAGTGTTGTACTTGGTAGAATCGGCAGTAGCGCTGGAGATTTTGAGTCAGTGTCTTGTGGGACATGCTTGTTGGCTCATACCTATCGAGTGCGCCGTCCAACAAAAGTGGCACCACAGCTGCCTGGAGCAAGGTAGGCAAAAAAGCCAAAAAAAAATTGAAAGACCTCATGGTAATCGTGTGACAGAAGTTCGAGCAATGGACATAACACTCGATTCACTACAGCGTATAGAGCGAATCGTTCCAAGTAGGAGACTCCCATTTTATGTCTTCTGATACCACCTTCAATTCGCCTATTCGTTATAATCTCACCGCATATTCAATGCAAGCGTGAGCTGGGCGGGTGCAGTCCGTCAAGCTGAGATGCATCTCGCGTAACAGCTTCATCTCCAACTTGCTGGTGACATGGACGACATCTAGCAGAAGAGCAGGGGTATGTACCTAAAGGTTGCCCTCGCGGCACATCTCAACCGCAATTAGATGGATTCTCTCGCCACTCTAGAACATTCTGCCCCATCGTCGAATGACACAATTGAATGAGGGTTGCGTTGTCGTGCTGGCATACCTCGAATGTGGCCTCACTGGTGGAAGCGATTGGTGGCGACTTGCGTCCAAGTGTCAGATTTGTGGCTGTCCAGAAGGATTTGGACAATGGAAGCCCGCTCATGACCCATATCGAGGGAAAYGAGTCTTAAAGGGGCCAGAGGCGACGAAAGTACGGTACCTTACCCGAGCCCGTGAGGCACATCGAAGGGACAAAGCCCATGAAGGCGATGTGCCACTCCGCTGCAGGGGCTTTGCTGCAGCCTCCGATAGCAAAATGGTGTGTTGAAGCGTCCAAGCCCCAATCATGCGCAAGTCAGGCTGCAATTGTCGCTACCAACAAAGTGATGTCGTCTCCGTCGCGGACCGCGTTCCGGGAACCGGGTTGTTGGCGCCTCACCCGATTTGGGAGGATAAGTGGGGCGAGCCTTACCTAATTGAGCAGTTCTAAGGACACGGACTGTTTACTCCAACCTCATCTTCGCCCACGCCAAAGCATACACATTTTCACTATGTTGAGCATACCACACACTATACAAACCCTCCAAGGTTCGCGAATACTGTGATTTGAGAGGGGAGTACTGTCTCAGAAACCAACTTTAGCGACAGTGCAGGCTGCTGATRGTATGGTCAAGAGGGTGCATGACATGGCTTCATCATGGCCTTCTAGACTCAACAACCCATGCCATTCTTGCAGCCTTGGACGCCCGCTGCAAGTTCAAAATCTAAAGTCGACGCGTGGATCGAAAAGAGCATGTATGATTGATCCTGGCCCAGCTGTCGCTAGACACTGCCCACGGCGGCAGCACCGATGTTTGTGGCTTCTTTTTTACAGATTCACCGCCGTCAGCTGCCTCCAGGAAAAGATCAACAAGGGAAATTTTTCTATTTCCCCACAAATCTCTCCCCAATCATACCATGTCGGTAGGAAGTATGAGCCTAGACCGTCCAGATCAGACACGAACTGCGGTGTCTCTTTCGATACTTTCGCGTTATTCGTGAGATGAAAAGGGCCGACTCTCCAAGCGACAGCCGAATGGATGATACGTACAACTACAATTGAGGGTGGCTAGATGTCCTTAAATATGGGACATAGATTTGCGAAACATCTTCCTGGCCACAAGCAACCACGTACTCGGCACTCTCTTACAACACAATCCACTAAAAAATAAGACCTCTCTTGAAAGCAAAGATGCTTATCTCATGGGGCAGCCGAATCTTTGTCATCGCGGCATCGGTTCTCATCGTCGCTGGTGCCGATGACGACAAATGGCTCAGTCCTGTTTACGAGAACTTTTACGAGTTCCCACTTCCCATTCCTCCAGTCAAGCAACCGCTCAAGTAAGCCGATATATCACCTCTCACGAATGTGCCGTACTAATATGACATTCCAGGACATTTACTCCCGCTCAAGGCCCACCAATCGATTATTATGAGGTTGAAATCAAGCCAGTCGACATTCAAATATACCCCAAGCTTAACAAGACTCGCCATGTGGCTTACGACGGGTTGGTTCCAGGTCCGACCTTTCGAATGACAAAGGGTCGAGAAGCTGTAGTGCGATTCATTAATCATGGCGATCGGGCCAACAGTGTACATTTGCACGGATCGTATTGTAAGTGATTGGTATGAGCCGCAGCATTGTTCTTCAAACACTGACATACCACAAGCGCGGGCACCATTTGATGGGTGGGCCGAGGATATCACTGAACTAGGTCAATACAAGGACTACTATTACCCCAACGCTCAAAGTGCGAGAACACTATGGTATCACGATCATGCCATCGATCATACTGCGGTTCGTACCTGCATGACTTGACATGGCTACCTTCGTATACTGATGAGTTGCTATAGGAGAACGCATATTTCGGACAGGCAGGGTTCTACATTCTACATGATGAGGAAGAACTGAACACACCAGGCCTTCCTCAAGGTGATTATGACATTCCTCTGGCGTTATCCGCCAAGCGCTATAACCCTGATGGATCGCTTTGGGATTCAGAGGTCAATCGCGAGATCGTCAGTCTATACGGAGATGTCTTCCACGTCAATGGACAGCCATGGCCATACTTTGCAGTTGAACCACGCAAGTATCGTTTCCGCTTTCTGGATACGTCGCTCAGTCGATCATATCAGTTATACTTTGAAGACAAGTCTGGAAAGAGAGTCTCATTCACCGTCGTTGGTTCCGACGCCGGGCTACTCATGAATCCAGTTCSATCCACGCAGCTCGACATTTCCATGGCGGAGCGATGGGAAGTTGTCTTTGACTTTGCTTCTTTCGCTGGACAGAACATTACACTCAGAAATAATCGAGATGTTGCTGCTGATGAGGATTACAGTGGCACGGACAAGGTCATGCGTAAGTCTACCACATCACTCTTTCTGCCACTCAAAAAGCTCACACCAAGAAAGGATTTGTTGTTGGCAACACGGCAAAGGACCCGAACAACAACCCCGCGTTGCCATCAGTGCTTCGCAATGTTCCATTCCCACCTCCCAAGACAGGGTTAGATCGTTCATTCCGCTTTGAACGTAAAAATGGAAAATGGGCGATCAACGGACACTTTTGGTCGGATGGTCCCGAGGAACGTATATTGGCCAAACCTCCCCGCGGTGCAATTGAAGTGTGGGAGCTACAGAACGGCGGAGGCGGATGGTCTCATCCGATTCACATCCACTTGGTGAGTCAAGATGTATCACCATTGCACGAAACACCCCCAATTGACACCCGTCAGGTCGACTTCCAGATCATCAGCCGCACAGGAGGTGCGCGAAACGCAGTACTTCCCTATGAGAAAGTAGCATTGAAAGATGTCGTCTGGCTGAACACGGGCGAAACCGTTCGAGTCATTGCCAGATATGCGCCATGGGATGGTTTGTACATGTTCCACTGTATGTTGACCAACTAGCACATTCACCTGGAAAATGGCACGCTGACTTTCTTCCCCAGGTCATAACCTCATCCACGAAGACCACGAAATGATGGCAGCCTTCAACGTCACCGTACTCGCCGATCTGGGCTACACCGAACAGACCCGCTTCATCGATCCCATGGATCCTCAATACAGAGCTGTGGGCTTCAGTCCTCAGGACCTCCAACAGAGGACCGGCGATTTTTCGGATGCGGCGATTTTGGCAAAGTGCAAGAAATTTAGWGATTTGGAAGCTTATGTCAATGTCGAAGAGACGGAGAAGGCGCTTGAGTCGTATTGGGCGACTCGTGGTTCTTCTCAGGCTTCGACGTTCACTACGAAGACGAGCACGGCCAAGACGAGTTCTACTGTCARGGCGACTTCTACTACCAAAAGTTCCTCTACTACGAGGGCATCTTCGACCACCAAGGCAGCTTCTACCACGCGAGCAACTTCTACTACGACCAAGAGATGAGATCTGATTTGAGTTATGAGGATTTCCAGCAGATTGAGACAACGACCGAACATGATGAATGATTATGACACAGCGAATGTGAATTTCACAAATTAGTACCGCGTGCATGGAGAGCACTACAACAGTTTTACGATATTTCCTCTTATTCCTCACCTCCAACATCGATGATTTACGAGAGTTTCAATTGTATCTTCTTTACAAAGCTGTGATAACCCAATCGTCCACATCATTCGCAATGACTTCTCGGCCCGATTCCAAACATCCAAACCTCTACCAAACGATCCCACACCCAGATTCTAGAACCGTGCGGCTGAGTACGATGTGTAGGTGTGAGTGGGTCGATGCTTAATTGGGACAGCGAAAAGCCACATCCAAGGCTGAGAAAAAAAAAGATGTCCTATGTGGCATCGTCTACATCCGCAGCCATGGCATGGCGATAGGATCACCTAAACTAAGCATTAAGGGTTCTAGAATGTACGTTCGACTTTCTAGAAATAGATGGGTATAATGCGATTGTTGAGAGTTGCAGGGTTGTACGCCACGTAGAGTGCAAGCTAAGGCTTTTGGGCTTGAAGGGATGGGTATGTTGGGATTAGTTATACTACGTAGAGATACTGAGAGGGTCTAGTATCCCGTCGACTTGAGAGTTGTATAGGCGGAACAGGAGGCCTGCTGTGACTGGGCTTCCAGTCGTTCGTTGCACTATCAGGACGACTCTATCATGCATCCTTAGCTGGGTTATGTATCTTCCTGCTACGCTCCAGTATCTTCGCAAGCTAACAAAATATTCACAGCAGAATGTAGAGAAGGTTCGAGAAACCGCATAGAACAATTAGTTTGCATCGACCCTACGATCTTGGACTTCGCACTTTGGTAGCGATCCTGCATGACAGCTTCCGGGGAAAACGATTCATCGTACTCACGACGCCACTTCCAAGAATTGTCACGATACCCTCTTGATCTGCTGCTCGTCGGGACCGAGCTGCGAGTAATCACGCCGTGTGGATCTAGGGGCTTCTTCGCGAATTCGGCAGGTCGTTAAGTTGGAGGCGTCTTGCTCCAAGGCTTTTACTCACCGCTTGGATAGAAATGCTCACATTGAGATTGAAATGAGTGCTTCTCTGATTAAAACACAAATCACTCCTTGCCGCTCTCGTGACAATGGAGGTATAAGCATGTAATTATCATACGCATATAGAGACGAATGGTGTGATGAATGATACTGTCAAGTTTCGAGCTGCATCGATCAAATGACCTGCCCTTCGATAGTCAAGCACACCATCCCCGGTGGCGGCTGGAACGCATGCTCTACAGCGAGATAGGGCGGAGTGCCATGACACAGCGCCTCTTTCCCAATTGGCTGCGGTCTAGACGAGGCAAAGGGACTTGGGAGCAACACACACGTGTAATTTCTGTGACTGTACGGTCTCCTGTGATCTCCTACAGCGTTTAGTTCTTGTTATCTATATATACTTAACCTCTTCCACGTAAAGCATCCATAATCTCATCTCTTGCATCGACCATGCTTCTCAATTTTGCCATAATCGCAGTTACTCTGTTAATAGAGGCCTACGGGACACCCATCGATTCCGTAGAAGAAATACAGCTCTGGAGACGTCAAGATGAAAACATCGTCGTAGATGCCCCTGGAGATACACCTCTAGATCTTGTGGAACCAGTCAACATCGATCCACTGACAGATGTGCACAACACTCGCCTAATCGGAGATCTGATCAATGGAGCGACTACCCCTGTTGGAAATAGCATCCTGAACATACTTCTAGGAAAAGAAAAGGCAGAATCCAAATACAATGGCTACAAGGCGCCAGGTTCGTTGACATCAAAAGCGTGCCGATCAGATAATTGTAAGATCCACTCACCCACAGCTGTATCAACAAGTCTAACTTATAACATAGGTTGCGTGTGGTCTCACATATCAAAAGCAATGACTTCGACTTTCGTAGGAAATAAAAGACAATGCAACAACCTCGCCCGACAAGCCATTCGTCTCGGATTCCACGATGCCGCAACATGGTCCAGCGACCTCGCTTCACAGGGACAAGACTTTGGTGGTGCCGATGGCAGTCTCATCCTATCCGATACTGAACTAGAACGTTCCGAGAACCGCGGTCTTCAAGACATCGCAATACAGATGCGAACCTGGCAGAAGAAATTCGGCGTATCGATGGCGGATCTCATCCAGTTCGGTGCGGTCCACGCTGTGGTGACTTGTCCACTGGGACCACGCATTCGATTCTTTGCAGGTCGCAAAGCCTCTAATGTATCAGCGATCGAAGGCCTGCTACCTTCCGTCACAGCACCCGCAGAGGATTTGATCGACTTGTTCAGGGCCAAGACTATCGAGCCGCATRAGCTTACTGCTCTCYTGGGTGCTCACTCTACAAGTACACAAAGATTTGTGGATCCAAAATTAGCGGGTCAGCCTCAAGATAGCACGCCTGGGATCTGGGATGTTAAATTTTACAACGAGACGATTCAGACTCGACCGAGGAAGATCTTTCGTTTGCAATCTGATGTTGCTTTGGCTGCACATCCCGCTGTTAAGGAGGAGTGGATGAAATTCATCGATCCGAAAGATGGGCAGGATCATTGGAACTCCGGTCAGTATATTTTCTTGGGCTTCCAGCCATTCGTGCATTACTGTAAGCGGTACTAACCGGGTGTTTTGAATAGACTACGCTACGGCGTACACTCGCCTAAGTCTACTCGGCGTGAACAATATCAACCAGTTGGAAGAGTGTACTCACGTTTTACCTCGTGAATTAACGAAAAGGGGAAATTCCTTCTCGGAACGAGAATGAACATATGAGAGAAGCGAGACGCAAGACGTAAATACAAAATCCAGCTTACATCGTGTCTTGAAGAGAATAGAGTGAGATTGTGACTTTCATACCTCTGGTTGCGCGATTGCAACAAACCCTTCGTCTTTGATCAAGCACCGATCTTGACCAATCGATGGTGGATCAGCAGCAGCTTCTAAGAATCCGCATTGTCATCCACGATCCCAATTAGGGGTTTCGATGGTTGAAGATCGTACTCGAGCTCTGTTGGTAGTCACGACGATTATCATTGGAGACAAGGTAGAAGCACTCACCACATATGGAAGCGGGTAGTTGAGCGTAGTCGACAACAATTGGCGGAAGCTGCCCATTATATTGTTTGAGTCTTGGCCAAAGTTCTCGCGTGAGTGGGAAAGGTAAGATATGCAGCAGCGTCCGTACTCAGGGTTGTCGTTGAGGTAAACAGATCGAGAAATGTCAGGCATGCAGTGTATTTTGAAGAGTACAGCGCTAGTTCTACCAGTGGTAGAGAGTCGGGCAGGATTTGAGAAGCTTACGATTCCGTGCCATGTTCTCAGACTTGTCTGGTATAGACAGACTGCATATACTAGACATCGGGGGTCATCGAACTGTACTCCTTCGTTGTATGCTATGTCATCTTGGGCCTCCTACCGTAGATCTTCCAGCGGCTCTCCACGCGAAACTGGTTTTGCAGAGAGTGTTCTCAAATATAGCCTAAGAAGACGATGGTTTGGATGAAATGCTAGACAGAAGACRCTCGGGCGATACTCTAGCCATTTAGAAGGAATCTGGACTCTTGCATCAGATGCCCCCCGGACCGATATCCTATCCTATCCCACAGGCCAGAACAAGAACTACACGACCGGGACGTAGCATCTCGACGCATCGGAGTAGAACACGGCTCCAGAGACCCACGGCTGAGCATGCTTCTCTCCAATGCATCGATGTGATATGGCCACGGGGAGCCCGGGGAACACGGGACGGGTCGGTGTTTAACAGTCATTGTGCTTACCTATTCGGGCTTCTTGCAAATCGACCTGACGTACCTGACATGATGTGAGGTCGTAGAGCGCTGGGGAGATACTTCCGCTCACGTGGCGTACGAATACCTTGGAACCGGTATCGCCCGTCAAACTATGTTAGATGCATAGAGTCATAGATAGGTCGAGAACTTCAGGCAACTTTTACACAACTATCGCCGATTTGCTGCTGCATGAGACTGATCTGGAAACCATGGAGCTTTTGGACCCGGCTCCAGCGAGTGGACTCCAGACTGTTCAACCGCTACGGATGAGCTTCCGCTTCTTGTTGGCTAGGCTTCTTCACGCATAACGTACATTGTACGGATGGTTCTAGACTTTCAAGCACGACTGCTACATGCATGATGCACCAGCTTTCACAAGCTTCATCGAAGGAAGGATCTACAAGAGTCGCAACATCCCTGACCAAGCAATCCACGATCATGGTATAGTCTTTCAGGCCAAAAAGTCTGCGAATCAGATCATTAGTGAAGACTGAAGATCCACATCGGTCGCAGTACCAAGACAAATGAAGGGTTGCAACGCCAGAGGAAGCAGCATTGTCGAACTCTGCGGGAGCGAAACAATGATTCCGTCCCCCACACGCCCCGCAAATATACGTGCCTGATCGATAAGGAAGGCTCTTCCAGACATCTTGTAACGGCGTGTACGCATGTGGAGAACATATTGTCCCACGAAATGATCCTTTGTGAGTGTATCGGGATCAAATTGCCTTCCCCGACGACGCACAGCTCCAATGGATGATGACGGAGCGACTCCATCCGTGTCATTGCCTATGACATCCCACACATCAGACAAGTTAGAAGGGCATTCAACATCGTATAAAGGATTGGGAAGCCTCTCGGATTTTTGATCATTCCACATCCATCCACCCAGATCTGACAGATTCACTCGTTACTTCGACTTCCCACAACAATTCAATTCTCCGACAACACTCRCTACCGCAACCATGAAGTCGTTTTACTACACTGCTTCAGCCATGTTTTATGCATTCGGCGCAGCTCACCCACGAGTACAAGGTTCGTTCAGTTCATTGCTCTACCCGAGAGCTCTACTCAAGTACACATCAAGTCCAACTGGGAACATGGCTGACATATACGCATCTACAGGTGGGCTCATGAAGGAATCAGCCACGGTCACCGCCTTCATCATCGACGACAAGGGAAACCCTAGCGTTGAATGCTGGGATATCAGCTCTGTAGTCACGAGCAATGGGCCACAAGGCAGTTCCAACAAGGTTTCGATTGCGAAAGGCGGCGATCTCGAATTCGTAGATGTATTGACATGGCCGTCGGCGTCTTTCATCTTCCCGAATGATGATGATGATTCATGGTCGGGCGACTATTCCAACTCTCGCTGGGGAAACGTTTTCGGGTATGTTTGTTGATCCCGTGGATGAAAGACTTTGCTAATAGATATCTTACTCGCAGTCTTTTCAACGTTCAGGATGGGCTGGTCAACGTCGTCTCCTGGATCGGCAGGAACATCGCGACCAACAATGACTTCGACGATGAGGTGGAACGCCATACTTTCAGTTCCGAAAATGGAGATGACTGGTTCTACTTTGAGGATAACAGTGACGGCATGCTCATGAATGATAAGGCAGCTGCCCCCTTTCAGATCAGCACCGTCTCCGCCACGGAGACGGAGATTTTTCACTTGAGCTACACTGCTCAGCCCAAGCACACGGTCCTCCACAAGGGAGCATGCAAGTTCACTGGGGTCCATGCTTCGGAAGCTGCTCCCGGTTCAAAGGATTACACCCACGAACGTTMTCCGGTCACCGTCCAGGTCCACATTGATGACTTGTAAGGGAGCGTATCGAGGGATCGATACGTTGCTGTATGGTTACAAGTGCTAGAAACAATGGATGTAACGAATAACGGTGTCAGTTGGGACAGATTACGGCTCGGACATGACTCTCTTTTGTATTTCCGTCGTGGGCATATAGCGGCAAAGCAAGCTAGATTGATCAAAAATTCAGTCAATTGCAAGAAAATCTCTCCACGGGAAGCATCGTTTTGAGGCCATTGCCGAACTGTTCGATAGGTATCAGTCACTCCCATTGTCGTCACCTCTACTAGGCCCAAGGCCACTTCGGTAATCATCATGTCAATCATTCGTTCAACGGCACTTTTCAAAAACGATAAGGCTAAGTCGAGCGAGGGTCATTTGGATGACATTCGTTGATCTATAGCATGAGGTCCCAGCCGTACAGATGCCCCTGTTCAAAGATTATCATGTTAGCTTTCCAGCAACTCATCCGACGCTGTTTCAATTCCCTTCACTTCCCTCGCCCGCTTACGAACTGTCACCCAAAAGTCCTTCTGCAAATGAATGCCAAAGCAAATAGTACTCCACGGCCTCAAAGAATCAACAATATTGATATCAAACCTCCTCACCAATTCAACAATGACCTTGTTCATCTCCTTTGCATTCACATTCATTCCCAAACACTTGAATCTCCCGTACCCGAAAATCAACTCGTTATTCTTCTCCATCTGTTGGATTTTATCGCTGGATTCCTCGTCGCCTCCCTGGGAAAGTAAAAGCCATCGTTCCGGGCGATAGCTATCCTCATCAGGTCCGAATAAGTCCTTGTTACGATGAACACCCAGCACTGAGATTCCCACGGATACGTTTCCAGGGACTTGATATCCACATATGATATCCCCTTCCGGAGGGGTCAATTTAGATGATAAGCCCACCAAAGGAGGATACCAACGAAGGCCTTCTTTGATGCAAGCTTGGAGGTAAGGAAGAGTTCTCGCCGACTGATCGGGAACAATCTCCTCAGTGCCAAGTTTCAACTCGTCTATCTCAGCGCGCAGTCGAGCATGAACTCGGGGGTTGGAGAGAATACAGAGTAGCGTTGCCCGGATGCCCGTGGCGGTGGATTCGGATCCTGCGAGCATTTGAAGAACTCCTTCTTGGGCAGCTTGAGACTGGTTCAGTCCATGTCGGAGGAAACTACCCATCATATCCCTATTGCCGGGCAGTTTCAATTGACCTGCTGAATCGAATCTCTTCGCTGCTTGGGCTTTGGTGATGGCAAAGACCTTGCCGAGTCCAAGTTGACTTTGGTCGGAAGGAGCTAGTAGGCTCGCCACGCCGCTGTTGTAGAGGAAAGAAAGGAATGAGGGGATTGTGCAGAGGCTATAACGGTTAGCTGAGAACAGAAATTGGAATTCAAAAACGCACCAGAATGTTTTGGGGAAGATCGTCTCCACTTCGGTCATGTAGCCATGATTATCGCGATCGTCTTTCAAGTCGTGGAAGTTGTCATCAAAAGCAAGTTTGCTCAAGACATCAGTCGTAAAATACTGCACCTTTCTCGCCAGATCCATGTGGACAACTCTCTGGCCGGGCTCCGAGATGTACTTCTTCTCGATCAATTCGATGAAATCTTTCACACATTCGTCGACATCACCCTCGAGGCCTGGATTCTCTTTACCCGAATACCCAGCAGCCATCTTGCGCCTCCTGTCCGCATGATCTTGTTCGTCTCGTGTAGAGAGAATGTTTTCAGTGCCTGGGACGAATTGCGTAGCAGCAAACCATGGTCCCTAAATCGTGGCATAAGGTAAGCATGTGTCTCCAAGCTTTGCATACCGGGATGAATATATGCAAGACATGCTAGATGTCTTTCCTGGTTTATTGCAACTCACTCGTGTATAGACCGACTTGGCTGCGGACATCTTCCGAAGATGATCGGGATCGGCTATCAGAAGGGTGTCTGGAGATATTCTGACCAAGGGGCCATATTGTTTGTTCAGCGCGCCAAAGCGTTCGAAGATGGTGCCCTTGAGATGGATTGTAAATAGCGGAATGACACTCCAGCCCCAAAGTGTTGGGCCAGGGATGTGTGCCAGACGGCTATAAGAACGATATGATAGAAATGCGTAGATGATCAATACCAGCACTAAGCAGTCCACGAAGAGACTGCCAGAGAGTGCCATAGTGGTTACAATTTTGACGAGGAAGAACGTGTGAAGTGCAAAGTTTTGTCTGACTTTTGGGAGTGATAGCAACTCAATCATCGATAGATTACCATCTTTATAGCCCGATCGCATCGATAATTCGGAAAAAAATCGCTGGCTAGACATGATACTACGGCCTCGCCTGTAGTCCGGAAGTGAATAGCGTTCTGCACACTGCCGGCTCTTTCATCCATCGTCGATTAGGATAGTGGACGTCGATTAGGGCTGTATGCGATACTGAGATCGGTCGCAACGAGTGGAGCAGAATGTCCCTAGAGCAGATCGACGTGGCTCCGATGATCATGTTGGTAATTTGTAATCTGACGTAGAGATGTAGGGTTTGAAAAAACGGAGTATTTTGATAAGATCGGTGCATTGCGTAGCTCTCCGGACCATTCAGTCTCATGATTGCCTTCGTCCTTAGTAGTGCAGGTTGGTCCAACAATATTTCTTCGCTAGAGCAATATAGCACCTGTTGTTTCCAAGAGGCTAACAACAACGGAAAACGGACAGAATACTGCCCTCGTTGGTTGTGCTTAGCGTGGTGATGTCGAACAGACGCCGGAAAAGCTTGAGTCTGCAAGATTATTAGCGTTGCTCTTAGGTCATCAAGTTTGAGTTGGCTCACTGTCTCCTGATCATACTGGTAGACAGAAACCCAAGTGTCACTTAAGGAGGCAATCCCAGATCTAGGAGGGAAGTGAACAAAATTTCTGCACGAACATTGCGAACGAATCGCTCACTAACATCGAGGAGTTATGTCTTCAGCGCTCTAGCGCGTAAGACGCGATCTTCATATACTAAGCCAGAAGGAAGGGTGGAAAGAGACCATAATATGTTGCTCCAAAACAACACTTAAGATTCTCTCTATGCATGTCCAAGACTGTAAAGTACAAGGATCATGCTCCCATCGATACGAGATGGATCTGTTACCCCAGCCTCAGCCCTAACCCTAGCCCTAACCCTAACCCTTGACCCCTGACTACAAAAATGATGGCATAAGAAGAAGGCAGCATCTTCATTGTATTTGAACAACACAGAGTGATCGCGGACCAACGGGCGAAACGGCGGTGTGTTGATGTCGCAGTTCTGGAAAGGAATGAACAGGAGTGGAATGATGGATCTACAGCATCTTTCGCGAATCGGAGTAAAATCTGCCTAGTAAGAGAAAGGTTGGCAACGGCGACTGAACGAGTGTATCCGAAGATTTATAACGAGTTTATACATTGTACGCGGCAAAGTGTTGGTTCAGTGAACTGAGATGTTTCCAAGTTCGAGCTTGTAGAGTATGGCCTTTTCCAACCATAATGTTGGGCTCTTTCCCCGAGGTACGAGGGTGGCTGTAGATCTATTTGACAACACCCTGGTCATTTTCGGGTATAACTGGCTATCGTAGTCTGCGGCTGAAATCGTGTAGGAGTAAGTCTTACACAGCCTCGCAAAGATCCTTTGACCTAGTACTTTAGTTAGACACGGCACTCCTCATCATCTAAGGGAAAGCGAACAGGACTCGGCCGTCATATCAAGAAGCGCGGCCGCTGGTCTGCGCGAGAAAACAACAGCTTAGGGGAGACCACGTTCCAGATTTCTTGTTGATATGTAAACGGCGATACAGAGTGCTCATTTATACTCGACAGAGCTACTGCCAAACATGTGRCTCCTTAACGCTAAGACCAGGCGACTGGAGAACTTTCTTAACAATGACCAAGTCTATGCTATCCTATCGCATACATGGGGCGAGCAAGAAGTCACATTTGATGACATTCACCAAGACCTGGCCCGCAGCATGAAGGGCTACAAAAAGATCGAGTACACTTGCACACAAGCACTCCAAGATCAGATCAAATACGTATGGATTGACACTTGTACGCAGCCCTGCTTTACTCTTCGAGTCCCATCCCACGCTAACCATCGTTCCAGGCTGCATCGACAAGAGCAGRAGCGCCGAACTGTCGGAGGCTATCAATTCCATGTACCGATGGTACTACCGAGCAAGAAAATGCTATGCCTACTTGTCCGACGTTCATGCTAGCGGACGGTATTGCTTCAAGTCTTACGTTCACTCACAGGGTGACACAATTGAGATCAATGATTCGGTATCAAGAAGCCGATGGTTCACTCGCGGTTGGACTTTACAAGAACTCATTGCGCCATGTGAGGTTGAGTTCTACGACTCAGCCTGGAAGCTTATTGGAAGAAAGGATGAAGTCGTCCAAGAGCTTTCAGATATCACTGGAATATCATGCTCTGTTCTCAAAGACAGAGAACAGCTATCATCTGCGAGTGTGGCGCAGAGGATGGCGTGGGCATCCAAGCGAGAGACTGCGAGGTACGTTAGGCTCTATCTCTCCATCTTCATCTCTTTTCCCCTCGTCTCGGCAAAATGGTACAATGACTCTCTATGCTGCGCACACCCTCTTACGTCGGCTGAACGGGCGGCGGGAAATCTGACTAGAGATAGGCCCGAAGATGAAGCATATTCAATGCTAGGTCTGTTCGGCGTAAACATGCCCCTACTATACGGCGAAGGCAGCGCGGCATTCTTGAGACTGCAAGATGCAATTGTTAATACTGGGGGCCCAGATACGCAGGATCATTCGATTCTCGTCTGGCAAAACTTCAACGGGATCCTGTTCGCGCCCTCTACAAAACATTTCAGCAAAGCGCACCGAGTTGCTGCCTTGCCCGATCCCCGTGATGGGGCTTTCGAGCTTGTCAAAAAGGGCCTCCGTCTCAGCTTGCTAGTACGCCCTGACGGAGAATCCAACACTGTAGTTGGTGGCGTCAAGGATCTTCATACTGTCATTGCGGTGCTGAACTGCCAATACGCTGACACGCCAAATAAGCGGATTGCCCTAAGATTACGTCGTCGACCTCTCATATCCTGGCCAGGGAAGATCTGCCTCATTGACAATGAAGCCGATATGATATTTGACAGAGTTCAAGAACTAGCGTCTGTTGATTGCCGAGATTTAGATGGCTTTACTGCGGTGGAGCTTACCATAGCGCGAAAGCCATTCATCTGGCCGCATATGTCATTGAGAATGTCACTGTCAGTTACTTCAGCGTACATTGAAGGGCAATGGCCGAAATATATGAGATGGGATGACTCCACGTTTGTTCCGGCTCACCAAGGCGGCTCCTTCCAACCTGCAAACATCAGTCGATGTATCGGATATGGCAATCTCTTCATGAGTACGCTGGGGACAAGGCGGGATGTAACAATGAGTTTTCACACGGATTGCGGCATCACCCCACCCACGCTCCTTGTTGGATGCTTTGAAGGACACGACGTGGAGTACGCCGGACTTGGAGACAGAACGCTTCGTCCGATCATCGCAGGTGAGACTTTCTGCTTTGACTCAGGCTTCAGCTGTAAAGCAAGCTATGTACTGAGAGATAGTGCGCTTATTTGGCATCTGGAATTTGATGGAGGCTCGAACGGGTCGCCATCGGAAAATCAAGTGAAGGAGCATCATCCGGTCCGCGACAATCAGGAAAGTGTTTCGCTCGTCACTAATGATAGTGGCCCGACAGTCGAAACAAAACGCATCTCTGCACCACAGCTGCCGAGATTTCGCTCGAAAACATCCAGACTTCTGCGTGGGCGCACGCAGTCAGATCCGGCTCCAGAGGCAGATCAGCGAATCAGATCACTCTTCGCCGATGGTAAGCTCTTTGATCGCGCGTCTCTGAAGGTTGAAAAGTGGCTCAAAGTGGTGGTTTGCCGCAGAAATTCGGCGATTGAGCTTCYAGGAGGAACGCGAGGCGAAGAGGCCCCTGAACTGCAGCACTTCTCGGGACCAACGTCAGTTATGGTTGGACATCAGGCAACGCCAGCAAGCTCTAGAGGACAATAGCTTCAGTCAGACCCAGGGCAAGCCACTCAGGTTGCGGATATGATGCCCACAGAAGACCGACTACGGAAATGGATTTTCGTTACACCAGACGCCTGGAACTATCGCCTGATGGACGTAACTGATGTCCTCAACCCAGAGCAATTGCGCATGGTAATTGCCTACCAATTAGGCCTTGCTACCGATGAGGTTGACAACCTACATCTGTACATCACCAATTGTGGCGATGACGAAGACGAACACGAGAACGAGCTGGACGACAATGAGCTTACGTCGGTAGTCACACGGATCGACCATACTGTTGGATTTCTTCAACTCTTCGCACGATCGGCATCGCGAGTAACTATGGAGACAGGCTCTAAGCTAGATGGGCGAAAGGAACGGCAGATTTTGGGGCTTTTGATCCCGCCTGTTGGCAAGAACGTCAACCAGGACCCCAGACCATCCCCAGTTGAGCACATCAGCGTTAAGAGGTATGAGCCTCTAGACCAGCGACCTATGGGTCTGATTCTCGATAGATGGAATTGGATGTTCGGTCGAGTTGTCTGAATAATGTAGAGATGCACCATTCGAGAGACCTACCAATAAATGACACAGCTATCCCCTTTCCTCTTAAACACCCCCGAAACCTTGCCGAAGTCGCTATATAATCATTCTATCCGCTATAAATGTAGGCTATGCCTCACTCGAAAAGCTGGCTATTTGAGCTATAGCCCGTTTAGGTCGCCGTACTAGGCGATGTTCGTATACCTTGTCTTTAGACCATACCTTACGTTAACTGAATGTTTTCTAGACAATCCTGTCTAGMTAGGCAATAGCGAGCAGCAGAATCAACGATCAAAAACAGATTTCTCTCTCCTTTTCTCATCACAACGTTGAAACCCCTTACATCTTCGGAGCTACCTACTTTGTTAAGACCATCCATGATTCACCGAAATAACAAACCTTCTTGGATTGGGAAAAAAACATCAGAAGACCCGCGATTACTATATTCCCCCGTAACCAATCTCTACAATTCTATGGATACCTTAGCCAGACACCAGCAAAAGAGGGGGTATATCATCATCACACCACACATACATCTCAAAGCGCATAAACCCCCGCAGTGACATCCCTCCAACGTCTCACAGGTCTCCAATCCTCCAATTCCACCACCCACCACAAAGCCTCCTTCGCCTTGCCAATTTCCCCACCAAGTTCATGCGCTCGCGCAAACGTCAACCAAGCCTCGGAATCATCCCATCCCGCCCCGAGTTTAGTGAGATTGGCAAGGAGCATGTACGCTCGATCGCGCGCGGCCAGACGGTTGAGCTCTGCGGGAGTGGGGTTCTGGATGGTGGTTTCCACATCAGGCACGTCGCTGACTAGGGAAGGACGTCTGGATGGGACGGTCGAGGCCGAGGAGGTTGGTCGGGAGACTGTGGGTTTGGCGTCGCCTAGGAGCGCGATTGGCGCGGTGGGGAGAGGGCGGAGTGGGACGATGGGTTCTTCGGCGGGCAGCTTCTCCTCGTAGATGTCCATGAGAAGATTTGATATGCCGATGATGCCGGCCGGGTGGTCTGGGAAATGTGACAGAGCTTGTTCGTATTGCGCCATGGCTTCGAAAGGATGCTCGCGGGCCAATGCGAGATGCGCTTTCTGTGGAAAAGTCAGTAAATATGCTAGATAGAATTCGGGTTTCATCAAACTCACAGTCGACCAAACATCTGCCCACAACGCATCGATGCTGTCACCACCACCCCAGCCTTTATGGAACAGTCTTCGCGCGTTAGTCCCGCTATCTGACCCTGCCAGCTCAATCTCCAGCATGTCGACAAACTTTGCCGCGTTCTGCACTGCAGTTTCGGAATCGTCGTACATTTCCGCCCGAATGTACAAACCCGCAATGAAGAGCCATGTTCGTACGAGAACGCCGAATCGATGCCGTCTCTCATGCATGGGTAGGAGTTGAGTTTCGGGAACCACCGACTTGGAGGCCGGATGGGCCGTGGGTAGTCTGACATCTTGGGTTGGAGGTTGCTCCACGTGACCAGGCGGTGGTGGTAGCTCGTTGTGCGGTTCGTTGTGCGGGATTTCACCCATCGGCTGCCCCGTGTTTAGGCTAGGCTGGACCTGTGAACGGGATGGAGTGCTCCTCTCTTCAACCCCCTCGCTTCCTCCGGCATCTGACGCGCTCCTCGAATCTGCAGCAACATCGCCGCCGTGATTACGTCCACCAAAAGGATGATGCGGAATGTGGGGCAGATGAAGGTGGTGGCCGTGGGACTTTTCCGCAGAAGCTGGGCTGTCGTCCGGGACAGTGATCGAGATCGGAGGGGGAGCAGCAGGCTGTTCATTTGTTCTATCCGCCAGTTCGCGAGAGGCAGGGGAAGATGTGCCGGCGGCTTCAGAGTCCACAGATTGCGCCCTGACTGTGCCAGTGGCATTGCTACGACGTCTAGACCTCGGTCGGATGCTACCAGCAATGCTTCTCAATGTTCCTCCCAGCCTCGAGGGCGGTGGAACGGCGGATGTCGCAGTCGGCTTCATGATGCTTACTTTGTTATCGGGGCTGCCAAACAGCCTTGAGTAGAGACCCAACAGCTCGTCCGCAAGGTCAACGGCAGTCTCGGCTCCCTCGGTCAGCTCAAGTAGCATGATTTCTGTCATTTTAATTTGCAGAATGCTCTCCTTCTCCAAGCCTTCCATATGATCAATGAGACCTCGCTGCTTGACAGTCGCCTTTTCAGGATCGCGAAGCATAGTCTCCATGGGTTGACCGAACAGCACCATTGGATTGCCAAATTGTTTGTATGCAGCTTGGCACATCTGTTCAGCGGCCTCGAAATCATCCTGAGCAGTCAGACATAAAGCTAGCAGATGCCAGAGTGGGATGAGTTGCCTTTTCCGCTCCAAGGGTGAGATTGGTGCGAGGCCAGCAGTGAGTACAACAGGACTCTCTTCGGGTTCGATGACGCCTCTTATGACTTCAATCGCACCGGACACATCCCGCGTTTCTGCCAACACAAGAGCGAGAGCATATGCGGTGTCAATGTTGGCAGGATCGTACCTTTGGGCTCGCATGAGGTGGTTGCTAGCTTCGGTCAACAATCTGGATCTCTCCTCCGACTCGTATGTGAGCTGGGCCCAGTGTGCTTGGCTGATGCCCAATGCTCTGTAGTTTGCGGCCAGGGTGGTCTTTTGCAACAAGGAGGAGGCAGAGGTCGTGCTGTCCGCGGTTGCCGGTCTTTTATGATCCAGCCACTTTTGCATCGAGCCACTCACCGTCACGGCTCGCTCGACATGCTCTCTATCACCATAGCGGCAGAGAACACGAACAGCCTCAGCCGCGGTAAGCATTGCAGTATCGTCATCATCCAAGCCAAATTGAAGCTGCCCGGTCTTCTCGGCCCGCGCCTTGCCCTTGTCGACAATCTCCAGGTAGCTCTCGAAAGCATGCAGGGCCAAGTCGAATTCCCCGAGAGCGGCATGAACCGTGAAAAGATGCCTCAGGATGGGAGTGGAATGGAAGCTCTTTGTGGCTGCTCGGTAGAGGATGTCCAGCACCGAGCGGGAGACGCCCGTCTTGCCGCCGTCTCCTAGGTCGGCATCCGTCCATGCCGAGCCCGAGTAGACCTTCCAATTCGCCATGACTTGCTGCGCCCATGCCTCCACTTCCGTACTCGCTTGGCTGGCTTTGGGGAACTTGATCTCGGCCAGGAGGAGGGATTCATGCGTCGACTCCACACGCTGCATCTCTGACCGCTGGCGAAGTTTGAGATGTGTGTGTTGGTTGGTGGATGTGTTGAGAGGCAGAATGAACAGATCCTCGCTAGATTGTGCGTCGGGGTTGAAGACAAGGCCGCGCTGTAAGATGGTGGACAACAGATCGTAGTAGGCCTTCCACACCTGTCTTCGGGGAATGTCCTGACCTGATGTCGTCGTTTCCTCCTTGGAAGGAATGCGTTCCCAAAACTCGCCCCATGCTTTGAAGGCGGTGTATGTCTCGCCCAAGTCCTGCGTGGAGGGCGATGGGATGGTCTTGACGCTGTAGAGACATGCCTGGGCCAACAGTCTCTCCGTCCATTTTCGCAGCTCGGGACTCCGATATCCGGGAGTGCGGAGGACAGCAGCATGGTAGTACTCTCTCGCCTCGCTCTGTCTCCCACTCGCCTCCATACACGACGCGTGGATGTAGGCCGCCTTAACCTGACACACTTCTAGCCAGCCCAGAGTCGAGTTTCCAGCTGGACCTGCCGAGGACTGTCCCGCACCCGCATCCAACACTTTGAGTGCTTCCAGAGGAGCCTCCTGCAGCCAGTAGATTCCCGCCAAACATGTGCTGGCAATGGTTGCATCATCGGGATGGGTACTTTCTGCTGTAGTGACCGCCTCCCGTAATCGAGGCAGCAATTCGGTCAACCCGTGGATGCTCGTCGTCGTGGCGGAGGAGGCAGATGTCGGGCGGTGGGAGGCGGTGACGACGTGGCATTCGGCTCGAGCGGCGAGGGTGAGAGCTGGGAGAAGCGATCAACATGGGAGGAGATGGAGGGACATGGATGGGTGGGTGGATGGTCTGTACATTTCCTCTGCGGCGCATGCTTTTCCACCTTTCTCGCCAGTTCGGGCACGTCACTCCATTGCCCATGGCACAGGGCATGGTCGAGCAGTCCGAGATATCGAGCTCCCTTGTCCGCGTTGGGGACGCGGTGGAGGCTCATATCGATGTCGGTGACGCTGGGATGAGGATTCTCTCGTTTTCTCCCCCGACTTCTGGCGCAAAGACGATACGGCAGAACACAAGTCTATCGTGTCCACATCTCCGCCGACTCTCAAACAGAAACCACACTTTCCTTCAAAAATAGACAGTCGAGGAGCTTCCTTCACCTGTCCGTCGTTGACGCACGCCAGCGAACCGTTAGCGCACGGCGTTGTAGTAGTGCACGGCCGGTAGCGAAACCTAAAATGAAATAAAATTATGCAAGATTGATGGATGCATGCAWGCATTGGTCTCCAAGGGAAAAAAGTTCCTCCAACATTCAAACACCTCGATAGCCACATCAATGGCTCAGACGGCATCCTCGGTGGGCGCATTACGCGCTCTATCATACCGCATATCTTCCACCCCCACCAAGGAACTTCCCCAAATTGCCCCTCAAATTGCCAGTGGCATCTGGAACTGTAGAGGTCTGCTTTCTGCATCGACAGACTCCAAGCAAAACAGCGAGGCATCGATTCTGACCCACAAATTCAAAACTCAACTCAACACTCTCCTCTCCGATCGGACGGTGGAAGGAAGGTGGACGGCAGTCGTTCTCACCAAAGCCACCATCGAAGCGGGAGGGGTGGAAGTTTTGAGCAAATGCAATGTCTGGGTCAAAAGCTTGCTGGGAATCCTCAAGAAACCAGATCCGCCGACGACGCGATGCTTGGTCGTCCTGACTCTCACTCGCATCTTCATGCTGACATGGGACTACTCCAACCTCATTCGAGAAATCACCACGCCCGCATTAAAGGCCTTCATCCCGACTTGTCTGGCCAATATTGAAAACAAACGATGCTCCACCGGCGAGCTTCAAACTGTCCTGGAAGCATTCGCTGTACTGTTGCCAAAACATCCAACGCTCTTCCGAGAGAATGATGTCAAGTTGCGAGCCGTGTTGGCTCTCATCGTCTCCTCTACGTCCACTCCGACGGGGAGTGGCAGCCACTACAGCACACAGCACAAGCAAGCGGCCAATCGTCTATGGGTTCTCATTGCTAGCTGCACTCCCAAGCAGGGTGCGGGTGGGAAATGGGACGAAACAATCAGTGCGACCATCAAGGCTACGCACTCAACCTGCGACCGTGTCTTCCGTTCGATCGTGGAGGACTGGCAGTCAACTACCGGCGTACAACCTTCAGTGCCTTTGCACCAGCGGAATAATGGCCAAGTCGAGATGGAGAGCGACGATGTGGCAGGTCTGAGACCCTGGAAAGGAGTGTATGCTGGAGGGAACAGGATCATCTCTCTGCTCGACATCGTGACTTCCCATCTGGAAACAGCGACTCCTGTCAATGTCAACGTCAGAGTCGGCGTAATCACAGACCTGCTCTCGAGGTTGTTCGGAAACGTTCTGCCTCAATCAGGAAAGCCGGACTTTGTCAAACCCAACAATCACATTTCCAAGGACGAACGAGAGGCCATGTTTGCAGTCTTGCCAAGAGTTCACATCGCCGCGATGAGGACTTTGAGTGCTCTCGTTGAACGTCTAGACTTGCACGCTGTGGGCTGGGCACAAGGTTTAATTGATGACTTGTTGCGAGTTTTTCACGCAGAGCGCTCTCAGCCTGAAGTTCGGAGCGCCATCTACCGTATCTTGAACAACATCATCGACCTTGTTGGTCCTTCTTCATCCAAAACAGAAGCATCAGAGCTTGGAGCAGTGCTCAAGGCCTGCTGTCAAGACATACTCCCCGACGATGATATCGCCTCCGCACCTGCCACTAACGGAACCCAAGCTGGCATCAAACAGCAACTTGGTCTTGCAAGCGCACAATCTTTCCAAACACACCCAACGACCTTCCCAGAACTCCAATTAGTAGCCCGACAGTTATTGGTCACTGCTACAACCCGGCTGGACTCCACCTGCATCCTGCCTAAAATCCGCGCACAGATTGATCGCACAGCAGTGCTGACACAAGACAAAGATCTTCTATTAGCAAGCGTCTTGAATCCCACCAAGAAACCCAACAGCGCACGTGTGCAGGCGAGCTTACTTCCAATGCTTGCAAGAATTCAGKGTCAAGCACCAGAGACCGAAGCACTCCTTCGACCGAGACTTCCTCCAATTCGTAGTATCAGTAAAGTCGACCATGACGAAGACGAAATGGAAAGATCTGAAGATGAAGCCGATGAGGACGACGACGACGACGATGCCATGGAAGAAGACATCGAAGAACAAGACTCAGAACCCACCTCTGGACTCCTCACCGCTTTGGCCGAACAGCCAATACAGCAGCCTCCAACATTCGCTTTCGAGCAACCAGTCAATAAACGCAGAGCGGCAGAAGGTGTCGAGGATTCCTCGAAGACCGCCATCAAACGCGCCCGAGCTTCCCCATCCGTCGAGCGAATCCTMACGACTGATGTACCCACAACTGCAATCCTCGATCCAGCGCCCAGCGTGTCAAGTATCACTACACAGAAACAGACAGCAATCCTACCCGCTCGAGAAGTCACAGGACAGACCATTGCCGTTGCGGCTGATGAAGAGGATGATAGCGATGACAGCGACGCGGGACTTCCAGTTATTAATATGGAGGAATCGGATGACGAGTGAGATGGAATAAGATGTATCCGTGGCAACGCATAAGACATCCACGTACACACCAAAAAAGAAAGAAGAAAGAGACCTCATCGAGATCGCTCTGGACTTTTACCACTACAACTTCCTCTTTATGTTGGTAGCAGGGCAAGGGAGGTTCGACACATCTCCGGATGAATAATATGAAACATTCCCACCCACTCATTCCACTCACATGACGATTCCCATCCAGCTTTCCCGTCGGCATTTCTCCTTCCTCTTCTTCTTCTTCTTCTTCTTCTTCTTCAGTCTATCACTCCCTACATCAACGTAAGTAAGTAGCCCAGAAATGCTTAAAGCTTCTTTCCTGCAACATCTCCTTCAAGACAAAAGACATGAAGATCCAAGCCTAGATCTATGATCTCTCGGCTAGAATCTATCTATGTTTCAGATCGAGAAAAGAAGGAGAAAACATCTACGGACGCTATCCTTTAGAGCGGTTTGAGAAGGGAGCGAAGGTGTTGTAGTGTGATTTTGCACCGGATATTGAGGTAGGGGCTGCTAAGAGAGACGGGAGGGTGGATCAGGGTTTCTGAGACATTGTTTCTCGTGGATTTCTAGGGGGAAAGGGACGGGATGGGAGGTTCTTTTGGTTTTAGGGGTGCTTTCTCCGTGGAGGTAGTGTTCTAGTAATTGTGATATGTTGGTCGAGTGTTGAGAGATGTAGGAGGAGGTAAGTCTGCCTTGTGATATCTTTCTCATTGGGGCTTACTTAGCCTTACCACGACGACGACGACGACGACGACGACGACGATGAGGATGAGGATGCGGAGAGCATGGCGAAAATCTTCTCCACATATGTGAGAATTGATAATCAGAGCTGACAATACATGTAACAATTATGATGAAAGAGCTACTACCTACATGTACCTACAACAGAGCAGCACACTACACAAGGTAATCTACAAGATACGTACTTTGAACTTCATAGTACGTACTGCATTTCCAAGTGTTTCTAAGCCGCTGTACTTCCGGAAACCCACTTGATCCGAACTCCCGCCCTCCTCGATGACCGACCCGACTTCCATTTCCCTTTACCGTACCGTACCGTAGTACATACACTCGGCAATTTTCATCATAGTACGTGCTTGGAATGGCCATGGGTCGGTCGGCTATCAGGCTTCTGGATTAGTATGGATTGCGGAGGATTGTAKAGATAGCGCGCCTTATCCTAGATCATCGTCGTCATTCGCGTATACCCCGGTATACTTTCACACGCATTGAAAGTACCTACTGTAGGATTGTAGGCAGCCCGAGTGTATGCACGGCGCGTCGCATCGAATTTCGTGCCGAAAGACCGAGGTGTGCTGTACACCTGTGTTTTGGCACAGGATGTGGTGTCGTGTCGGTGCGAAGCTTATCGCTGTACAACACTCACATCATCATGGACGCCTTGTTTGTCCATCCATCCTTCACATGATGACATGACCTGGAGAAAAAGGAAGGCGGATGAAGACGGCAAGTCTGCTATTTCCGGGTCGTCAATAATCCTACCTGAAGGATGTGTGAAGCGGGCGGTGCCCGTCTTTTTCTCCTTGTAGGTACCGTGAAGTACCGCACAAAACACACACATTCAGAACCCCGTGATCGGGTAGGTGGCTTGATCACCTACAGCAAAGCGCGATCGACATGGTGCATTCCCATCTCTGGCACGGAGAGATCGGATCAGGAAGGTATCTCTTGCGTGCATGTCCTAGCAGAGCTTCTTGTGTTTCTTTTCTTAGGTACGGCGGTACCTATTGTACACAGCTGTCCTTGTAGCCCGTGCTTCCTTCTAGAAGGACTGCGATGGAACGAGGAGGCGTTTTTTGAGTTGCGAGAAAGCTCGGTGACGGGTGGAACGGGCTGGTGTTTGGGTTTCAGCGGCTGTAACAGTGGTAGGGCTGTGGACGTGGATTGGAATCTCCACGGTGCAGTAGTGAGTGTGATGGAGGTGCAGAGGCTGGATTTCCTAATTCCTTCGGCTAGAGGAGAAAAACATGATGATGATGATGATGAGTTGTTAGGAGGGATGAGTAGGGTTTGGAGGGTGCCGGGGCATCCCACGGTCCATGGCACGCATATCGCAGCGAACGGGACCCGAGGCCGAATCGATGTGGTGGTAGTGGACGGGAGAGTTTGGTACTCCCTCCTCAGGTTTTGGAAGAGCGAATGGAGATGCGCCTGTGAGTTCGAGGCCCCCTGACCTTCTTCTCCTAACGCCATGGCCAACAACAAACACCTTCCAAGCTCTGGGACCGTGGTAGGACCATTTTTTCGCACCCTCAACAGAGTCAACACTCCCTGGGGGCGCCTGAAACATGAGCCTCTCAGCGCGCTTTCCATGGGAAGCGCTTTCTGGAGACTATCCTCTTTTGGCTTCAGGTCCTCCACGCTAGGCGGCCAAGCCTGCCGTAGATTGCCGTCGCGCTTGCTTAGTGGGGGATGGTGATTGGCTAATGGCAATAGCGGCGTGCTGCTACCTCGCACCTCCTCCTGCAGGAAGCTCGCACGGAGCTACACGGCAAACTTGGTTGGCTACCGCAGCAAAAGGCAAGCAACGCATCGAGGATGGTGGATCCTCTGAGGTAGTTTGTAGCTAGGCAGAGTTCCAGGCCGAGTGGAGGGAAGGTGAATAGATAGATAGAAAAGAGTCGAGCTGTTCCCGCTAGATTGTCATCATTATTCTACCCTCCACCATCATCACGATCAGTGCACCCATCTGGATCGGGTGTTTGAAACGCTGCGCCCATCGCATACTAAGGTACCTTAGCATAGCATAGCATAGCATACGCAGCCCGCATCAGCAGACGACCGACTCGCCACGAAACATCATCGGGAGGGAAGCTGTTTTCCGCACCATTGCCGCGCCGCCTTCGTTCGTTCACGCAAGCAACGCGCTGCACAGCACAGCACTGCATTTGCGTCTGCATCGACGTGCATCATCATCGTCCCAATTCCTTGGTCGAACCGCATTGCCTCAGCCCGCATTGCCTCTTCCCGCACAGCCGTGTCACCATCAGCGACAGCGAAACACACAAACCTGTCGCAACACGCCCGCGTGTCTGTCTCCCGTGCTCTCCGACACGCGCCTTCCTGGAACTTTCCACACCAAGCCCCGCCGCGCCGCATTATTCATTGCCCTACCTGACTACCTCAAGGTACTGCAGCTATTGTGCGAACAGGCCGGACATTCGGCCACCGCCCAACCGGAGGTTGCGACTGTGATACGGAGATGAGGCGGTCGCTCTCTGTGCTAAACTATTGACGAAGTTGCCCCGGACATCGGCTAAACCCAACGTGTGCGATCGCTGCCAACGGACGGAGTCAGCGACGAGGGATTATCCCAGGAACCCCCGCTAGCGGCACTGGTTCTCCACGCTTGAGAGTGCGTGCGCCATCATTATCTTGGTGCCACCCCGGCGGGACGCTCGGCGTTGTAGGAAGCGCACTCGGGGCAGTGTCAGGGTTCCAGGACCCATCGATTCGCGATTTCGCCTAATAGTACCTGCGTGTCCGCCTTCATCATGGACGATCAATCCCCTGCTGAGCGCTCCATTGACGCTTTTTTTCTCAATCCCGCATACATCATGAAGAGCCACAAACCCCAATCCACCCTCACCATTGAGCCCAGATATTCGGGAGAAATGAATGCCCCTTCCAACAACAACAGCCAAAACCAAACCGAATCCGAGCTGGATCTCGCTCGTCAGAATGAGCCTTCCACCGCGAACATCACAAGTCTTGTCGACGAACCCCTCTTCTGGCATGGCTATACCTCTGATGAGGAAGCCGTCTCCCCAATCCAAGGCGACGACATGAACTGGGACGAACTGGACGATGCGAGCTTCACCGATCTCCCTCCACTTTCACCCGTCGAGGAGCAACGGGCAACGGTCATCAGCCAGGCACATCAGTCTTGCACCCACGCACAAGCCATCACCATTCTTTCAGCCGGACGACCCAAAATGGTGACCGTACCGAAATCCCTCGACTCTCCTCGGTCCGAGACTGATTCCACATTCGGTTCCCTACCCAACAAGATCAGACTGAAGACCACCTCAAATCATCTGAGATCATACTCGCTGGATGCACCCAGCAATGACCGGAACAGCAGCGATTACAGCCAGAAGGACYCGCTAGATTCGAGTGGTCCCATCTCACCACTCTCAACAGCACCGAGCTCCATTCACGAACAACCACCGCGGCCTCACCGATCAAGCGTCTCTTCCAAGCACATCCCGCTAATGGAAGCTGCTCGTCATGTGCCTCTGATGGAAGCAGTGCGTATGGGTTCGCCGACTTCACCATCCTTGGCATCACCCACAATACCAAACAGCAGCTACACCTGGGGTCAACCACCGGCACCAACCTCGGCACCTACGGCTTCAAGGTCTTCAATGTCCCAACTCAAGAGTGGTGTTTTGTCAGCTTTGATCAACAAGTTCGAGTCGAATGATTCCAACGCGCGCCGCACCTCCAGAATGGGCAGCAACAACATCAGCCGGATAGGCAAACAACTCCTTCGAAGAGACACCATCGAGGACATCGAGGATGGATACGTGTCCAAAGTGGTAGACACATCAAACCAGTTCAGTCAGCCCGCCCCAAAATCATCAATACAGCCCACGAAGATGGTCGCACGTGGTGCCGACGAGCGTGCTCCCGTCCTGACTTTACCATCATGTCCGGGCGACTTCAGCGGCTCTTTCGAATCCGAGTGGCCGCGCTTTCAAGAATCTCCGCAGCAGCCCCACTCGGCGAGAATCACCACTGTGGCTTAGGATGCCACTGATGAATTACGACGGGCGGGCATCTTGGTGTAAGATTTGATGGGACCATGAACGAGAAGCGATTAGCGAAGCGAAGCGCACTTTGATGAAATTTCTTCTTTTTGGCCTGATTTTTGTTTGTCAATTCACTGCGAGATACCATGGGACGGACCAGGCGTTTTTTACTACATGGAACGAAGACGATGTACTTTAAGGATCACCCAGCGCRAAAGGAAAGGAGATGCTGTTACGAAGATTGACACGATTGTTGTGTGTGTGCATGGCTGGCTATTTTGATGAGAGAAAAAAGGTTACCTATTTGCACGCACGGGAAGAGAAGAAGGCTGTGGTGAATTTGCTCGCTTATTACATATGATGATGATGTATGTCTTGCTGGAAGGGGCTTGACGAGTATGAACAAATGAATAATTCTCATCTTAATTCTGAATTGCCATTCTTCTTTCCAAAATCCTACACTTGATACTGAAGTGGTGTCGAAGAGCTGATGACGTCTGTAGAAGGGAGGGATAGGGGTGTAAAGAACAGAATCTGGGAGAAATGATGATCCATGTCTGATACCATGTGTCCATGACCAAGCTCGTTGGGCTGTACATATTGATTAAAACCATGGCAGTTTGATAAAAGACGGGAATCATGAAAAAATCGTGAAAGTCATTTATCCCTCTTCAATGACATCAATTTTTCACACTTTGTAACAACCAACATTCAGCCGAGTTGCAAAACCTCACCAATGCTACTACAAATCCCCTACAACATTCAGGAAGTTTGATAGCAGCCCAACCATACCACGTCGTGTAGCATCGTCGTCAGCAGGATTCCACCGATCGAACTTATTAATCACGATGCCGACTTTCCAGGACGAAACATTTTGTTTCTTCGGAACCAATCGATTACTGACAAGTCTGTAAGATGTAGATCTGAAACCGATGAGAAGAAAGTTTTCCACGAGCAAGGGAAAGCTTCCATAGCAGGTTTCTGTGAAGAAGACGGGGCGATGAAACATTGTGCCACGTTTTGTTGATGATGATGGAGGTTATCGGAATCGGATCGGAGGGAGCTGGTGGGGCTATACCATGACTTGTATGTGACTCTGGCATCATCCTTGTTTGTGAGGGTGGTCGTGGAGTTGACGTCATGGGTTGGGCTTTTGGGGAGATGTATGGATTTTGYGTATTGGTGGGGTTTGTGGGATTTAGGATGGTGGATGTTGGTACGATTTTTCTAATGTCCTGGAGATGTGTTTAGTTTTGGGTATTATGAGAGGTGATGAGGTGCGATTTGTGAATTGGGGAGGATGACGTTGGCGTTGTGATTTGCTCGATTGTAAGGGAGGGTGAGAATGACTTGTCACGGACGTGTCTTTATCCAATGTCGGCGTGGAATGACGACGTGAGGTGTTGTTGTCGATGGGTAGGACTAATTTTAGTCTGGTATGGGAATGTCGGTGATGAACGAATGGATGAGGTGGGCCGACATCGGCCTGGTGGTTGAACTCTCGTAGACTTTTTTTTCGCTGCTGTTCTTCAACTTCATCCGCCAAGGCGTGCCTGGGATGCATAGATTCTCCATTCYCACGGATTTTTGCCACGTTCAATCGGAAGACCAGTTGAGGCAGATCTGATGATAATGACATTCGCGACACAAGCGAGAGGTAGGTGTCACCAGACAGGCTTTCCTTCTGTTTGCGTCTTTCGTCAAGCCACAAACCCAAAAAAAAAACCCCCAGCAAAACATGGCAACTCTACCAACATCCTCCACTCCTCCATCTCCGAGAATGGCGGATACACCCGCTGAGGTATTGATCATGCCTCAGCCAGCAGAGGATCTAGCATCAGCCGCAGAAGTCTCTCAACCAGAACCTATTGTCCAGGGCGTAATTGACCCGGGTTGGGACACTAGCAAAGATCAAGTTGGCCTTCTTGCAGACGGCATCATCAATGAGGAGATATGGATGCTAGTTCGTCGGCTTAATAAAGTGGTCTTCTCCGTCAAACACACACCGCGAGTTTCGCCTGATGGCTTGGATTTGGATGCATCTCCTGACCAGGACTTTTCGCCAAACAAGATGCGTGCTCAATTGGAGAGACTCTATATGGGTATCATTATTGGGTCATTGGCTTTTGTCAAGCATATTTCTAGACTGAGGTCTTGGAATGAGAAGACGAGGACTGGAGTCTTCTGTTCTGTAAGTTGTCTACACTAACGTGCAGCTTGGGAGATGAGATGCTGATTTTCCAGGTGTACTTCTTCATGTGGGCGATTGACTATCTGATGCCAGCTGCTCTCATATTCCTCTGGATATTGGTCATATCTCCCAAAGCTCGAGCCACGGCCTTTCCACCTGCGCCTATTTCGTTGGTTGGCACTCTTTCTGGAAATCTCACCAAGCCTAATGCTGGGATTCTAGGCTCGGTAGACTCCGTTACTGGAGCTCCGGAGAACATGCAAGGCGAGGCTGTGGAGAATGAGTCTAGCAATTTTGTGACTGGACTTGCTGCGATTGGTGTCAATATCATGTCGAGCGGAGAGATACACGGCGAACCGAATACGGAAGAGAACAGCTTCAGTGGGTCGATGAAAGCCACACCAAATGAGCTCGTTCAGATGATCGCTACTGGCAAGGATAAGGTCTGACAGATCCTTAATATCATGTGGTTGTAACGCTGACAATCTCCAGGCAGAGGGTATCGATAGACCTTCGATGGACAAGTCAAAGGGCCCCATGGAGACTATTATGTGGTCTTTTGCAAAGTCCGGCATGACTGGAATGGAGTCTGCTAACAATATCTGGGAGAAATTCGCAAATCTTCTGGACCCCAAGCCGCCTTTCAACACAAGCACACAATCAGCTACTTTGGCCTCGATATTGCTGGCGATCTGCGGATTGTCGCTGATCTTGACGAGGAACATGTTTCTCAGAAGCATGACTCTCACTTTTGGGATGGCCTTGTTCGGCGGCCCATTAATGAAATCCGCATCCTCATGGATGGAGAGCAGTCGTCCCGGATGGTCCGAATATGCCAGTCTCGAACGGTATGTCAGAAGATGGAAGTATAAATACATGGCGCTCACACTTTCTCTAGCACGATCCTTCACGGTGTACCTAACAACAACCAGCTAGCTCTGGCCCTTCTTCGTCAAGGGGAGAAGCAGAGTGCTCCTCTACCACCGCCACCCACTCAAAGGGGAGGAGTTTCCCATGATTCAGTACCACTCACCTCAGATGTCCTCGCAGCTGCAAGTACAGATCTACCCCTCGGTGCCACGCCTGAAGAGCTCCTTGACGCAACCGCACCAAACGAGGAACTACTTGATGAAGCCGGCGGAGACGACATCGAAATATCCAAGACCAACAGCAAAGAGCCGCACAAAGTACTGCGCATCATGAAAGGAGCTGCCAAACTGGGAGTCCGCGGTTTCGTAGCGTTGGACAAGACACGGGCAAAACTAGGCCATCCCGGAGCGAAGAATCGCGTCGGCGTCGTCCCTTCCAAGAAATTTGAACCAGTCATTGGACCTACAGACTTTGATGCTTCCTATGAGGGTAAAGTGGGCATTCTCTCCATCGACGGCGCGAACTCTACCCTCACTTTCTCATCGAAGAATGAAAAGGTCTGGAGTGTACCGATCCCGGAAATCACGGCGTTGAGGAAGCATTCTGGGTATGGATTCAAGACGAAGATGACGGCTGGCTGGGCACTTGATCAACGGCTCAGTGATAGTCTGGGATTCACGGATTCTCGTGGGAATGTATGGGCGTTTACGGCGATTCCGAAGAGGGATGCGTTGTTCAATCGGTTGATTGCTATTGGGGAGCAGAAGTGGGAGCTGATGTGAGCGGTGGGCGGTGCTCTTTCCTGGGAGCGTGGGAGTTGTTTGGTGAGAGGGACCTGCTCTTGACTGACAAAATGAAGCGGATCGGTTTCTTCTACCCCGTCGTGATTCATCGAAAAGTTGCGGTAGAAAGCATACCATCAACGCTTCTGTGATGCATCATCATTGCCATCTTGCTTATGTTGGTCTCAGGCTGCGCAACGCTTCGAATGAGAAGATACTGTAGGCTCGTATCACACTGAGTCACTTCATCATCATCTCCACTGGGGTGGGAAAGCATTCTGCTACATTCCCGATATCAGCAGCAACGCATTTCAGACTTGAAGAAATGACGCTAGAGATTCACTTTCCTTTCACATGTCAGCTTTAAAGACTTTATGTGAATGATTATTGGTTTGAGTACGACTGTTGGACAGCGTGGTTGCTTGCAGCGAGCAGCAATGCAAAAGTTTGTGCACATTCTCGACTGATCTTGACGATGTGGGCGGATATGGAATCTGCCTTGCGGAGCGAATCACGCCTACAGCGCTCTTGTCGAACAAGGAAGTTGTTTACTTTAGCRTACTGTGCACTATGCGTGCCAGTTAAAAGCATTGAGTCGCATTGATTGCCACGATCTGCTGCACGAACCTCTCATAGAAGGAGAGGTCTTCGGTGAGGCAAGAAGCAAAAGGGGCATGTGTCAGACCTCCTGAGGAGTTCTGGCAGACAAAATGCAAAAAGAGGAGACGCTGGAAACGTCTTTACAACGGGGCCGAACCGTGGATTGAACACTAGGTGAATGTTAGAATGAGTTTAATATCATTATAAGATGTTGTGGACATACCGGGGCCTCCTGCAATCGAACAACAACGACAGTGATGTGTTGATGAACCCAAAGCAGGAATCATACCACTAGACCATTCGGCCGCTGTTATCTACTCGGTACCAAGTATCGGGCAATAGATGACAGCCGGGAAACAATGYAAATGTATATCCGCTGCAAAATTTCGGGGCGCAGGTTCTAGAATTCCCGGCGAGGCAGCGGGGCTATGTCGCCTCGGCTGCTAAACGAGGGAGCTCGGTTGCTAGCCGATAGAATTATACAAAGTCTCGGAAGCTCGAAGTTCCGCGCTATAGTTTTAGAAGATAAGAGATATTACCCTTCTATTAGTTCTTATTAATGCTACCTTTAACTACCCTATTAATACTTAGAGTAATAGCTTTATTAGCTCGTTAAGAATAATACTATACTCCTAAGAACCTCTACTAAACTAAGAACCTAGCTTCTTTTAATAGGTCTTCTACGAGTCTATATTAAATTTCTAAGAACTATTATCGTCGCTCTACTTCTTACGTCTCTACTAACTACTAGAAGTATATAATAAACAAGGCCTTATTTAGTAAAACCGCTGTTTTTGCTAACTCTTATTAAATAGCGCGTATTACCTTATTAAATAGGGCCTATTTTAGTATATAGTGTGTTTGACCCAGAGCTGTCGATATGAGGATTGTTCATTAGGACAAGGCATCCTTAGTCATGTCCACAAAGTCCCGAGGCCTCGCTCTCTACAGGCTCGATAATTTGAAGCCCGTTAGAATCCTTGCTATTAGCAGAGTGGCCGTTAGTCAATTGAGAGTGCAGTTTAGGGTGCTGCTCTTGCTGATAATTCCTCATATCGACAGCTCTGGTTTGACCAAGTAGTAGTAACAGCAGCAAGAAGGTTAACTCGTCGTAGCTCGACCCTTGAAGGTCAAAATGCTACGCCATGGCTATCTACATTTGGTAATACGTAATCCCAGCCGGAAAAGTGTTGTTAGTTTGGCATCTCAGACAGCTGGAAACCACAGATACCGATGACTGGATGACTGGCGCAAACATGACTAGGAACGTTGTTCATCGAGGAACCAAGAGGGCAGCAGAAGTCTCCTTTGCAACCTGGCATAAACGAGTGTGAAGCGCACCATCTATTCTAATATGTAGTCCAACCCCTTTTTTACCCACAAACTTCTACCCATCGTGACATCTCTCTTTTTCCACACAACTCTCGCCCCCCTTTCATCAGCTCCCCTCCTCCCCTTCAACGAGACAGTAGTTACATCAGGCCTGAGCTCGGACCCATTTCCCATCTCTCTTCACCACGTGCCGTTAGACAGGCAGTCGTCGCAGGGCTACACTTCTTTGATGTGGTGCCCATACTGTCCAAAATTAGGATACGCCCGGTTTGAACGCAGACGACCAACGTGGAGACTATGACGGCGAGGTTCTTTGGCACGAAACAATGATTATTGTCGTTGATTCAAAGTACAGAATTAAGAAATCTCCAAAAATATCACCTGGTTCAAATGTGTCCGTGGATATGACAAGCGCCAAATTTCGTCACTTGCTCTCGACAAGCGACGAGCGTGAGAGAGTCCGTCATTTCTTCAAAAGAGTGGGCTGGGAGCGCCATTGAAGCCGTAGCAATCTGTGCTGCCGTTAGTAGTGTAGTGCTTGAGGAAATACATGAGAGAGGTTTGACTCACCGCCTCGAGGAATCCACTCTCCAGGGCAATCGTATGTATCTACCAGTTGTTGCGGCCGTCGTTGTTCCCCCAGTTTCGTCCCTGTCCGCCATTGCGGTCTTCGTTGTTTCCCCAGTTTCGTCCCTGTCCACCATGGTTGTCGCCGCCCCAGCCGCCATCGTCGATGCAGCCGCAACCAGCTGGGATTATCATGTTAGCAAGATTTTACGTAGATCCCGAGGGTTTCAAGATTCCCTACAGTACTCAGAGCGCGGTCCACAGTGACCACGCTGGCCGCCTTCACCATCGCAGGCTATGCCATCGTCAGCTTAATTCTTTTCTCTCTAGAAGGGAGACAGGTTTGGCTTACTGTAGCACTGGATCCACGTGTCTGGGCAACTTTGGCCTCTGTCGCCCATGGGTGCCCACTATAGTCGTTAGCAACTAACTTAGCGATAGACTGAACCTATATCCATACCGCAGAGGCCGAGCCCAGAAGGGCGAGAACGGTAGCTGCAAGGTACTTGTACTGCATGTCGGCGGAAGTGCTGGGAGTTTTTGAAACTGGTTGAGAAAGTGATTGGTCGTGACTTGGAAGATGCTGAGGATGAGTATGGACGAAGAGAGACGATCTGCTCGGTCCTTATATGCTGCTTGAACTTACGCACAGGAAGCTTTGCTTGCGTTTTGTTTTAGAATGCAGTAATTTTTTTTAGTGATGGGAGACAGCGGCCATGGTATATCCTTGAGGAGTTCATAACGAAGCAGTGACCTAGGACATTTATTTTTCTTAGGATGCGGTTATGTCACCCTCTGCCTTTCCTTTGGCCCTTTGACATGCTCTTCGTCCTTCATTGTTGCGGATGAGGGTATAAACCTCATGCCTGTAGATCACAGACATTGGATCGAACAGAGCCCGTTTCGCCGCGAGTCACTTTATAATCTCATCCTGGAGGAAAGGTGTAAGTCCTACGCCATACCAATTGCGATCCGGCACATGCTGACGTGTACTCACAACTGCACGCTAGGAATTCCTGGTAGATATCTAGATGAAGCACAGTATTGCGAAATCATGATCGATGATGAACTTTGTGAAACTTTGACAATTTTAGTCGAAGCGTTTCAACGGTTTGGCGACGAAATAGAACTGATGTTTCGAATTCAGGTCTATGCTCTTGGAGTCTCATTCAGGGGTTGTCACCGTGTATCAGGCTTGGCAGCTGCCAAATCCACAACAACTAGTTAACTACTGTCATCAGATATCATCAATGATGAGGACTATATGAGCCATCGCCTCCACCATGACTTCGACGCAACCGCTTGCATAGCCATGTTCTGCTTCTCATAACCCCTCTCCTGCTCGATGAGATGAACCTCCGACAAATCCATGTCGTCGAGGGACACAAACTTGTCACGGAAGAACACGAGTGCTGCTAACCACAGGACTACTGCTGGTCAGCCGAGATTCATGACTTCAGGGGAATTTGGGTACGTACAGATGAAGATTGCAATGTCAATGTAGTAGGTAAGGAAGGTCGAAGTGTTCCATCTTCCGGGGAAAAAGACGCTGTAGCCCGAAGTGAGCACCACAACGATCAGAGTAATAAGCGTGGTCCACGCCGCGTATGGCTGTAGAGCACTCTTGTAGGGCAAGCCTGTATGGGTCAGTAATACAGTCATACCTAGGGATTGGACATGACGACTGCTTACGATCACGGGAGATGCCCTGCTTTCGCATTCCGTGGAAGAAGCGAAGATAGGTGACGCAAATCACCAGCCATCCGATGAGTCCCGCCACCGTGGTAATATTCAMAAACCAGCCAAACACAACGCTACTACTACTCCCGAGCGCCAGGTACACCAGAGGAGTGAAGACCAAGCTGGCCGACACGGCAAGATACGGGGTGCCGAAGCGGTTGGTCTTCAAGAACCACCTCGGAGCTTGTCCATCCTCTGCAAGACCCAGCAAAGTTCGCGATGCCAGGAATACGCATGACGAGCCGCATGAGAATGCACTTGTACAGACCATGGCATTGATGATGCTCGGCAGGACCTTGATGCCCGCACGTTGGAAGGCAATGACAAAGGGACTCTGCTCCGCTGTGCCCGTCGAGATGCCCAGGTTTGGATCGTCAGAAGGAACGAGAAGACCGACGACAAACATGGATAGCACGTAGAAGATCAACACGCGCCAGAATGTCATCCGGACGGCATTTGGGATGATCTGTCTCGGATTCTGCGTTTCTGCCCCCGCCAGCGCGATCACCTGCACGTTGGCATAACTGTACGCCGCACTGATAAGTGTGCTCCAGAATCCGAGGAATTTGCCAGTGTTCTCTTCCTTCACCAGGTGTACTACGAATGGCCCTGGCGATTTCCAGTACCGGAATCCGATCCGGTCACCATTAGGCCCGCCACCTAGGTCGACCACAATGCCGGCGATGATCAGGCCTATGATCAAAGAAATCTTCAAAACCGCAAAGAAGACTTCGCTCTCGCCGTAGGTCTTGACGGGGCAGAAGTTCAGCGCCATGATGATTACGATGAACACCGTGAACCATACGGCCGGACTGATGGACGAGTCCCAAAAGTTGATGACCGCCAATGTGGTGAGTACGATCTTTGTCTCGGAGCATCTGCGCCGTGGAACAGAGGGCTTTGTTTACCGGTTGCAGCAGCAGAGATCTCCGCAGGTGCAGTGATTGCCATGGTGTACCAGAAGTTCTGGAGGTGCCGTGTTAGTGAGCTAACACGACGAAGCGTTGATCGTTGACACAGGGGGGGGGGGATCTTCACCCATCCCGTGGCCGTCCCCAAGGCCGGCTGCACAAACTTCGTCGCGTGTCGTACGAAGCCGCCAGTTACGGGCATGAACGCTGAGATCTCACCCGTCATCAACGCAACAGCCCACGTAATAAGACCCATGACGATATATCCGAACAAGGCACCGCAAGGCCCACCCGTCGCGAGTGCTTGTCCTGATGCGAGGAAGAGACCAGTGCCCTGGGGAAATGTGAGTCCAAACCGGCGTCACTGAACCATTCAAGAAGGGACATTGTGTGCTTACGATCATCCCGGCGATGGCGATCATGTTGATGTGCCTTCGTTGCAAGTCCCTACGCACACCAGTGCCTGGGACCAGTATCTCGCCGCGTTCCGCATTGCCATCATCATCATGTCGGACGGTCATCGTCGCCGGCGACTTCTTGTCCGCGCTATCGACCATGTACGCAGCCTGCATCGTGGTCGTTGATATTCAAGGGCGGTGATATAACTGCCCTGCTTGCAGTCACAGTGGGCCTTGTTCAGAATTGAACGATTGACGTGAGCCAGCGGAGAGGAAGTCCATATCGTTGATCTGCCGATGCAGGCATCAAGCAGCATGCGTGTGTGTGCCTTTATCGCCGGCGTGATACCGATGGAGCATCTAAGACGCCGGCCGGTGTTCAAACTTGGCCGAAAGATGGCCGCGGCCGGCGAACAGCACGAGATAACAAGACTTGAAACCAGCATCCACGTGAGAAGAACACGCAAGCAGAGAGTAACATGGACGACAAGTTCGAACTTAATGATTTGAAGGTGGAGGTGGTGTGCCCGCCAGGAGAGAAGATCTACTGTGGTGCTCAAGCAGGCGACTATTTCCTGCTCCAAGGCGAGATGTTGCATCTGCCCCCCGGTCAAGGCTTCAGCATCTACAGCTTTGGTAATGAGTCTCCAAGAGTGCTGTGAAGATACTTTGCCAAATTAACGAAACGCAGCAGCGGTATTGCCGCTTTTGGCAGCAAAGCAAAGACAGACGCATTCCAGCGACTGGGTCAGTACCAAATAACGTCGGGTATGTAATGGACATGTGCCTGATGATAGAAGTAGATGAGTACGGACGCACTGGTGGCTTGTCCAGATCCCCATTGCAAGTCCCAGCTGAAAATCACGAGAATGGGAGCTCGGAGCTTTAGCCACAGYGAAACGACAGCGGTGCCGTTGGGAAGTGAACCGCATTGACGAGACTATGGACAGGATATCTCTGGTGAAAGAAAGTTCCACGGCAGATTGTGATTGTGGCCTCAGATCTTAGGAAGATGTTGCAGACAGCCAAAGAATCGAGAAAGACAAGCCAGATGGCTTAATAACAAGACCTGTATCTGCGAAAGCCTTCCAGTAGGTTGTCCAGAACTACAACATGACTGTCACCTCTGTGAAAAGGTCCGTTGCGGAGAAGCCAGCAACAAGCGTGTAGTTACCCTGAACGAGTGACCAGGCTTTTTCGCTTGCAGACCACACTCGTAAATCATCGACGGATATCTCAAGTTGGACCGTACGTGAYTGCTGGGGCTCCAAATGGACCTTCACGAAAGCTTTCAAGAGCTTCGGTGGCTCATGCGCTGCTTGCGGGTATCGCACGTACAGCTGTACTACCTGCGCCGCTGCACAGGAGCCCGTGTTAGTCAACACTGTTGTGCATTCTAATCCGCTCCCGATAGCACACTGTAGATCCGAAAGGTCAAAGTTGGCCATGGACATGTTAGCGATGGCTCGGTTGCCGAGGAATAAGACTGCATCGCCTTGTCCGGTCAGCAAGAAGTGGTAAGTGCCAGTCGTGTTGGCGATGAAGTGCCCGTCTAAATGCAGGAAAATACTTGAGGCCACGATTGCCACAATTCGCTTGGGTAAGAGGCAGAAGTTATGTTTGGCACTAGCAACGTCTGATTGACCGGCCCAGACCAGTTAGTAGTGGTGTAGTAGCTCACGTTGAGACCGCCATCAAGGAACATGCTCGAAGGCGCTGTTGAAAACTGACCAGTGCCTGGATAGGCCTCGGAATAGAGCACCTCGATGCCTACTGATCACTTTGATGTGCGGCGAGATCAGGGAGAAAAGTGCCTGCCATGATGTCGAAGCCCGCTGTAGCAAAGACGGTAGCCCACGTCTCGTCGTCAACGAGGCTTGAGTCTAGTGAATCGGAAACAGCCATTCCAGCACTTGTATGGCCTTGTGATGGGTACACCATCTCATCWCCACCAGCATTGCGTATGAAATGTGGCATTCTCGCACCGTCCGGATCTGGTGTTGCAGCAGTCGGCTCTCCTTGACGAGTTGACTGGATGTGGTCAGACGGCACTGCCACTTCCAGCATCCCAAGGAGATTTGCGATTAACGCTGCTTGCAACGAACAGGCACTGTTGGTAGGCGCTGCTTGAGCGCTGAGGACCGCCAGGAGAGATCTCAGAGTAGACAAGCATGAAGACTCTAATTCGTCCCGCACTTCGCTACGGACAGAGAGGAGAGTCTGACGGCGCTTGGTCAGGAATTGCTGGGTTTCGCGTAAGGCGAACCGACTCACCTTGACAAGGAGCACCGCAGCATGTGCAATCATGACATGCACCGAATCTTGCACAAAATATACAAAGTCGTTCGCTTTTTCGATTACGAGCCGGAGTACATCAAGAGTTGCGTTAAAGCCGTGCCATATTGGCTGGAGGTGAGGATCCTGTACCGAAAGTTTGGAATTCAGCGCTTGATGCAGTTCCTCTGAGCGTAATAGCAGGAGCGTATGACGACCATAGAACTCGACGAGGAACTGGTGCCGCTGATCTTTCGTCGCAAGATCTCATTAGTTTCGGGGATGACACGGAAGCAGACAATGCTCACACACACCTGCTTTTGCAACCCGTACCCATCGAGATAACCATTGCTCCACGCTTTTATGCATCAGTCTGGTCATCGACGGCGTATTTTGTATGGCCCTCCCGTGTCGATGAATAGTGCCGGGCATCCCCAGGGTCAGCAGCCGCAACTTCACCAGTGCACAAAGGAGCGCGTCGCTGGGCAATGATATGGACGACCTCTGCCAATCATCGACAGGGTCGATGAGAGCGTCGTGCTCAATCATGGTCGGCCTACCAGTTTGTATCGCTAGGCTGTGGTACATGTTAGCTAGATTCAATATGGCAATGACTCCACGTACCTCCGATCATAGACAAATAGCACCAGCCACGTTCGTTCTGCGTTCCTTCTTCCCCTTTCATCAGTGATTGTTTCTGTTTCTCGGTTTCTCGTAGCTGATGCCAATTCATGCCAGCCAAGATCAAGCGCAATGCGGATGGCGAGACCGACATTCACAAAGACGCGCGTATCTTCCGGGTCTTTATAGTATGTCATGATCAGGATTGCCTGGACGACCTCGGCAGATTTCCAACCGTATCTGATGACATCTAGCAAAAGCACTTCCGCGTGGTCACGAAGGCCGCTGTACAAAGCCGGGTTGAACACCTTCGAGGCGGCCATAAGAGCAGCGGTGAATAGGAAGGGCGACGTCGCCTGCACGTAGTTCAGGGTGTGCAGCTCAGGGTCGAGCTGGCTCACAAAGGGGTTCAGATCTGACATGAATCTACACCACATCAGCACCGTACTGACCAGTAGCTGGGTGACATACCCTGCGAATAGCGAGGAAGCAATAGCTTGATTAAGTAGTCTTGCTACCACCGGATCACGGCTGTCTGGGCATGATTGTGCTGTCATGGTCCTGATATCCGACTGATGCCCAGGGCTAAGCACGTTCTGGAGGGAAAACCCACCATCCTGCACCTGGTTACTTAGTACATTCGCCGGGGGAAGATCTCGATGGCCATCCGGCCAGAAGTTGTCGGGCACAGGTGGCAGTGCACTTTCAGTGCTACTCGTGGCGGTATTCCTTCTCCCTGCACGCGGCAGATGCGAGTCTTCGCCGTCCACGCTGGGATCTGCCCGTCCTATAGCGGCAATAATCGATGTGCGCATACCCACCTTTCGGCCTCGGCGGTGCTGCTGATATACACAGCTGAGTGACTTTCTCTCACAGCGACCACAGCGTGCGCCGCCTTCCACTAGCTGGCACTTCATCTTGACTTTCCGGCACGGGATGCACGCGTTGGATCCGCCATTGCTGCCTTGGCCAGTCTTACCCGGCGATATCTGGTGCTCCATCCTCCTGGCAGGGGCAGTGAGCTCTCGAGACCAGCTGGATTTTTGCGCAAGGTACGTTGATTGCAGCCCAACGCCTACTGTCTCTCGCTGATCCAGTACTGCTACACCTGCATTCATCAGAGCTGACCAACACGAATCTGCTATCGGTGGTGTAGGTCAGGAGACGCGGCGAAGCTTCAACGATAGTCTAAATGTGACAAGGGTCAAGCCCCGCCCGCCTCCTGGGTGAAAAAATGAGTGGATTACGCCGGCAAGCACCAAAACATCATATTTCAGCGAATACCTTGCCAATCGCCTTGAAAATAACACCAATGGATATATTTAGCTACGAGTCGCTTAGAATGCTTGGTAGGTATGTGTAAGTAGATCGGCGAGGAAAGACACTGGGAGTGTTGCTGTGTATCGCTAGAACTAGCGTAATCCATAAGACCCACCTTGAACGCCGACCTCTTCCTTCGCTGCCCTGTTCATCGACATCAAGATTTCCCTGACGAGCGGTGCATCAACTACGAGGTGGCCAGCATCCAGTACCGACCGACTGATTCAAAGACTCTGTGCCTCGAGCTCACATGCGGCGACATGAGTGCCTCATGCGATGTTGATGTGAAAATGGCTCATGTCAACCTTATGACGGACACGATCATTGCGAACCTGCCGGAAGACGGTCTGCGATCGGTACTGCGTTCGATGTTGGCTACGGATCCATCACTCACAATGACATTCGAAGACCGCACGAAAGTCTACCTGAAGAAGCACTGCGGATCGTCTTACGGAGATATGTTCACGAGTCACGAAGGGGCGCCACTCGTAGCACCAAGTTTTCACGCACAGCAAGGCCGAGTGCGAGCGATGTTGGGCTGCGGCATGTGCTACCAGAGTCTACCAGTCTTGGCGTGTTTCGTTGAGCAGAGTTGGCAACTAGGAGCATCGGCAGCAAAGAGCAACGAGCTGAGCTATGCGCTGTGCAGTGTCGATGGAGACATCATTCAAGCTCTGACTGCCATTCAGAAGACTCTTCTCACGCCGTCAGGTTCGCGGAGATTGGATGATGTTGAACTTGAAGTAGTCTCCGCTCTCTTTCAGGCACTACTAGACGGGAAACAGCAATTTCCATCAGATAACTATCCTTATGCTCGTAGCCTGAGTGCACTACAAGCGTCAGGATTGGTATCAGGCGTTGAAGACACTACAATCGATCAACGCCAGGGCCCACCGCTCATCAAAGTTCCTTCATTGAACGAGCATGTTGAGACGTTCAAGCTAGGCGAGAAACGGGTGCCACGCCTCTTTTCTGGTCTTTGGCAACTCTCCAGTCCATCCTGGGGCACAGCTTCGAGCGCTCAAATACAATCTCAGTTTTCGCAATATGCTTCATATGGATTCACCGCCTACGACATGGCGGACCACTACGGCGACGCCGAAATAATCTTCGGCAAGTTCAGAGCTGGCTGCTCGAACCCGGAGCTGCTTTTCGGCGCAACTAAGTATTGTGTCTTTACATCCACGAGCATCACTCGGGAAGTGGTCGAAGCGAATGTGACGGAGCGCTGTCGGAGGATGCTCGCCACTTATGTCGACCTTCTGCAGTTCCACTGGCAAGATTACGGCGATGCACAGTACATGACAGCCCTGAATTACCTACAAAACGATCCTCGCGTACGCGCACTGGGACTGTGCAACTTCGATACCCACCACATGCGCAAGATTTTGGACTCAGGAATCAACATCTCGACCAACCAAGTCCAATTCTCGTTAATCGACTCGCGGCCACTGATGCACATGGCGGAGGTGTGCAAAAAACACAATGTGAAGCTCCTAACATACGGCACGCTCTTGGGCGGCTTCCTCGCGGAAAAGTGGCTGGGCAAAGCCGAACCTGCATCACTCTTTGCGGAATCCATCACCCCGAGTCAGAGGAAGTACTACGAGATGATATTGAACTGGGGCTCGTGGGTACTGTTTCAGGAGCTGTTGGAGGTCTTGAACAGGATCGCTAGAAGGTATGGAGTGAGCGTGAGCAATGTCGCGACACGATGGGTCTTGGATTTCGAAATCGTGGGCGCGGTCATCGTCGGTACCAGGTGGGGTGTCAGTGACAATGCAGGGGATAATCTGAAGGTCTATGGGCTGAATTTGGATGATACGGATAGGGACGGGATCGAAAGTGTTCTGAGAAGGAGCAGGAGAGACGAGATGGTTGAAGTTTTGGGAGATTGTGGAGGGGAGTATCGCTAGATAGTTCTGCGGATGCCTAGGATAGTCAGTCCAAGTGTCGTTTGCAATCGATGCAGCCGTCCACGTCGCGACCGGAAGGCGGTYCGTAAATGTCGACGGTGGCCATGTTGGCGTGGCGTTGCGTTTCGACGTGTGACGTGCGTGATGTGCTTGATCATGGAAGTGTCAAGTCTGAGACGCACTTTTTTGAGTTGGTCATGGAGGCTAACTGAATGTTGTTATGGTGGCCATAGAATTTGGAACATTGTGCGATATAGTTTGAGTTCTGCTCCTTGCAACAAGCATCGAAATCTGGCTGATCTGACGTAGGATTGCCTCAGCTCGTCCATGTCTCTGGTGCATCGAGGATGAGTTTTCGACAATAGCTAGAGGTCTAGACGCACGGTAGTCTACAAATCTCGGCTCTACTAGATGGTCAACAACGAGCTCGTTGAAGGTCTGGCTAGATCTGTCCCTGCTGCAGAGTCGAGCTGCTAGGGCGTTTCTGCAGCGACGTCTGATTCGTTTCCTAGCTCCCATTGGACAGGCCCGCCGAGCTGCAGACAGCTCGCAAGAACACACTTCCAGATGTAGTAAATGCAGTTTGCGCGATGGCGGTCGGACATGACGATAAGGCACATTAACCTTTGACGGTCTCATGCACTTTTCTGGTCTTGACGATCAATTAATGCGTAGCGGAACCACGCGTCACCTCTGCTCAACAATTCCCACAGCTCTATGCTTCACTGACCTAGACGGTATGTTGCTCATGTCTTGTGTGTTTTGTAAGTGACTTTCATGGCTGCGAAACCGTCTATCCGGTCACATCGAAAATGAGCCACAAGAACAAGGGGTAGCATGAAAGCAATGTCGACGGATGCCATTCTTTACAACTTGTACACGATATGGCTCTTCACAGCAAGCGATCACCTCACCTTTGTGCTCCCACAATTTTTCATGGGTCTCTGCGGACTCCTTTCTACWGCTCTCATCCCACGGACCAAAAGCGTCGATTTGGCAACGATATTGCGCTGCTCGTTGGAGATCTTCGCCTGGAACTGGTGCAACACTCTTATATTCACTCTGGCAAATCAAGGAAGCATCGATGCAGCACGAGAAGACGCCGCCAACAAACCTTGGAGACCCATTGCTGCAGGCCGAATCTCGGYGGAACACACGAGAGGATTGTTGGCATCCTTGATTCCCATCTTTGGCATCGTCTGTCATCTTTGCCTTGGAGCCGTTGAAGAGACGGCAATTCTCATCTGTTTGACGTGGATTTACAATGACCTTGGAGCATCGGACAAGAATTTCATCATCCGCAACACCGTCATCGCAACAGCATATTTCTTCTATGGAAAGGGGTCTCTCCAGGTTGCGACCAGAGGGCTTGGATTACTTCTTCCCGACTCTGCAGTAAGGTGGTTGTTCGGGATCAGTTTGATCATCTTCTTCACCATGTCGGTGCAGGATTTGAAGGACCAGTCGGGAGACAGAATCAAAGACCGGCGAACGGCGCCCTTGGTTCTGGGAGAGAAGCTGGCAAGATGGAGCATCGCGCTTCCAGTAGTGCCCGCCTCGACAATCTGTTGTATGTGGTGGAATTGCTCTCGGATGACGGCAATCGCTTGCACAATGTTTGGACTTGTCGTCGCTGGCCGAGTGGTTGTGTTACGAGGATTCGAAGCTGACCGTTTGACTTGGAAGCTGTGGGCATTCTGGTTACTTGGGCTTTACGCATTACCGCTTGCTAGTGGGCCCGTTAGCTGAGAGTTTCGAGACGAATAGTACCTTGCCYGGACTCAGGGCACTGTCCGTTGTGCTGCCAACTTCGGTGTACTGGAGCTAGGATGTCTTGATCTGCATGGTCAGTAGCATTGCGATTTCAGGACGTGTGCGTTTCGGGGATTGACATGTACTGGACGCTCGGACATGGCATCAATGTGAGCGTTCTGCAAATATAAATAGAATGGTCATGAATTTACGATGGGAAAAGAACAAAGGTAATCGGATGTAAAGTGAYCTCACTATCGTCATCTAAAAGCTGGTATCACTACCCCAGCCCTAACCCTAAAAGTAAGGTGAAAGTTAGATCCAGCGTGGCCGCATCCCTAGCATTGTGCTCCAACAATAAGCAAGCATGTGCTCATGACAGTTCGAAAATCAATTCAATGAATCTCAGCTTCACATCGTGCCGATACTGCATACCAGCGTCAAACTTGTCCACGTCACCAAATTTTTAAATGTCAAAGTTGCCGGACGACGCTCGTTTGAGATATCACATGCATGCCTCAGCTTTACATGTAATTCCGTATCAAGCACGGACGGCATCCAAGTTTCTTCGACATATCTCTTTTCCTCCGAGCCTGCACTTTCAAACATCCACTTCTTCTTCCCCATCCACTACAACAACATCAACTCCTTCGACTCCAAGGCCATCACGACACAACACCATCACCCATACCATTCGAAAGCCGACACCGAGACCATGTCACACGCCGCTGCCAAGGTGTTTGACATCCCAGAGGTATGCGTCAAGCAGATATTAAGATCACCATGTGCAATGACTGACGCTCGTACTAGTTATTTGAGATGATCCTGATCGAGGTAACACTACAAGCTATAGCTGATGAGGATTCAAAGAAGTTCAACCCGGGCTTGTGGGAGGAGTGGGAAAGCAGACGCCATCGCGAAATGGAGCCCATCACATCACTCTCACGTCTCAAAGTGGTAAACAGGACATTTTCAAATTGTATCCGCCAATCTTCCAAGATCCAACGCGCGATGTTCAGTGGACCAATCTCAACAAGTATCGACTGCAACAAAGGAGGGTTGGTCCGGCCGCTGAGATGGTTTAACACCAACGTATTAGGCACCTACGATACCGGGCGAAGTCCCGGGTATCTCTCCAAATTTGGGTATGAAGACTCCAACGTCATTAAGAACGGTATCAATACTGTCAAGAGAACGAAAGACTATGAAAGTACACCACTTCATAGACTTGCTTTGTTTCGCCAAACGAAGGCCAAGCATCCGCAAGCATCATGGCGTCGAGTCAATCTCGGGGTAGATGCTATTCAGGACAGGGTAATGCGAATGTTTATCAAATTCCGTAGACCTCGAGGGTTTGGCGAAAACCAAAACACTTACGTCGAAGATTGGGTGTTCAATGCGAACTCTACGCTGGGAGACGTCTTCGACCATTTCACCGAAGTTGTGGATCGAACATCGGTGGGGCATGGAAGAAGGGCATTGTTGTTCAATAAGTGATGCTCATTCATCATCGACTATCTTATGAATTTTATGCGGTTGTGATGTGGAATTGTGGATCACAGAAGAACTGGACTTGGAGAAAAGTAATTGTGTTTGGAATTTGTTTGCTATTTGTCCAGCAGGATCGATGTAATTTATCTCTGGTTTGTATTGAAGTTGTTTACTACACAGCGGAGTGCAATTCAACTCAGAGCACAAAATTCTCCTTAACGTGATTAAGTGATTCTGATCGAGAAAACATATTCACTTCCTATTCTAAGCACAGACAGTCTCCACTCTTCCGCGCATGTGCATTATATTCCCCAATCGACTCTGATCGAAAAGATCACAAGCCACTTCCGATCCCGAGCACGGAGGGTTATATTCAACTCAGAGCACAAAGTCCTCCTTGACGTGATTGAGTGATTCTGATCGAGAAGACATATTCACTTCCTATCCTGAGCGCAGACAGTCTCCACTCTTCCGCACATGTGCATCATATTCCCCGATCGACTCTGATCGAAAAGATCACAGCCACTTCCGATCCCGAGCACGGACGGTCATATTCACTTTTTTCTATATTCACTTCCAATTCTGAGCACGGACGGTCCCCACCTTTTCCGTCTATAAATTTCGCGCGTCTTCATCTCTAATTTCAAAAAACACATCCACCAACTTCCTCAATTCCCAACAAATCGACAACCAAACACTCCATCCACGCCACCACCACACAGCATTCCTCATCTCCCACACCACGACCAATCTCACCAAGTCACCAACACCAAAATCAACATGTCATCCGCCGCGCGCAGAGTCTTTGACGTCGCCGAGGTGCGCATCCAATCCCATGCCCAACATTCTTGTGCTCGAGGTAACTAACTCAACATCCAGCTCCTCGAGATGATCATCGTCGAGGTGGGAGCTCTAGCCGTAAAAGACGAGGAGAACCAAGCCGACGCGATCCGCTGGAGAGACCTCGAGGCGCGCAAAATGGAACCCATCACCACAATTTCGCGCCTCAGCTCCGTAAACACTACCTTCCGACTCTGCATCAAGCACTCGCGTCCAATCAAACTCGCCATGTACAACGGCCCAAACTCGTCAACAGACAGCGGCGAACAAGGAGGCCACATCCTTCCCCTGCGATGGTTTCTAGGCAAAGCACTCGACCAGTGCAAGGGACCTTACGGAGATAGCAGAGACGGCCTATGGTGGCCAGCCAGGGAATTCTCCATTAAAATCAACTCTTTCCGACGTCAAGGCAGCAATCGCCCATCCCGCGCATTCTCCAAATTCAAGTCCACGGAGGGGAAATATCAAGAAGCTCGATGGCGCTCTGTTAAAGTCAACGCGCACGCTTTCAGGGCTACGACGGTGATTGTGAGTTTGAGTTTCTTGAAGCCGAAGAAGGGATACGAGGGTTTGCGGAATTTGTATCGGGAGAGATTGGTCCTGCGTCCGGAGACTACTTTGGGGGATGTTTTTGATATGTTTGAGGCGCTTGGAAATCGGACGTCTAAGGAGCATGCGGATCGTGCCGTGAGGTATACGAGGTTCATGAATACCTTTGGGGATTGGGCCTTTACTGATTATGGCTTGGATTGGGACGGCTTGACATAATAATGAGGCTGCACTTTCCGGGTGTTGAATGGATTTCAGAGGGTCACACTTGCGGAGGAAGCATGACTATGATTTGATGTAAAGTTTGTTTTGCTTTTCGGTCTCGAGGGACCTAATGAGAAGTCGTCAGAACAGGTGCAACGGAATCGATTTGATCTTAATCACATTGTGTCAACATACACCCATTCCTCTCACTCACTCGAGCGTCTGTTTCAAACGCCGCGCCACGCTCATCATCATCTCATCATGCGGAAAACATCCCAAAAAATCCACCCAAATCCCAAAGTATGTGCTCAATTGAAAAGACCATGTGCCCAACCGCACAAGATCAAGGGTATCACCGCAATAAACCAAAAGATCCACACAATCCCCACGGCCAAATAAACGAAAAGCATATTGATCCACGTCCCATAATAACCATCCCGCGCCTTCTCCTCGGACGTCTTGGGRGGCTGTTGATGAAGAGCTGCGGCGAGCTGCAGAGCGACCTGGTTGTTGATCTTGTCCCATGTAGTGTTGAGAGCCTGCTCTCGTGCGTTGACGATCATCTCCGCGCGAAGATGGTCATCGGTAGCAAGCTGTTGAGCGTAGGCGACAAAGGTCTGCATGTCGTTTGGTGCGACGAGGTAGCCTGAACGGCCGTGCTTGACGGTCTCGGATGGGCCACCTTCATCTCGGGCGATGACGGGAACGCCGGATGCCATACTTTCTAGCACCACGAGACCGAAAGTCTCGGTAATTGAGCAGTGAAGGAAGACGTCGGCAGCGGCGTATGCTCTTGCCAGGGCAGTGCCGCGAAGCATGCCGGTGAAAGTGACACAGTCGGCAAGGTTCTTGAAGTATCCGCGGACTTCATTCTCAACAGCAGGATTCTTGTTGCCGCCGACGATGAGTAGCTTGAACTTCAGACCGGTGTCCTTTAGCTTTTGGGTAGCGTTGGCCAGAAACTCGAATCCCTTCTCAGGCGAAATTCTCGAAATGCAACAGAAGATGATTTCTCCATCCGGAGCAATCTCCCTTCGGTAAGCCTCGTCGCGGCGACAAGGATTGAACATTTCCGTGTCGACACCGCGACCTAATTGAATCATCTTTGATGACGGCGCGCCGGTTCCTTCCATGTACTCTCGCACATATGCTGATGGATAGAAGATGGTGTGTACTGCAGCGGCGCGGAAGAGAAAGCCTTGGACCATGTGGAGCAGCCATTTTCCATAGCGATCAAGAGGAGCTGCAAACATGATACCGGCGTATGACGCCAGATCTGTTTGAAAATTCAACAAGGTTGGTGGTGGCTGATCAAGCTGTCTAAGCTGGACCAGGAATTGGAATCCAACAGACGCAGGACTGGCCAAGTATATGACATCGGGTATGAAGGTGCTGTCGTACACCTTTTCCAGTCGAAAGGGGTAGGCAACAGTGAGATCAGGGTTGTATGGCAATGGCCAGCCTTTCAACCGAAACTCAGGGTTGACACGGTTCTGTCGTGCCACTTCCACCTTCCGTCTTGTATCCTCACTGCGGGTACGATTGAATACTGGAGGTTTGGGAGCGGCTTGATTTGATAATAGCGGCTCCTTTTCCCGATCATGGTCAAAATGCCACTGCCACGCACCACCAATCGCCCGGGATCCAAGAGACGAAGACTTTGCTTCGATGGAGCGAAGCCAGTCTTTGTTCACTATAGGCTGTCTTTCCTGTTTGGTCGACTCGACAATCGGCTGTCCTTTATATTGAGGAGCACATGTCGCGACGTGAACGCCATGACTTCGGAGGTAGTCAACCAGACTCTGAGTTGTCCTGCTGACGCCGTTGACGGGACCCAGGGATTCTGTCGCCAGCAAGACCTTTTTGCCGACCAGTTCTGATGGAAAGTCGCAAGAGATGGTTGGAGTGAGAGGAGGAGAAGGAGGAAGTGGATTGCTGTATGCCATGCCAGGCGATCGGCAGTCGGCCGATTCGTCCATATTTATCCGGTAGGGCTGAAGGTTGCTGTCTTGGCAGTCGGGAGGGGATCTTGATGCGCGTTTGCTCGTCTTGCTCACGAACACGACTTGTCACCGCATTTCCAACGAAAGCGTCAAGAATGGGCGAAGAAGTTTGCAGAGTCAGGAACAGAGACAGGCGGTGGAGGTCCTTTTGACGACTGCTGCGATCGGCGGCGGGATCAGATGGCGATGCGACGCGATGAAATGGTCTCGATGGAAATCCAAGGTCCAACGAAAAGACCGCATCGCCATCACGCCCTCAAAGACCACTGGCTCGGGCATTTCCTGGCATTAATCAGAGTGCAAGAAGACGGCACGAGGCAAGGTACCGATGGCCCGATACTTTCTTTGTGATGTTGAACCGCCCTCGGAGCGTCCAGGAATCCCACCACGCGCCGCTTCGAGCGTCATGATTGGACGCCGCATTTGGAGATATTGTCGTTCTCATACTACCTTTTCCCTCCATCGATGCAACCCCGATCATTGCCATGGACTGACTCACCGCATTTGGTGCGCCGGGCAGAAGGTGGGCTGGATGCATAGACTTGATGTGCTGCTCACCGATATTAGCCCCCAGCTGGATGTTCGCTGGTATGCGAGGCTTCGGCAGCCTCAAAACAAGTCCACTACTCTCATATCCATACTATGCACTCCCAGAGCAATTCAATCGTATTCCGCATCAAGCCAGGGTACAATATCGGGAGGACGACATACGAATACAAGAAAGCCCGTTCGATACGCTCACCATGGTGATCCTGTGGCATGTTGAAGATCGCGTCAACTGACTTTACGACATCTATCAGATTGCAATGAGCCCTGCATCGGATCACCTGACGGTGCGGAGTCCTTAGCTTGCCAATGACGCCGAACTCCGCATCGTCTGTGACAATCTAGGCGTTGGTTGATATGGACCATGGCAGGCTATATCATGAGACCAGCTCCCGAATCCCGGAATCTGAGGAGCCATTTCTTACACACCACACCCAGCGTACATGCATCTGCGATATTGGAACAGATAGGCTGCCTCATTTTTCAGAGCTCTCAATCTCTCCATGTATTCTCCGCTGCACATTCCCCGTCACACGATCTATATCCTCATCATCACTTCTCAATCTCCTTCATGTGTCTCTTCGAAGACTCACTTTGGTGTGAAAAAAATGCTTGCCGACAATAAGGTCTCAGATTACTTTTGAGGAATTCTTATTGAGCACCGAATTCAGACGACGCCCCAAACCTACATGCCAAGACTTTTGCTCAAAGAGCCTTGTATGGCCTGACTACACCTGCAGAAGATGCTGTCACACGCCATGATAATCTCACCAACCAGCTAGGAGTGGCTTTCCTGGTACACTGCCCTACTCATCGACACCGCTTGCCGGAGCGGGTCATGCTCGATTGGCTGCGAACCGAAGACACGGTCTTATTGACGATTATCCTCATTGAGGCTGCGCTGTTGCTGTTCCTCCTATTGAGAATCTTGAATAAGCAAAGAAGCTGCTCCAAAGGTCACCGTCGCGAACATTTCTACCCTTCAACCTGTCTCTGCCTTCTTGTCTTCTTCATCATCGCCATCTTCACACTCATCCTCTYGCAAGAAACACCCTCACACACCCATCGGMACCGCTCCGCCACTCGAAGCCTTCAACCACTCAGCAGCACAGCGCTGCCACATCCTGCCAGAATGTCAACTACCGTCAACCTCTCCGATGGATCCGAACGACAGACGCCATACCCGATTGCTATCTTCTTTGCAATTGCAAGCTTGGCGCTGGTACTCCTTCTCACCCCACCATTGGTCTCTCATTTCAAGAACCGCAATATTGGAGCAACTGTCCTCGTCGCCGCTGCCATTGCCGGCAACATGATGAATTTCCTCAACGCCACTATCTGGTCTACAGATGACGTCGCTAGTTGGTACACCGGCGCCATCTATTGCGACATTCAGATCAAGTTGATGGTCGTGCTGAGTATCATGTACACATCATCTGTTGCCATGATTCTGCGAGGTCTAGCACAGATTATGAACACCAACAGCTCGAGTTGGAGCATCTCTGCGGCCAAGAAGCGACGAGACATCATCATCGATCTGGTTTGCTGCGTGGTTCTCCCAATGTTCCAGATGCTTGCCCAATGGATTACGCAGCCTTGGAGATATTACATTCTTGGCATCGCTGGATGCACTCCCGCTACGGATGGGAGTTGGCTGTACATCCTGCTCTCGCTACTGCCACCTCTTTTTTGGACTGCAGTAGACGTCTACTACTCTAGTAAGTGGAAGCTCTCCCTCCCCTCCCCTCAACTCTACTCGCTAACAAGATCAACAGTCATCCTCCTCATTCGCCTGATCCGTTACCGCCGCGCCTTCAACACAATCATGATGAACAACAACACCACCAAGTCCCGCTTCCTCCGTCTCTACCTGCTCTCCACTCTCTGCGTCATCGCTTTGATTCCCGGTCAAGTCTTCGTCTTCGTCACCAACGTCTCTCCAGGCGTCACAAGCTTTTCCTGGAACGCTGTCCATCACCCCACCGAATACTCTTGGGACTCCGTCATCATGGTTCCCAGCGGCGGCAAGACCTTTTACGATCGCTGGTTCTGCCTCGTTGGCAGCGTTCTCATCTTCGCATTTTTCGGATTCGGCCGCGATGCCGTCAAGACTTATCGCGATCTTTTACTTGGAATTGGCATGGGCCGTGTCATTCCTAGCTTGAAGCCTGGACACATCTCCCGAAGGGATACGCAAGGAACTTTCTCGTCATTCAACAGCAAGGCGAGATTGTACTTTGGTAAGCGGAAGGATTCGGGATCTGTGACGACGTCCGCGACCGACTCCATGCGCTCCGCAACTCTGGCTTCCACTACCCAGGATCTCTCATCTGGAGGATCTCCATTCCACTCGATGAACGAGAAGCCGAACAGTTCCTCTTCTCGCAAGCCGTCGATGTTGGCTTCATTCTTCGGCAAGACTCCTCGAAAGCATTCCAACTCCAACGATCCTTTTGTGATGACGACTTATAATCGTCAAGCGATGATTCAATCGAATGTTTCTGCCGAGCCGCGCTCGCCAAACTCACGTCCATATTCGCGGTCTTTCAGCAGCGAGGATGTCATGGTGAGGACCGAACTTAGGCAGGCGAGTGAGACGGTGGAACCGTTGAGTTCAAAGAAGCTTTATGAGGGCGTGTAGGACGTATCAGATGGAGCTCAATACGAAGGTAGCTGGCGAGAACAGACTGTACATAGTGCACATAGCAGTGATTGACGTTCACGATGAAATAACATGAGTTTCGATTCTCACATGCAAGAAAGTTATGCAAGTGCCGCTAGTTTTATGCTTTCATAATTGAACTTCACAATTCTTGGAACTTTGATCCATTCCATCCAGCGACAAAGATCATTCGCTCTTCAACATCAACACCACCTTCATCATGGCCGACACGACCGCCGACACGCCCGTATTGTTTGAGGACACCTCCGCGCCGGCGCCCCCCACCGAGACAGCGCTGGCGACGACCAACAGCGACGGCACCGTCCAAAAAGTACGCAAAACCAAAATCATCAAGCGCAAGAGGCGACCCGCGCGTCCTCAGCAAGACCCTTCCACCTTCAAAAACGAGCCACCGCCCCAGACTGGCACAATCTTCAATATCTGGTACAATAAGTGGTCGGGCGGAGATCGCGAGGATGCCGCCTCCTCCAAACACCAAGCCAAAGGCCGCTGTGACATTGCACGAGACAGCGGATACACGCGCGCCGACAAGGTTCCGGGCAGTTATTTCTGTCTGTTCTTCGCTCGCGGACTATGCCCGAAAGGATCAGACTGCGAATACCTACACCGGCTCCCCAACAGCAGAATCGGCAAAGAGGGCGGCTTGGGCGATATCTTCCCTTCAAATGTGGATTGCTTTGGACGGGATAAGTTTAGTGATTACAGAGATGACATGGGTGGTGTGGGATCTTTCATGCGCGTGAACAGGACGCTGTATATTGGACGGATACACGTGACGGATGATATTGAGGAGGTGGTGGCGAGACATTTCTCGGAATGGGGACAGGTGGAGAGGACACGAGTGCTGCCGAGTCGCGGTGTTGCTTTTGTGACGTATGTGCATTTGGCGAACAGCGAGTTTGCGAAGGAGGCCATGGCGCATCAGAGTCTGGACAGTGATGAGACACTGAATGTCAGGTGGGCGACGGTGGATCCCAACCCCGTTGCGCAGAAGCGAGAGGTGAGGAGGATTGAGGAGCAGGCGGCCGAGGCGATCCGTAGAGCGCTTCCTGCGAGCTATGTTGCTGAGCTGGAGGGACGAAAGTACGAAGGTGCGGATCCCGAGGAAGAAAGGAAGCGGAGGAAGATTGAGGGCGGCTTTGGATTGCAAGGATACAATGCCCCAGATGATGTCTGGTATGCCGCGGAAAAGGCCCGCATCGAGGGCGGAGGGGAACGTAAGATGCTGGAAAATGCTGGAGGAGGGGATACCGAACCCACTACCGACACTGAAGAAGAGGCACTGCAATTGAGTCACTTCAAGCAGGCGCAAGAACAGCAGAATGGTGGCATTCTAGGTGCATCTACGCTCGCGGCATTGAAAGGCTTTACGGCAGGTCCTTCTGCGGATAGCAAAGCAGATAAGCCGTCTGGTCCACTGGTGGGATATGGCAGCGACAGCGATGACGATTGAGGATTGTAGCGAACGAACTGGGACGATTGCATGTGAAGATCACTCGTTACGATTGCACGATCTGGCTGCGCTCGTTTATGGACAGAGCAATGTGCTTCAGGACCTCCTCAAGTTGCTGTTCCTTTCAGCGGGAGGCATGATAAGCCATGCAGATTTGCTGGGGGAGACCCAAGCATAAAGTCAATCTCAGTGTGTCCTATGGATCCTATCTGGTCCAGGAGGATTGCGTACACTGAGAATGTACTCAGCATCGCCCATTGCCTAGTCGATATTACAACGGCATCATCTTACAGCAGATCAGATGCCCGGTAAGCTGGAGAGCGCAGATGGAGGCTATGCTGAGGTCTTAGCAGGTATATAGCCAAAGTAAGGATCGAAGGTCGTCGTGATGAGATCATATCGCCCACGTTCCATTCCATCGGATACTGAGATGATACCGGCTCCCGGCAAAGGGGTGGTTGGTGCAAGTCTGCACATGCGAATGGGGAAAATGCTCACGMGATCGTGCTGCGTTGTTCAGGCACTCCTTTACAGGGCGAGCATGAGCTGCGCACAACCAWAGGGCGGAAATTTGAGGGGTTGGAGTGGTCATGGTGTCTCACGGTCAGTGTCTCAGTTAGCATCACCCATCACCCACGTTCTATACAGGGTTAATCCTGGACTTCTTGATGTACTCAAGCTTTGTTGGAAATATACAGGACCAAGGAAAATCCATACATCCGATGTCGATCAACTGCACGCTGCACAACATTAAACGCAACAGTTTGCGAATTGCAATGCAAGTCGAAAGTACATGTCGGCTGGATGGTGACGACTGCTTGCCGTACACAGACCTTGCTCCAACAAACCCGACCAAATGCCGGCAAATTAAGCAGGGCGTCCCCAGATCACTGCGTCCTTGTACGGCGCGTTTTTAAGAACAACTCTGCAATAATCCTTTTAGGCGATAGTGCGACGCTAGCATTATGGGGTATTAGAACCTCGGTAATTAAAGGTATATTCCATATAATAAGTAATAAGTAGCGTAATTTAATGTGCGCGTATAATGTCCTCGCTTTCCTTCTTTAAAGTAATTTTATTTAAGTCTACGATACCTAAGTAATAATAGTAAGGATAAAGTAAAGGTATAATAGCATTACGCGGGTAGCTATATAACTCTCTATATAGGTAAATAAGATCTCTAAAAGAGTAGTAGGATAAAGACCTACTACTCTTTTAGCGACTCTTATTAATACTTAAATATTAATATTAATACTTACTACTCCTACTACTATACTACCCCTTTATTACTTACCTATATTCTTCTCCCTCCTCTATACTACCCGTATAAAAGCCTAAGAAGGCAAAGAAGCCTAAGTTACTATACCTATAGCTAGGTTATATTAATACTACGAAATACTAAAGAGCTAGAACTTTCCTTAAAAATCCGAATAATAATAGCGAATACGGATATTTTAAGTAGAACTTTATAAAAGTATAAGCTAGGAATTTAATACTTTAAGAGTAGCGCTAACCCGTATAATAGCTTAAGAAAATAGGATTCTCCTTTAACCGCGAGTAGAGGGAGATAATAGCTAAGCCTACTACTAAGTACGTCGAGATCTATAATAGCTTTACTAATAAGATCGATAATATCCGAGACCGTCCGAACTGCGTTAACGTCTTTCTAGTTATAAGCCGGTCTATATAATCCTATTAAAGAATTATTAAAGTATAATAGCTAATAATATCGTAGTAGAATAATATTAACTAAGAAGGAGTATTACGGAGATTATAAGGAGCGGAAGGATTACGATAGTAATATAATTAAAGGTCTAGGGCTATTTCTAGTATATTTCCTGCCCGTATAAAGGTGTTCGACGCTAATAAGAATAGCGCTATATAATCTAGCGTAGATATTTGAACTTAGCCTATAGTAACTATATCTAGCGGAGAACTAAGAGTACCTACTAGTATAGCGATAGGATAGCTAGCGA